TCAATTGCTCCGATAGCGTCCTGGAAGTATGGCCATCGTTTTGGGTTGTCGCGAATAGCACTGAAGACAGGGGCATTGTCGGCAGGAAGGTTTACATGCGTCGTATAGAATGGGTGGGAGGCGAAAATCTCTAAGATCTTGCAGAAATACCTACAAGGGAGTTAGTGTCAGGCGTGAAACATAGATCGAATCACAAACTTGGAAATAGTAGTGTTTGAATGCTGGAATCGTTCTGCAACATGTCTAACCATCAAACCTGTGACACAAGTGTACAGAAAAATCGCCAACTGCTCCTCGAGTGATACAAAGTGTGAATCCATGTGACCAAAGTTTCGAAGGTCACACACCAAGCTCTCAAAGACGTGAGCAGTGACACCAAGCTTGCAGTGGATGCGCTCTGGGTGGCCGACAATCAACTCCATCACCCACTCTTGCCCTGTGAGGGCAGATGTGTGGTAGGGTTCAGGATCATCCTGGACTTGCTGTAGGAGGATATGCGCTGTGGCGGCAAGTAGAATATTGAGGAGGAGGGCAATGTAATGAAGCATATGCTGGTGAACTGCAGCTTGCGGTAAACGAGTCTGGTTGGAGTGAGTCTGTACTGCTAGTGGTCAAGTCAGCTGGGCTATGAGAGGTCTCTGTTGAATAAGAGGGTTAGTCAATGGCTGCCTGAATACTGGATCCATGGCTAGTATGTTATCGATAACGGTCAATCTTACCGAGGGCTTTCAAACTCAGCTTACATCTCAGTCACACTCGTGCCACTGACAACTTTCGAGTTGGTAAAATTTTGTTCAAATGTCGGTTGCTGAACGGGCTCTAAGTCTGTAACTCGTGACCTGATCTGTCTCCAATAAGCCTTCCCACCATCAACCACACCTCGACCTCACATAATCCTTACCTAAATAGGTTGCCATACGACCCTGGGAAGGGCAAACCAATTAGCTAGCATTTCATCAATCCCTTACACTGCCAGTAATTAGTCGAATAATGCTGAATATCTCTAATGTGGTAACATAAGCTTTCGGCAGTGTCTGCTACGGTACCAGCCACGAGAAGTAACCTTCTTCTTTAGGCAATTGTGCGTCGGCTCATTACCGAACCTTTGCACTCGTCGTTGCCCACGACGAGCACGACTATTTGAAGACATACTCTCTCTTTCTACACAATGGTCAGAACAAAATGTCACAAGGGTGTCTCTCACAAGGTTCATATCACAGGATTCTCATACAATGGACAATATTGCAATGACATTCTTGGACAACGGGCAGTAGCGCGTGAGCGGTCTGCAGCTCAACAGCGTTATTGCATTAATACAACAGGTAAAGTTTTTTTTATCTACACTCAATATTCTGCTCACTAGTTTACTAGGCCTCAGTGCTGATTCTCTTTCTGCACTCAGAAACTCGTGAAAGGGCTAGACAACATCTCATCGATACAGGTTTTGCTGACCACGACCTTATCCAACAGATCCGCCAACTACGCAATCAGTTCAAACGGAAGACACGCCTTGCTAAACGACAGTGGGCAAACGAGACTCTGGGAAAAGCCACTCCCGATGACGTCTGGAATTTCACTCGATGGCCCAAAGGGATAAGAAACTACCCCACGCCACCACTCAGACGAAACAACGGTCAAAACATGGCAATAACACATGAGGAAAAGTGTGCTACACTACGAGGTGAACTGTTCCAACCGCCCCCGAATCTAGACTTAGCTGCACCAGATTTAGAACAGGACCTCCCGGATGACATCCCATGGGAACCCATAACATATGCCGAAGTGAAGAATGGTATATACCGACCAAATCGCAAAAAAGCTCCTGGACCCAGCCAAATCAACTACATGGCTCTCCGATGGGCCTGGGAGGTTGCATCGGAATATATCTACTTACTAATCTCACGCTGCGCAAATGTAGGCTACCATCCCATCGCCTGGCGACGCACAATCGCAGTAGCCCTGCGCAAGCCCCGAAAACCAGACTATTCGAACCCGAGAGCCTATAGACTAATCCAGCTAGAGGAATGTCTTGGAAAAGTCCTCGAAAGCGTACAGGCAAGTAGATTAGCATATCTCACAGCAAAATATCTGCTGGTACCTTCTTCACAGTTCGGAGGTCGCCCAGGAAGCTCCACAGTCGACGCAGCCCTATCATTCGTTCATGATATCGAAGCAGCCCGTAATCACGGACTTGTCACGTCGTGCATCACATTCGACATCAAAGGATACTTCGACTTCGTCAATCATACACGGCTACTCCGAATACTTCGGGACAAGCACCTACCGCTCCCTATGGTAAAGTGGGTGAAATCCTTCCTCAGCGAACGACAAGCAGCAATCTGCCTGGACGGAGTACTGTCACCATCGGAACCAGTCGAAAACGGTATACCTCAAGGATCCCCAATATCACCGGCCCTTTCGATTATCTGCACAAGCCCACTAAACGAAGCCTACAATGCGAAAACTCGAGCTCGTGAATTACGCCCGGACAAAGCCACACCGACCACATTAGCATGCTACATCGATGATGGAAACTTATATGTCTCCTCTCCATCCTTGGAGAACAATGTCGCAATACTCCGGGAGGAGTTCATTTTTGTGAACAATTGGCTTCGCGAAGCTGGACTGATGGCGGAAATTGACAAATCTGAGCTCATCCATTTCACATGGCGTCGTGCACCGGATCGACCACCTATCCTGCTGCCTAGTGACGAAGGACAGGTGACAATTAACCCCCGTGACTGTATCAAATGGCTTGGTATATATTTCGACTCTAAACTCTCTTTTCGCAGGAATGTATGTGAACTGGCAGGCAAAGCGGAAAATATCGCCCAAGGACTACAAATGCTTGCAAATACGGTAAGAGGTCTCTCGCAATCACTATTGAGAACTGTATACTCGGCTTGTGTCCGCAGTGTAATGACATACGCAAGCCCCGTTTGGTGGACGGGCGTGAAAACCCATGCAAACATGCTTACCCGCGTCCAAAACAAATCCCTTAGACATATCTGTGCCGCTTTCCGAACCACCCCAATAAAGGCCCTAGAAATAGAGACATCAATCCCCCCCATCAACCTCTTCCTCGAACACGCAAACGATAACGCCGCCACTCGACTACTCAAACTCCCCTCGTTCAACCCAATCCTACAGAGACTTGATCAACCCTGGCGACAATTTAACCTCGCTGACCCCCCACCCGCTCTTCCCACCGACAAATACCGTCCTCGCAGCCGCAAACCACCAAAATCGACCAGACTCACCCGTCTGTCAAAACGAGCATCCCCGAACGCGGAACGCATCAACATATTTGCGCTGCCACCTTGGGCAAACACGAAGGAAACGTACCGCGGCCGCCTAACGATCTCGGACAAGCAAAGAGGAGGCAAGAAAGAAGCCGCCAAAGCGCACATACAAACCGCTCGTAATCTACGAACGGAGGACACGCACCTTCTCGTTTACTCAGACGGATCGAAACAATCAGTCAGAGAGGAGGAAAGAGCTGGAGCAGGATGGGCCGGCTATCACAGAGGAAGAGAAGTCTTCTGGGGTCAGGAAGGAATGGGTCCCAAAGCAGAGGTGTATGATGCAGAGATGGTAGCGCTCCTTCGAGCAATATCGCGAGCTATCAGCTTCGCGCAAAATTCCCAGGTGACCCATTTACATTTCTACGTCGATAACAACTCTGTGGTGCAGGCTGCATATGCAGCTGCACCCGGACCCTCACAATACATTGCATTACAGATCAGACGCTCGATCGAAGACTACCTAACCACATCCCCCCTCCATCATGTCCAAATTGCATGGATCCCAGGACATCACAACATCATCGGCAACGAACGTGCCGACGAGCTTGCAAAAGAAGCCACTGGACGTAACGACTCGTACCACTCGACCTATGCAAATGCGCGCCGAAGAAACAAGGAAGGGATCTTGCAGAAATGGACAGAGAGTTGGAATAGAGACGTGGCAGCACAGACTGGACGCTTCGCTCTCGCAAATCGACTCCCACCAACGCTCAAACCCCGCCAACATTTCACTCACACTCCTCGAGAAGTTTACGGCCGTCTTATACAATGCCGCACAGGACACGGATTCATGGGAGAATACTACGCTGCATTCGTTCCAACCGAACCCACCCTCTGCCCATGTGGAGAACCACGTCAAACACGAGAACATATCATACGTGACTGCCCACTATTTGCGCGACAACGCATCCATCTGCGTGAGGTATCACACAACATCATACTCAACGAAATTTTGGGTACGGAGAAGGGCATAAAGGCACTAGCGAAGTTTATTCAAGAATCCAGCGCATTAAAGAAGGTCGCACTGGAACGAGAAGGAGACTGGGAAGAAAGGAGAGGGACAGAAGCCTGAGTAAGGGCAAAGAAGGAAGTGACGAGGGAAGGAGGAGACGAGGAGAGATCAGAAGGAGGAGGAAGGAGAGAAAGTGTATCATATTATACTAAGCCTGGACACCAAACGAGCCCACACGCACACCAAAACTCATCAAACGCGGACCGCTTGGCTATTCGTACTATACCTACATCCCTCACCCTGTTACAACACTCCCCAGCACAGCCCTAACAGGGCACCGCGTCTTAACAGCTCACTTTGTTTGTTGCGGTATATAAATATAGAATTTCTCTCTCTCTCTCTCTCTTTCTGCACTCGGAGACGTTCGTTCGCAAATCCCAGGCTCTCCCACCTATGCTGATGATGAAGGACCACTCGGGGAATGGGAGCCAATCCCCGAGTCCTGGAATGATGATGAAACAATCGTGCACACCATCCGAGACTATGTTGACAATCCGTGAGTTCTAACTTTTGTAGCACACTCCTGCTGATGAAAAGGTAGCTGGAATTATCGTACACATAAGGACTCCCGTACATGGCGCAAATGTATAGAAAACCTGCATGCCAATTGGGCCCCACTTCTTCCCCAACTCATTGATCTGTTTCTCCTTTGGAAAGCTTCAAATTCAAGTGACAGGACATCAATGTCTCTGCATTCACCATCTGAATATGACTTTTTCATTCCGGTCGTGGACATATTCACACTCGACACCGAAGTCTCGATCTCACGCGATGCAGACTGCCTGTCTCCCACTGCAGCACTTATTCGTGCCGGATACCTGGGTCATGTGCCACATGCACCGTCCCTTGCATTTTCACTGCGTACATTAGAACACTTCCGACTGCTTCATGCCCGCAAGCCCTCTTTTAGTATTGAAGCATTCGCAAAAGTGCTGTGTGATTCATACCGGGTGCGTATATATCCCATCATTCGTACACTGATGCTGATGTATTACTAGATACCTTATTGACGACGCTATCGCACATCCTTGTCAGGGGCGTTTGATGCCTACCTAGCCATTCTCCGTGGTGTCGACAAGAAGATCAATGAAATTCTCGGACGTGACACTCCCAACTGGCGCATTCTCAATGCCTGCCCCCCTTGCACTTATGAATTGGAGGAAGAACCTACTCTCACCTTTGGACGTATGTATGTCCTTGATGGTGGGAACTCGGCCAAATGGATGGCAGAAGGTGCACGTAATCATGGTGACATGCGGGAGTATACTGAGAGTGACTACTTACTTCCCCGCACATATGTTGACAAGTTTGCCAATGAGGTGCAATCGCGAAATTTAGAAGCCCTGGACTCGCTGGAAGCTAACGACGATGATGAAGATACCGAAGCAGACCCAACAAGACGCAACATCGCATCAGACTGCAGCAAGAACTGGAAGGCTGCTGCGAGCGACGAAAAGAAGCGGATGTGGAGCATTTTCGATGAAACAGGCATCTTTGTCTCCGCCTGTCACCATAGCCTCCTTTTGTGGGTAGCAGATATGGTTCACAGTGGAGAACTGTGAGTTTTGCTATGATCCATCATCCATATGTTCTGACATATACATAGGGCCAAGTACCCCCTCGCAATTATATCTAAAGTTCTCGAGCTCCTCAGCGAGCGCTCTCTCGCAGCCTACGACATTGGCTGTGGGTTTGCCTCAACAATCCGCGCCAGAAGCCTCGGGAAGGCATTTGAGCAGCAAGGCTGCCGTATCTGTGTCGATGCGTTCCATGGATATGCACATAACTACACTTGCCAAACCAAGAATCATCCGAATGGCATTCAAGGTGCAGGCATTGAGGACTTTGGAGCCATTGAGCACTTCTTCAGTGCATCAAATGCACTCGCTCCTGTCATCCGCTATGCGACTGCCTACCGTCGTTCTGTCTTCCTCAACCTTTTCTTTAAGCAGTGGGATGACGATAAATATCTTAACCTCGCCACAATGATCTATCACAACTACAAGCAATCTATCAACATTATAGCATCAGAGTCTCTTGCCCTTGACGGTGCCAAAGCGTCGCTTGGAATCCAGGACGGTGATTTGGAGGCTTGGCATCAAGAAGAGATAGAGTATATTGCTTGTCTTGGCAAGGAGACCGAGTGGGACATTCACGCTATGACATATGTCGAGCTTCTTCAGAAGTTGAGGGACGCGCAGTAAGTCTTGTAGATTTGTTTTTTGTTATCTATGTTAATCTATCATTTCAGGACTTGCGCCAGCGATACTTCCTTGCAGTTTATATCTATGGTGCCGTCCAATTATCAATTCTTGCCCCCCTCACAGGATGTATCCTATTCCGCCAATGTATCAGCTACGAGAAAGGTTGAAACTCATCGTAGGTACCACGCTGAACGCCTCGACACACTTCAACGTGAAGTTGTTGCCTTGGAGGTCAAGATGGGTGTTGCTCACTGGTGGCAGCCAACCTCGCCAGAGTATCAAGAAACCATGAAATATATGGCAATGCACACCTATCAGCATGCCCTCGATAACCTCCAGCGCCTCGTAGTGCAACATCTATTCGAGTTGCAAAAGCTCAACATCTCTCAGACGGGTAAGTGTTTTGTTTGCTTTCAATGATCACCTACTGATGTGATTGTTTAGCCTACAAAATGTGCACGCATATCTCGAAGTCCCTCCAGACGCGTTGTCACGCCATTCAAACTGCCATCAAGAAATACAATGATGCAGCATCACAGCTACACCCACCGCGTCCGCCACTTGAATGGTCCAAGGTGTCTCACTATAGTTTTCTTGAGGAGTTCAATCTTCTCCATGAGATGCGACAAGACATCTGCGACAAGATGTGGGCAAGACCAGCGATTCGTGAGACATTGTGGCAATGGCTATGCATACAGCGTGCAAAGGAGGAGATTGAGAGGTGTAATGTTGAAGTCCGGCGCTTGCATATGTTTATTGTGGATGAGGACTGGCACTTCGCTCGTGTTCTTTCTTCACTTGAAGAATCGCCTTTATATTTTGCTGTTCAAGAATTCTGCAAACACCGGTGGTTGGTCAACTCCCAGCTCCTTGACCGCATTTTTCAGATTTACGCACTTTTGGGCTTTAGTGGGGTAGCCTCTCCAGGCTTAAGGAAGGGGCAAGTTGATCTTGATGTAGAGGGGGATGGTATGGACGGTATCCTTGCTGGCCATGAGCACCAGCACGAGCATGATGGTGATGATGAAACCATTGAGATGATTGATGACAAAGGTGATGACATGCAGGATATCGGGACTTTAGTAGAATACTTGTCGGATCTTGCACTTACCCGCTGAACCAATTTTACATGCAACATTTGAATCACTATGAATTGCATGAAACTAGGATGACTCGCATAGGTAGATTACAGTACTTAAATCGAGAAAGCACTGATACACAATGGTAATGAGCTACATATACGATTACAGTAGAGAAAGCACTGATACACGATGGAGATGAGTTGTGTGAAACACAGTGTGTATATGTAATCAACTCAACTTCCAGCAAGATCGTTGATCTGCCCTTCAGCCACATCTTTCTTGAATCTTTCTCTCCTCTCACCATCACTCAACCTTTTTCATGGGAAGCACTGGAAAGAACTATTGGGTTGTCTTAGGTGGACGGAAACCAGGTATTTCTTTCGAACGGTATGTTTTGTTGTCATGTAGCAAACACAGCTAATAATCTCGCAGACCATACACCCCTCAACTCCATGGCGGCCATTACTTTCCTATCGTCGTCCATTGTCGGAAGGATGAACATGCTCGGAAGCTAGACACACTTCAGACGCTCATGAAGGATATCAATGAAAGTACACCTCCAGCCAATGCTGCGCAGCTGTTTCTCAACTCAGATGTGGCCCAAGGAGTTCTTCGATGGGATATTCAGCGCCACGCTATTCATGGATTTTACGTTGTCATCTATGGATATGCGCCAGGCATCTACACCATGTGGTATGTACCGTATGATTTTAGATCTTCAAGTATCATGTTGATCAGTTATATATGTAGGGAAGACTGTCATTGCGCAGTAACAGGGTATAAGAATGCAAAGTTCAAGAAACTCACTACATTTGCTGAGGCCATGGCATGGATGATTCTGAAGGGCCAAATACTTGGACAGGAAGAACCGGTTGGCGCTGTGAGATCCGCTGTCTTAGGTACGTGTGGGCTAGTGCGTGTTTGTCTTCCTAATCAGAAAACTTCTCATAGAACCATCTGGAGCTAGCTCCAAACCCATCTCGATGTTACACGGTGCCAACCCTATGAAATCAGCCGTCTTACAACGTGAGTACCGCTACCGTGTGTTTGTCCTACTAATCATAGAATTTAACTTAGCCCAGTTCGTTATTGACTCTGAGTCAAGCTCAGATGGGCAATCATTGGCTTCAGCTGGTACTATCTTACCAGTCACACCTAAGGCCCTTCATACATGGAGAACAACGACTCCTGGATCAGCATCGCAGATTGTCGGCACCTCACCTCGTGTCCACCAATTCATTCGAGATCTTAATGGAATCCAAGGTGCATATTATCAAGCCCCTCCTCTTGATGATACTCCGCTCCCTTCTTTTGGCGATGTCGCTGATGGCTATCTGCAATCTCATGGTCACACTGCTCGTGCAATTCTTTGTATCGCACATGCAGTGGAAGTCTCTCAGTCTGGGGAGGATTTTGTTCGCGATATCTCTGGAAGGGGCCTTGCTATCACTGAAGCTCAATGGCTGTGGTTGCTCATAACTGGTGACAATACCTTCTGATTCATGTATTTCTACTTATCGCTCTATGTCATTGTTTGAAGTCACGTGGCTATACATGTTAACCGATGCTAATGCGAAATTCTCAGTATTTCTTCGCCTTAACCGATGTTTACTCGCTGTGTTCCGCACCATGAAAGCGAAAACCTGGCTTGGCCGCTATCATATGAAATTACAGAAACTCACTACTCAAAAGCCTCGGAATCCATGGCGCCACCACAGCAAAGGTCGCTACAAGCACACTGCCAGCGAAAAGGCTGCTTTGAAGGAAAAATGTCTAGCCCATCGCATTACATATGCCAATGCTCTCAAGGATGCCCGTGAGGTCGTGCAGGAGCAGGCAAAGCTACTGCATGAAAAGTTTGGCAGTCATAGCATTCAGTATTATCATGAAGAGCTCATGCAGCATGCTCGCATGGCTGCATCATCACGTAGTCCTTCAAGATGGAACGCATTTGTTCGGCATGAGGTGAAGCGGATGAATCAGGGTATGTGTGTCCTCACTTGTTGTTTTTTGTCGTGCTCAGTGTCTTGTACCTTTAGAACGTCCTCCTGGTTCTCCTTTCCTCAAAGCTTCTCATTGCGTGAAAGAACTTGCGGCACGTTGGAACAGCATGTCAAAAGACGAACAAGAGAAAGAGACTGCGGATGCTATCAAAGATCTTGAAGACCATCGCGAATCTAAGCAGCTTGCCCTACACAATGTGCCTCTGAACGCTTTTCAAGATGTTCGGAAAAGTCTCGAGTTACTTGACTGTGAAGTATGACGTTTGTCTTGAAAAATGTAACAACTAGTGGCTAACACCAAACAATAGATTCATGCTTTGAATGCACGTACAGGCCTTGAGGTTGTGCTACTCACTTCATGTTCAAATATTGACCACTTCAGCCAGCCGCATATCTTCGTCACTGAGCGTGCTGCTGACTTCTTTGATGCATGCTTGGGCTCTTCCATTGCGGATATTGCAGTACGTTTCGAGGCATTCTGCATAGCTGGGGTACAAGGTAAGCATTCAATCATATTCTTGTTGTATCACACTTAGTTCCGCACTGGCAGGTCTCGCCAAGTCTCACCTCCAAGAAGTCCTTGATCTCAAGAAATCTACCAGCGAGAATATTTTACGGAAGCTTTGTACATCTCTTTAACACTTTTGTTTGCTTTTAATCTGACTCGGCATATAGAGGCAGCAGCAGCCCCCACCAAGGTGTCGCACATGTATTACTAAAATTTCGACACCTACATTACCGCTAAATTCGGGATCATCATCGAGAACTGGCCACTGCAGAAGTTCTGCTGCCTGGGGGACATCAGCTCACGCTCTGAACTCACTGTTTTGAGCCTTGCATGGGAGTCGAATGCCACTCGCTTCCGCAAGCTGACAGACAGCGAGTTTAATGAGTGGAGTAACCAGCGTTTCCAGGCTGCAATGGATCAGGCAAGAGTAGAAAGAGATGCCGGGATGGAAGTAGATGGTGAAGGACAGGAGAACAGAATAGAAGGATCCGACAACGAGCCTCTGCTCAACTCCACTGATCACCTACCAGTCTCCACCTCCCTTCCTCGCCAGCAGCAAACATCAGCCGACAACGAGCCTCCGCTCGACTCCACTGATCGTCTACCAGTCTCTACCTCCCTTCCTCGCCAGCAGCAAACATCAGCTCACAGCGTGAATGTCGTTACGATGGCGAACGGAATTGGTGTCAACATACCAAAGAAGACTCGCAAGCCGCGCTGTGATAAAGGTCAGAAGCGTGGTCCTCGAACGAAAAAGCACTCAGGTCAATCAGAGGCTGATCCTGCTATGTCACAAGGGTCTCAATTCTCTGGTCCGTCCACACCATCTGGTATTGTGTAATGCTTCTCTGTAGCCTTGTGATAATCAATACTATGTTTTTACATCTATGTTCTTGCAATTTTTGAGAGCATTATGACAGTATGTTTATTCCTTAAGAATAGCCAAAAAAAAGAGTGAATTTTGACTTAATTCTGAGATGATAGTCGTGCTCGTCGTGGGCAATGACGAGCGCAAAGGTTCGGTAATGAGCCGACGCACAATTGCCTAATGAAGAAGGTTACTGTAGAGATACGACACTAGGTTCGTCACAGGTCACAGCCCTTGACGAATCGAATCTATTTGGTGTGACCGTCACATGGATTTTGGCGGGACGAAGCTAATTTGTGACATATGGAAAAAAAAACATAAGAAAAAACATAGGTTGTGCACTAATAGGACCAGAAATCATCATACATTGAATTTGCGATGTGTCTACACTTTCCACGCCCATACTCAACCTTCAGAACACTGTTCGAGCCACCTTCCACATCTTCAGCAGCAATGTCACCCACATCATAGACTTCGGAGTGGTTTGCACACGAAAGTCCACCATCTGCATTGATACGGCAGTCAGAACGGACGTGTTCACCCCTGGAAGCCATATGGTCAAGAAGTGCATCCATTGGCACGTCACTGGGATTCAACTCCGATAGCATTAGTGGCCTCGTCCTCTGACTCGGAGTCTGTTGCCTGGTCGACGCTGTCAGTCTTGTACTGAGCAGTAGCAATCCTCGCCCATCCAGCTAGATCGTTCTTCTGAACATCGCGTAAATATTGCAATGCCTCCCGACTTGTGAGACTCGCAAACGAGAGATTGAACTTCTCCCCGGCCTTACACTGGAGTCTCCAAGTCCACTCGTTACCATTCAGCGCTATGCAAGGTGAATCCATGACAAGCTGAAGCAAGTTGCTGCAATCACGAAGCAGCATGTCAGAATGACAGGCACTTGAAAATGGATCATAGACTCACCTGGCAGGCTTTAAGACCACGGAGTCTCCAAGTCCACTCATTACCATTCAGAGCTATGCGAGGCGAATCCATGACAAGCTGAAGCAAGTTGCTGCAATCACAAAGCAGCATGTCCGATGGTCACTGTTCACCCGCGGGCGAATCTATTTGGGTATGGTCACAGGTCGCATGGACATTCGAACCTGTGACACTGAGTGTGACGTAGTCACAGGCTGCACATGACGAACCTAGTGTCGTATCTCTACAGTACTTCTCGTGGCTGGTACCGTAGCGGACACTGCCGAAAGCTTATGTTACCACGTTAGAGATATTCAGCATTATTCGACTAATTACTGGCAGTGTAAGGGATTGATGAAATGCTAGCTAATTGGTTTGCCCTTCCCAGGGTCGTATGGCAACCTATTTAGGTAAGGATTATGTGAGGTCGAGGTGATCAACCAATCGATAATTCAACCCGGCCCAATATTGCGATCATGTTTGGGCGCACGTATGTTTGCTTCCGTCACACACGCGGCAACTGCCTGTCCACACTGTGTCCCATCCACCATCCTCACCGTCCCTTTTGCACATAGTGACCGCTTTGGACTCAGAAATCTCAGTAAACATACTCGATGAATCCTCAGAAGAAGAAGAAGCACTTCGGGTTTCTAGACCGAAGCCGCTCAAATCCTCATTTGCCAGAGAGCGGACCCAGTGAAATCGAGGTGATTAACATTCCACTTACATTTTCTGGTTATGTGTAATGATGTCGTTCTAGACGTCCTCTCTCCCGCCTTCACAGCATGAATCTCGCAAAAGGTTCTCGGTACCCAAGTTCTTACGCAAGCATCGTCCTGCTTCAAGCGCTCAAAAATCGCCACACCCTGAACCCGCAGCTGCAAGTCCCAGCGCACAAGATGTCCTACCCTCTCAGACAACTCAGGTATGTTCAATCTCAACTCTGTGCATTCCCCGTGTGCAATGATGCTGCTGCAGGATCCTTCACCACTCATCGCTCCCACTCCCGAAGCAACTCCTGACCAGGCTTCTGATTTAGCGATTCAGGTACGTTCTCACGACGTAGTGAACTATCTTATCCATCCCTTTCGATAACCTACTGAGGTCTATCATCAGGCCGAACCACCACCTGACCCGAAGCTTGTAGTGACAACGCTCGCGGATGCCGAAGCAGGTTTCAAAGACGTCACACGTGTCTCAGAAATGGTTCAAAATATAGCTTCAGCATCCAACAACCTGCAGTCCGTTCCCGATACGATGGACACATTCTCCGCGATTCTTAGACCTTTGAAGGCATTCAACTCAATCGCTAACGGGCTTGCAGATGTACGCGCGTCTATCTCTATCTTGTACGTGACTGACATTCGTGCGTAGCTGCATCCCTACGCAAAGGTCGCATTAAGCATATTCACCTGCGCATCCAAGGCAAGCTCCATTTTATATTCTTACATTCGCAGGTTCTCAAGAATGTCTGGGCGACAGATAATTCTTGATCAGGCAGACCGCGATGCTGCTGTTTCTCATTTGCTCTCAAAAATCTCTGAAGTCTACACTTTCATCGCGGAAGACGAGGCGTTGGCCAAGATCCAATCTATGCTAGCGATATATGGAAAAATAGCGCGTCAGACGCTGGAGTGCGCCGATTTCATCACCCATTACTCTGAGACAAAGAGCGCATGTGAGTCCATCTCACTACTTCGTCGACTGAGACTCAATAGCCTTTGCGCAGGGAAAAGACTTGGCAAGCACATCGCAAGTGAAACGGATGCTACGATTAAGAGCTACAACGAGGCTCTTGACGGTCTTATGCAACAATTTCGGGACCGAGCGGTTCGTGACGTCGTTGTAATCGTCCACCGCATGGGTAAGAGTTGACTTTCAGGTCCTGTCGAGCCTTAACTGACATTCCGCGACCCTTAACATAGCCGAGAGTTTGGACCTCATCGGCACGGATCGTGCAGCGGGTGCCGGAGTCAACCCGTCTAAATTTTGTCTGTCCAATACTCGGCAAGAGCTTCTGACGGAGATCAAGAGTTGGATCAGCAGTGCCGATGAGGGTGCTCCACGCGTCTTATGGCTCTCTGGCACAGCAGGGAAGGGTAAATCTGCCATCGCACATACCATAGCCAACTGGTACACTGAGCATGGTGGTCTTGGTTCATGCTTCTGCTTCGATCGCACGCAGCGAGCGGATCGCCGCGAGGATAAAATATTCACGACCATCGCAAGCGACTTAGCGGACTGCAATCCTATCATGCGGCGAGCCTTGGCGCAAGCCCTTCATGATAACAACGGGCTCAAACATACCGCAGACATCACAAGACAATGGCGTGAATTAGTCGTAGGACCAACAAGCAAAGCCACGGAAGCCATCGCTGCACCTGTCCTGATCATCATCGAGGCTTTGGACGAGAGTGGTGAAGCTAATTCCCGGGAGCAGATTCTTCGTCTGCTTGCTGGCAAGCTGAACGCTTCCACCTCACAATTGACTGAACTCCCGGCAAATTTCCGTATTCTTGTCACTTCCCGTCCGCTGGAAGACATTCACAAGACTCTGCGCGCCGCTCCACATATTCGTCACATCTCACTAGATGACGTCTCGTCTGCATCCACGGAACATGACATCCAGCTGTACATCTCCAACAAGCTGGAAGATTTACGCAACGTGTTCGACGATTCGCACTTCAAGACACTCGCTCTGAAATCTGATGGCATGTTTGAATGGGCTCGTCTTATATGCGAGTATATCAAGGGTATGAACAGAGTCGGCATGGATCCAAAGGGTCGGTTCGATGCTGTGGTTGCTGGAACATCGGCAAAAGGAACACGTCTATTGGATGATATGTATGGACTAATCTTAGCAGAATCCATGCCAGAGGACGAGCACGACGAAGGGATGCCGATATTTCACTCTGTGATGGGGCAAATCCTGGCATCGTTGGAACCGCTTCCCGTGCCTGCGTTAACCGCTATGCGACTGCATTTTCCCCAAGGGACTCGCAATTACAAGGTGGACCGGGTCATCGGCCCACTGGGCTCGCTTTTGACCGGGACTATGGATTCTCAGACTCCCATTCGTCCCCTCCACGCATCCTTCTACGACTTCCTCACAGACAAATCACGGAGCCACGCCTTCTTCATTGATGTATCGTCCGTTCAGAACGGCCTTGCCTTTTCCTCGCTTCGGGTCATGGAACGCGGACTTCATTTCAACATCTGCTCATTGGAGAGTTCTTACCTACCCAATTCTGCCGTCCCTGACTTGGAGAAACAAGTCAAAGATTCCATTACGGTTGAGCTATCATATGCGTGTCGATTCTGGGGGACACACGTGGGCGCTGCGTCCCTGAAACCCTCGCTCGCTCAGGAAATTGAAGCTTTCTTCGACGGAGAGCGCCTCCTTTGGTGGTTGGAAGCATTATCTCTGATGAAAAGCCTTGGCGGTTCGGGGGTGGGGTGCCTCACATCTGTCGCAGACTGGTTCACGGTGCGTGGCTCGAACTCATTCTCGAGACCAATAGATTCTTACAAGTAGTGGGATGGTCGTAGGGTCTTGCCAACCATACTCATATCCGTGACGCTGCCAGGGACACTCTGCGCTTCGTTCGAACATTCGCATCCACCATTCTGCACAGCACTCCACATTTATACCTGTCTGCCCTGCCGTTCGCCCCAACCCAATCGAGAATATTTCAAAAGTTCGCCACAAAGTTCCCTTGCACCCCCCGCATTGTTGCTGGCCATGTTGCAAAGTGGCCTCAGCTGGAAAAGATACTCCGCGGGCAATCCCTAGTCAACTCGATTGCAATGTCGCGAGACGGAAAATGCATTGTCTGTGGTTCAGAGGACGGAACTATCCAGGTGTGGGATACGGAGACTGGCGAGGCATTGGGTGCCCCTCTCCAAGGCCACACTGATTGTGTTGCGTCTGTCGCATTCTCGCGGGATGGAACGCGCATTGTGTCAGGTTCATGGGATAGCACAGTCCGGGTGTGGGATGTGGCAAGTGGCAAGGCATTGGGTGCCCCTCTCCGAGGACACACTAGCCTCGTTTTGTCTGTCGCAATTTCGCCGGATGGAACTCGCCTTGTATCTGGTTCACTGGATGAGACAATCCGGGTGTGGGATGCAGAGACCAGCAAAGTATTAGTTCTCGAAGGGCACACTGGTTATGTCTCGTCTGTCTCAATCTCACCAGACGGGAAGCGCATCGTGTCTGGTTCATACGACAAGACCATCCGGGTGTGGGATATGGAAACCGGCGAAGTATTGGGTGCCCCTCTCCACGGCCATACCGCCTCAGTTAGATCTGTCGCGATCTCGCCTGATGGAACTCATATCATATCTGGCTCTCACGACAAAACCATCCGGGTGTGGGATGTGGAGACAGGCAAGGCATTGGGTGCCCCTCTCGAGGGACATACCGGACGAGTTTCCTCTGTTGCAATCTCGTCGGATGGAAATCGCATCCTGTCTGGTTCATCTGACCAGACAATCCGAGTATGGAATGCGGAGACTGGGGAGGCATTAGGGTCCCCTCTCCAAGGGCACACTGACTCTGTTTGTTCTGTCGCAATCTCGCAGGACGGCAATCACATAGTGTCAGGTTCACATGACAAGACAGTTCGGGTGTGGGATGCCGACACAAGTACTAGTGAAGCATTAGGCGCCGCTCTTCAAGGTCATACTGGCACCATTGACTCTCTTGCGATCTCGCCGGATGGACATCGCATTTTGTCTGGCTCGTCCGACAAGACAGCCCGGGTGTGGGATATGGAGACAGGCGAGGCATTGGGTGCCCCTTTCCAAGGGCACACTCACTCTGTTCAGTCGGTTGCAATCTCGCCGGACGGAAGTCGCATCGTGTCTGGCTCAAGGGACAAGAGCATCCGGATGTGGGATATCGGGACTGGTGAGGCATTGGGTCCCCCACTCCAAGGGCACAGGGATTGGGTTCGGTCTATTGCAATCTCACAAGATGGTAGACACATCATTTCTGGTTCAGATGACGGCACAATCCAGGTGTGGGAGGTGCAGACTGGAGAGGTATTGGGTGCCCCTCTCGAAGGGCACTCTGGCTGGGTTTTGTCCGTTACAATCTCACCAGACGGAACTCGCATCGTGTCTGGTTCCGGGGATGGGATCATTCAGGTGTGGGAAATGGGGTCGGGCAAGGCCACCAAGGCATTGAGCACCCCTCTCCGAGGCCACACTCACTCCGTCTACTCTGTCGCAATCTCGCCGGATGGGCTTTGCATTGTGTCTGGCTCAGCCGACAAGACCATCCGGATGTGGGATATTCGGACTGGCGAGGCATTAGGCGCCGCTCTCCAAGGCCACACTGATGAGATTCGCTCTATTGCAATCTCGTCAGATGGAGACCGCATCGTGTCTGGCTCAGACGACATGACCATCCGGGTGTGGGATATAGAGACTGGGGAGGCAGTGGGTGTCCCTATCCAAGGGCACACTGGATGTATTCGGTCAGTTGCAATCTCGCCGGACGGCAAACATGTCGTGTCTGGTTCAGAGGACAAGACCATCCGGGTGTGGGATCTGGAATTTTTTACTCAGCACCAACCCTTGGAAGCACCCGTAATTTGTTTCTCGTCCAACCCGACTCATGCCCTTCATTCCGCCTCCTCCTTTCTCGAAGATTCTGAAACTCCAGCACCTTCCGGCCCAAATGAGCAGGGATGGGTTGTAGGTCCCGAAGGACGACTTCTCGTCTGCATCCCACTCATTTTCCACCCGGTGACATACGCCCGGGGAAACGCGCTGGTGATACCCAACAATGCCTTGCAGCTGGACCTAAGTTGTGTCGCACACGGCACATCATGGCACAAGTGCCGGGAACCGAGGGCTGCACTTTCTTCGTGACAATATGATCTTCCTTATGTCGTGCCTTGCATGGATACACTCATAGAAGTACAGCGCAATGCAGATTACGCACATCCTACGCAGAATTTGACTATTTCTCAATCTACGACTGCTTCACTAATATGTGCCTCCCCTTTGTTGTACTGTAGCGAGTGCCTTGGTCTTACACAAAGGTCATTGGGCTTGCACGAGGATTTGATTCACGACTCTGTTGTCACGAAACATTATATACTTGCTACCCGCAATCCAATCATAACTATGCGCTCGAGACTGTCTGTCATACAAGTTAGAATTTAAACACGTCTCGCTTGACAAGGGTGGCCATCCAGGCCTCGGTGGAGGTCGTAGAGGAGGCCTTTTTGCGGTTGGAGAACGAGAAGTTAATAGCATCGGTTAGGGCTGATGCGTTCTCGGCGCTGATGAGTGCATGGAAATTCATCGGTAATTGTGGTTGCACTCCCAAGTGGCATCAGAATGTCAATGGATCTTGACGAATGGTACGGTCGAGATGGTTTGAACGTGGATTCGTTCCGTGCATCCAAATACAAATGCTTCATCCACGGAAGATCGAGATGATGACGGGGGTGATGAACATGGTATCGATAGGAGGAAATGGATGCGCTTCGTGCATCCGTTCCAAGGGGAGTGAATATCAGATAGATCAGTCGAGGGTGAGGAGATGAGCGTCAGGCGAAAGCAGCCGTCTACACAAATGGTGCCATGTGTAATCTCCAAGCGAGCCAACTAGAGGGAAGATAGTCGATCTATATTATGACGGAGTAGAAGGTAAGCGCTAGGGTTCATCAACGGAGCTGTCGTCAGATAGACATACCTAGACCCGTCAAAATGTTGTGCAATTGTGACGCGTGAGACTCGCGCGCGTATAAGGACTATCCAAAGTTCATAAAAGTGTTCAACTGTATGAAACAGGACATCCTGAGTCCTAGTCCCCAGCTCCATCCGAGTGTGATGAAAATCGGCAAGGTACGTGTGCCTCTGTGACATCTGCAAACCAACGAAGCATTAGCCAAGGTGATTGAACGCACAAAAGACTGGCTTCACCTGCCACGCCCCTCACCTCTCGGAGTACACACAAATGTCCCTACCTCCCAAGCCTCGTGCACTGCCTGCAAGCCATCACTTCCGACGCGGCTGACGGGACCCGTTTCTTGGCACCTTATCTTCTGAATCGCAGCACAGCGAGCGAAGAGTGGGGCAGCCACATCTCATCATATGTATCATCGTCTTCATACATTGTATTGCCCATGCTGTCAGGGAAGTGGTGTAAAGGGACAGATCCGAGAGGGAGGTCATCGTGATTCATGTCGAGCGGCGTAAGATTTAAGTTGCGGGCGGAGGGGAGCTGGAAGACCTACCAGCGGGGTGTTTGATGATATCGGGAGGCGGTCGGATACGGAGGGAGTAGCATGATTGACTGTAATGTTGTTAGCGATGATATGCAAGGATTGGAGTGGGACATACGTGAGGAAGCTGTAGAACGTGAAAATAAGTGCGCTATAGGACGAAGATGTTGAATCTACTGTATCGTGAGCGAGGCTGGTGTAAGACCTTGCTGAATCGCCATCGCGTAATACATAGTCAATCAGACGCGATGGGGTGTGGCTGGTCCCGCCGTGGTCGTGACGCGGCTAAAAATGCCGCATCAAAGCTGCCACTCCAGTGAGTCCGGTCTGAGTCTCCCAAATATTAACACAGCTTGCAGTCCCGCTATCCTACATTATGCCGAATGCCAAGAAGGGAAGAAGGAAAGGGCGGGTGGGTACTCAAAAATACGTTGATGCACTAACAAGACCGAGACCAAATGAGAAAAGGGTATTATTGACAATATTCCCAACGTACCCGACGAGACGATGACGACGAGTGAGAAGAGGGACTAAGACAGACTGGCGCTAAGCAAAGATGCTCTAGAAGGATAGCGGAAGCGATGCAGATTAGTTCGACCAATTAGACTTGGGTAGAAGAAATTAAACTCGAATAATTACTTTCCTCGTGAAATATTGCACTCCTCACGAACTCTGTAAACGTTAGTACTCGACAAGTATGATAGACAGAAAGTATTTCTTGCACCTGCATGGTGCTGGACATTGCTGCATGAAGCTCAGTGACATAGCACGTGTCAAGCTTGATGCAATCGTGACGCGGCACTAGGCAACATGACGCAGTATTGACGTGGCATGAGTGAGGCTTGGCATGCTCAAGGCTTGATGCAGCATGGGTAGGGCATGGCATGGTACTACCATGTGGCTCATCAACAAAAGAGCCTGAACCGTATATGTAAATATATGCTGCCCGAAGCATATATTCATATATATGTTGCAATGTAAGACCTTGTGTACAAATTGCACATGTCTTAAAAGCTAAATCACACCACGCACGCTCATGTAAGCTTCACAAGGCCTTGCATGCTTCGGGCTCTTTTGTTGATGGCCTTGACGCGGGCATAGGTAAAGCTTGACGCAGCATGGGTGCGGGGGCTCGACATACCGATACTACTGAGGGTGCATGTGGCTTGACAAGGTGGGGGACAAGGCTTGGCAGACTGACATAGCCCGAATACATCATCTGAAAGCTAACATTAGACCACCATTAGAGACAGTACAGGGCGTACTACAACTTGCAATTGATACTTCCCCGGGCCATGCTATACGACCGTGGAGTTTGGTCACGACAAGCACTAGTACTGTAAATGTTAATGATGTTTGAAGGGAATGTATACGCAGTTCAGAATCAAATTCAATGCAAGTTTAAAGGCATAAGCATTGCCATGTCACGGCCGCGGCAGGCGCATCATGACCGTGTCATTTTCACCTGGCCCAACGCGATGCACGTGACCGCATTACTTGAAGTTGACGGTCTCGGCTTGGTCTTGGTGTTCATGTTAGTATGGACACATCGCTATCGCCTCTGCAAGATTGACTGAAACCCGACATCCAATATTCAGGTATGTACCCTGCCACAGAACAAGGTTCAAGGTTTCCTGAAACGCAGATAATTCTCCACTGGTCTTCTTGGATCGGATCGACAGCAGGGGAAAGTTCCATTCCACCTGCATGGGGTACGTATTCTCATACTTACCGTTCCCCTTGACTAATGAATGTCATTTCACAGCACAGCTTCACTGTCATCAGAAGTGCCAGAAGTGGTCAATATCACTAAGTATCTCGATCCCTTCATGAGCGCTAACGTGATTACTGGCTTTCCGCTTCGTCATCGACAATCTCGGGCCCTGGTTGTTGCACTTGTATGTCTCATCCTTGATGAACAGTTCATCACTAGTGATGACCTTTGAAATTTGTAAAGCGATTGACCATTTTATACGCAAGTCGCGCCTCAATCCTGAGCCCGGGTTTGAATATTTATCCCTAGTGACATGGCTTTGGTACTTGCAGAGACTCCTGAACATGTGACCGAACAAATGACTGGGTACAGTGTTTCGAAGCAGCTCTGCCTAATGTATGACCTTCCCCAACCATCCATTCTCCATGCTGATTGGAAATTGTTCCTTATCCGCCCCCCGTTTTATTTTGGACAAAACTAAACAGGAACGTGTTTAAAGCGATTTCACTGCTCGTGACAGAGACTCGCAAGGTACGGTCGAAAATAGACTCAACTTTCCAACAATGCATCTCATTTTTACTGCAGTTTCAAACCGCTTTCAGCTGCGCAGTTGCATGTGATAAAGAGCTTGATCACACAGGATAACGCTTGAATGGCAAAAAACTGTACCTCAGAAGAAAGCACTCATGGCAGCTCGCGGCCCACGTTCGGTACGAGCTGGACAACGCTATCATCAAGTTAGGTTCCTTCGAATCTATGTATAGGTTCAGAACCGAAGTGCTGCCGACATGTCCCCACGACGTCACCTACATAAGCAGTAGAACAATATGTAGCAAGGTCAAGTGACTCAAATCAGGCTTGTCCACCGTCTTTCATGATGGGTAGATCACCGTTGGCTACACATCCCCTTATGAGTTGGCACTGGGCTCGCCCGGTCCTGTTTCTCAGTACCCTCGTCCTCCTCATCCTTTTCCATTCCTCAACCTTAATCTCTTCTGCGTTATCTCAATGCAGCGCACACGAGCTTGCCCGTCGCTCCCAGATCCTCACCAAATGCGCATACACACATGCCCAACCTGGGCCTCCACCCCATTTCCATGTTCGCACCCAAAGTGACCGCTACGCAGATTCAGAGAACACGGCACCTGTTCTCGTGCGTAACGCAACCATCTGGACAGCCGCTAATGATGGGCACGAGGTTATCACTGGCGACCTTCTCATGCACCGCGGTCTCGTCAAAGCCATCGGTGATGTCCCTCTTTCCCTCATTCAGCAGCTCGAGTCGGAGAATATGAACTTGGAGGTTGTCGATGCTCATGGAGCATGGGTGACCCCTGGTATTGTGGACCTACACTCTCATATCGGCGTCGGCAGTGCGCCTGAGCTAAATGGTGAGTTTTGTTACCACTCCGCTTAGCCATAGGGTTCCATGGCCTACAGGTGCAGCCGACACGAACTCTTTCAAGGCTCCCATCTTGCCCTGGCTGCGCAGTATCGATGGGCTAAACACCCACGATGCGTCGTATGAACTCGCTATGGCTGGAGGCGTCACCACTGCGCAGATTCTCCCTGGGAGCGCAAATAATATTGGTTAGCACTGTCTCATTCTTCGTCTTGTTTCTGATCCTAACCTTCTCTACCAGGCGGCCAGGCATTCATAATGAAACTCCGCCCTACAGCTGAGCGTTCACCTTCTTCGATGCTCCTTGAGCCTCCCTATACCCTCAACGGCTCCCACTTCGACCACTCTCTCACACCACGCTGGCGACACATGAAGTATGTCGTTTCACTCTCTCGAACTCCTCTTACTTGTCTTTTATTCATCAACAATACCTAACAGGCATGCATGTGGTATGTTCTGAAAAACATATTCTCATATTCCTCGCTCAGTGCTTACTCACCCATGAGGTGAAAACCCTTCCAGTGTCTATGGAATAACACGCCTTGACTCCGGATGGAACTTCCGCGCCGCCTACGATAGCGCCCGAAAGATTCGTGATGCTCAAGACTCGTTCTGCGCCAAAGCAGAGTCTAATCACTGGGATGACCTCGCGGGGAAGACATTCCCTGAAGACCTTCAATGGGAATCTCTCGTCGATGTTCTCCGCGGACGCGTCAAGCTCGCCGTACACTGCTACGAGGCAGTTGATCTTGATGGGATCGTCCGCGTACGTTCTTTTGAATTTACTTGCGTGTAATTGCTTCATGTATGTGCTTGGACAGCTTACAAACGAGTTTGAGTTCCCGGTGGCGTCGTTCCACCATGCTGGGGAGACGTACCTCGTTCCAGAGTTGTTGAAGAAGACATGGGTGAGTCTTCTCTTCCTAGTTGTCCCTTCGCAACTTCCTTCTAGATACTCCGTAACCAGGGAGGCACACCTGCCATTGCGCTCTTCGCATCCAACTTCCGGTAAGTATACATTGTGTATCTTCTGTATTGTGGGCTTATGCTGTTGGTCTTGGATGAAGCAAGAAACGCGAAGCGTATCGAGGATCGGAGTTTGCTCCCCGTGTGTTAGCGGAGCATGGGATTGATGTTGTAATGAAGGTAAGTGTTACCTTCTTCGCTTCTTTACTTCATGCTGCGACAACACATCTTTTTATATCGCATGTGCTCGCATTGGAGCCACGGAAATTTCGAATGTCTACATATTTGATGATGATCTGCCAGCCTTCCCAACGCATGTCTCCCACTAACCAATTTGCATCATTTTGATCTTGCTTCCAACTAACCTCGTGCTTCCAGTCTGACCACCCCGTTGTTAACTCCCGTTACCTCCTGCACGAAGCCGCCCAAGCACACTACTATGGCCTTGACCCTGCACTCGCCCTCCTCTCTGTCACGTATACTCCTGCCACGGCCATGGGGATGGGCCATCGGATTGGGATGTTGAAACAAGGTACGTGAGACTGCTATTTAAATTAAGTCTCGGTTGGAACTTGGATTGCAGGATATGATGCTGGTATGCCATGCTGGCGATTAATAGATTTATAAGAAGAGTCTGATCAGATCTAGATATCGTGATTTGGTCCTCCCACCCGCTATCCCTTGCTTCGACGCCCACTCATGTTTACATTGATGGTATCCCCCAGCTCTCCCTACCCAACCGCTATATCAACAAGGGATCCACCACGCCACCGCGCATGCCGAATTTCGACGCTGAGAAAGTAGCAACAGTTGCACACGAGGGTCTTCCCCCACTCGAGCCGCACAGCGTAAAGAGGGCACTGTTCGTAAATGTTTCAGGGCTTTATATGAGAGGTGACGGCTCGAGTGGAGTGGCGTGTGTTTCCGAGCAGGCGGGATCAGTCGGCGTGGAAGATGGACGAGTGGTGTGCATTGGTCAATGCTCGGATTTTGGAAACGGAGATGTCGATATCGTCGACCTTGAAGGCGGCACGATTACCCCTGGACTGACAAGCTTCGGTGCGCCGTTGGGGCTCGTGGAGATAAGGCTCGAGCCGAGTACGAACGACGGAGCTGTTCATAACCCTCTCGATGGGGATGTGCCTGCCGTATTGGGTGGCAAAGTAGTGAGAGCACAGGACGGGCTCATGTTTGGTGGCCAGAATTTGTTGTAGGTGTCCGTTTCATGTTTAATACCCTATCTATCGGTGCATTTATCCTGAACCAATCTTTTGGATTGCAGACTAGCCTATCGCGGCGGCGTCACGACCGCTATCACAGCGCCCTCTGGAACGTTCCTGCAGGGCATATCTACCGCATTCTCGCCTGGAGCTGCGCATGCTCGAGTGGAAAATGCGAGTGTCGTTGATGAGGTCGCATTGCATATTGCTGTCAGCATGTCTTCAAGGGTCGGTGTGAGCACGCAGGTGGCAGCACTTAGGAACATGTTGTTTGGAGAGGGCGGGGATCACGTGCTGAAGAGCGTTAGAAAGGTTGGCATATTTGCCTCTCCCACATTGAATGAACATTGATATCTAGAATCAAGGGTAAAACAACGCTCGTGGTGAACGTTGAGAACGCAGACATCATGGCGACGCTCCTCCGACTTAAGGATGAGTATGAAGGTCATTCGGGGAGGGTGCTTCGTTTGACCTTTGCAGGAGCCACCGAGGCGCATATCCTTGCTCACGAGATTGCGAAGGCAGGTGTGAGCGTGATTGTCACGCAGAGTAAGCCATTCCCGTGGACCTGGGAGCAGCGGAGAATGTGAGCGCCCCTTGTCCTCTTCACCTTCTTTCTCTCTGTCCATCTTCCCCCTTTGTCTCATTTGGGATTAAATGATGCTCACCTGGACACCTTGTAGACTCGCTGGTCCGCCGATCACGCAGGAAAGCCTGGTCACTGCACTTTTGAAAGCTGGCGTCAACGTAGCTATCGGTGTTGTTGACGAATACAATGCCCGCAACACACGTTTCGAAGTCGGTTGGGTGCGTTTTTTGGACTGCTTTTCATGTCATATTTCCCCTAACACCAATCCCAGTTCCTCCTCACATCCAATGGAGTGATCGATCGCACGACAGCTCTTGCACTTGCCACGACAAATCTCGAGAAGGCGCTTGGCGTGCAGAGGGAGATGCCTCAGGACCTTGTGGCATACCGTGGTGGAGACGTGTTTGAGTTTGAAGCTAAGGTGGTGGGCGTTTTATCTGAGACGTTGGGGCGGACAGATTTGTTTGTATGAGCAGAATGAGAGCCTTGTCTATCGTAGGCTCTAAGCTCAATACGAGAGCAGATGTATAGTGACTGACGATACACTCTTAGTACTGTACAATGATCAACCGTGACCCTGTCACAGAATTTAGGTGTTGCGCTGATATAGAGCATACCTAGACTGAAAATTCGACATGCTTTCCCTTCAAATCGACATTACTGCGAACCTCTTCTTCATCTCAGATCAGAATTGAAGAATGAACCTTCATCCGCATAGAGCGAGATTTCGAAGGGTATGCCACGTCCAAACAGCATGTGCTCGTTGATCATTGACACTGTGTCCCACGCATACTTGGCGCCTTCTGGGAGGAGTGGCAGTGGCACAAGTCTCGTTTGGACGGGATACTAGAACCATGCAATGGAAGCGGCCCCGTAAATTTTAAGTGTTTATGGTCAAACATTAGCGCCACACCAGCCTCGGGATGGACATGCCCATTCTATAAACACTGCAATCGCATCCGAGATCGCGCACTTGAGGATGAATTGCCCCAACTAGTTTCTCAAATTGATCATCTGCGTCGTGAGTTCATTCTGAAGACTTACATTATGTCCCATCCTTCTTGACCGGGGACAGGGATTAATAAGTCTAGGGCAACGTCCACGGCGAGATGGTCCTGAGCATTGCTAATTATCCAAGAGGGTTTCCGCCGCCACTTTCGAGGAGAGAGAACTTTTGTGAATAAATGTTGGCCGCCTGGAAGCCTCTCCCAGAGAATATAACCGAAGAGTCCGTCGTTTTCGTTTTCTCACTGCCAGGCAGCTTTATTAGAGCGTAAAGGTGACATACTGACCACCACCGGCTCCAGCCAGGCGCAAATGTTATTTTGAAACATGGCAAGACGCTGAGATGCGGTAGTTTCATTGAGAACAGCATTCTCTTTCATACCAGCCGCTTTCAGAGCAAAGCGGTATGCAAGCTGAGGAACGGACTGAATGATACGGTGAAAGCGGTCTGATACCTAAAGAGGAAAACTTGTCAATAAATGTGATCAGTGGTGAAAATGAGACCTACATTGTCGCATGCTATGAGGGTCGCTTCGTTCAGTACATCGAATATTGCAACGAGAATGTCATCAGGGGGATCTTGCAAGATCGATCTAGTCCTTGTGACCGAGCCTGCCACAGCCTCGCAGATTGTAGATAGCCAGATACAACGAGATAACACGGAGGCGAAGACAGACGGCCTGCAGGCAGATGATTGAGGTAAGACTAGGGAAGATGACAAACCTACGGAACACGAGGCAATCGGTTGAAAGCACTTGCTTATCGAGGATGATCGCGTGGACATAGAACTGTCTATTACTAGAACTTCATCCATATCAGCCTGGCTTAGGATCTTGTTTAGATCCTTTCTTCGCCAGGTATAAGTATATAGATCTTCACCAAATTCAAAGACGATGTTGTACGGTATTCTGGGAAGAGTTGAACAGCCTGAAACTTTCAACATGGCAGGCAGTAATCCGCTACATCACAGCAAGTAAGCAAAATGTCTTCCACGTAAGATAGATATCGCGAAGTTGAGAAACGCAGAACAAGTACGAGCAACACAACAACGCACAGTAGTAATCACCCCGCCCCGGTGATGAAATACCAATATCCCACCACAGGCCTTACACTATCCCGCATCCCATTCCTAAAGAGCTCCGACTTATCATTCGAGCAGATCTGTGCACCAACCAGGCCCGCAACGATCACCGTATCGAACAACTCCCCATTATCATCCAGCTTCACATCGAGATGCGCGCACCCACATGGTACGCACGCATCATCGATCGTTGGGTACGGCATCCCATCGAGCACCAAGAATGGGCGCCACGTCCCGTGCACGGTATAAACCGCGGCGAACTGAGCTGCACTCAATGTCCTTGGATCTGCGGGGCGAAGCAGCTTCTTTGGCGCGTCTTCCCGCATGCGTTCAGCATTTAGCGGGGGACCCTGCCATACGCCTTGCTCGTTGAATACGCAGAATGCGGTGATCCAGCCTGAGAGGTAGGTTGGCCCACTTCCGCCTCCTTCGTAGTGCGCGACTTTGGACCAGAAGTCAAGGTTTTCTGGGCTTGAGGGCGCGTTGAATGCTGCTACGAATTGCGAGATGATAGGGTGGAGGAGGTGATACCACGCTATTGATTCAATGCCGTATAGTTTCAGCCGCTCTAGTCGCTCAAGGATGGCCTCCCAGTCATGTTTCTCCCCGAGGAGCGTCACAAGTGGTATCCCACAACACAGTACAAACTTGTAGCGGAAATACTCTTTCATCGTCGCCATCAAAGACATCGCATACACCGCCCGATCTACGTCTGTCGTCGTTGAAAATTGAGGCATAATCCAGTCCCTCAGCATCGGATCCACTACGCGCGTGTGCATTAGCTCCGACATCTGGCGCGCCATGAGTGCAAAATCTGCCGTGTGACGATTTCCATCGCCAATGATGATAAGGTCCTCCTTTCCCTCATGCGCTACGAACTGTGAACGGAGTTGCTCGGCGTTTGCGCTCACGAAGAAGCTGAATTGGGTGAGGATCGCAGTCCAGACATCGTCTGGGCGGAGAATGAGCCCTCGATGATTGTTGTACGCCTCGAGCACGGTATGTACGAAACCGTTGGGCTTTGGCATGATGTCCCGCACCGCATCGAGCTCGGTTGGAAGGGATGTGCGAAGGAGGTGGAGACAACGCGTGAATTGCTCAGGGGAGGTCTTTTCGAGAATGGTGAGGTAGGGGTTTTGGTGAAGAGGGATCTGGAGACGGTAGTCTTCCGTGAAAGACTCGGCGGGATGCGGGGCAGGGCGGAATGCAATCACGCCAGGAGGAAGTTGTTGAGACTGGGAACAGGTCTGGTACTCGGTATGATTCAGCATTGGAAATGAGATGAACATACCGTGGAGAGCGGGGACAGAAACTCAAATGAAGCCACAGTACTGGCATTGGATGATATCGGAGAGAACTCTGGAGACATGGGGGATGTAGGAGATATGGGTGGGATGGCCCTGCGAGGCCGTTTCTGAAGTTTTGAGGTTGAATACGACCTGATTGAGCCTGTAAGACTCTCTGTAGGGGCGGTGGCTGTAAAGATGGCGGATACAGCTTCTTCCTTGAACTTGCTGCCTGTGGGGAGAGGCAAGGCAAGGCTAATCGGAGAAAGTGGTGGTGATTTTGGAGGGGGTGTGGGAGGTCGATCGATGTCCCTCGATTTCGAGAAGACACGTCCGAACGATAATTTGCGAACCATAAGCCTGTGAAAAGCTTGGTTATATATGCTAACAAAGTCAAGTTGAGAAAGCCCGGGAATGGGCGTCGAGGAAGGGCATCGAATCTTGATTATGAATCGAAAGGCACTAGACACATGTTGCGACAAAAATGGATGTGGACCACGGGATAGCGTTCAGCTGACTTTGGATGATGCTACTATCCTTTTCAGGGAAAGAATCATCGCAATAGGCGCACTTCTCTTGTTGACCCCAAATTTATAACGCGCAAGGCCGCACGCAGCAGAGCCCGCTACGGACGCTTTTAAATTTCGAGCCGTCAGAACGTTAATTTGATTGGAAGTGCTACTAGCAATACAGATACAAGTCTCAAACAGGTCAGTGCAGACTAATCGCGAGAACGGCGAAAAGCGAAACGTACAGGCAGAACGGAATTGCGAGAACGGCGAAAAGCGAAAAACAACAAGTATCGTACAGGCAGAATGAGCCGCGAGATAAAAGTGAGTACTATAAATACAAGTGAACTTTGGTGAATGCCCCAAATAAAATCGAGTCGAAAGATGAAGGCAATACAAATGAATTCTGTCAGGTGAGTTGTGGTCAGTCCATTTTCTCTTTCTCTTTTCCTTTCCCTCCTTTCGATTTCTTTTTGGCGGGGCTGACGGTGATGTCGAATGTAGAGAATCCGGCGACGGCAGAGTCGTCTTTCGACATGTCAACGGAGGTCGTGGAAAGGATTGGGATGAAACGTTCTTCGACAGGTTCGTCAGAAGAATCCAGGACCTTCATGGCTTGCACGCCGAGCTGGAAAGTCTGAAAGGGTTTGTTAGTAACCGTTTCGATCGACGTTGTTTGGTACATACGCTGGTCGGTTGGCCGTTCTGCACCATGTTGTATACGTGAGCGTCGCAGACGGCGAGAACGAGCGTTCCGGGTCTTAATTTTGAGTAAGTCTCATGCATAGGAATGAGCTTGAGACCGTCCTCTGTCGAGTCATAGATGTTAAGCTGTTTCAGTTTGTTCTGTCGCAGCTGAAAATATGACCCGCGGTAGTCAGGGAGGATCCTCGGGTCATATAGTGTTCCTGGACTGACTTTGTCAAAGTGAGTGACTTTTGTGAAGGAGTATAAGGATCATGAATACCTTTATCCGGAGTAGGTGTCGGAACGTTTGTGCTCGTGCTTGAACTCGCTGTGGAGTTTGTCGATACTGCCGTGTTCTGCTGTCCTACCATACTGTCCTCCGCGTTCTTTCGTTTCGTTCGTCGAGGTGTAGTATCCTGGTTGAGGTTGACGCCTTCTGGTTTCTGTGAGAGGTGGTAAGTGACGGTTCAAGTGGAATTTTCTGGTTTCTTTCTCACCTCGTAGATGTGTTGCGACGTTAGCATGATAAGGTCCGCATATTGGAGATCATTGGTACTCTTGGTGATGCAAGTGTTTATTTTCGAACCCTGTTGAGTCTGTTAGTTATTGTACAGTGTTCTGCTTGTTACTGACCGTTGCCGCTCTCTTGCTTTCTTCGGCGATCCAATCCTCAATCGATGTCAGCTGATTCTCCCAAATGTCCATCAGGTTCAGGGAGCATAGTGTTGGTTTGGAAAGCGCCCATTTCCATTTGACTGTGTCTGAATCACTTAGTGGTATGTTCTTGTTTTAAACGTCAGATCGCATTCATATCTATGAATCTGTAGCAGACAGACTTACCTTTTTTGTGAAGTGCGTGCCTTTCGCGGAATGCTTTGTGCCGCATGTCGAAGTGGCAATTTGGCCAACAATGTTGGTCCTGAATGGACGACCGTCCTTAGTGTTGACATACGACCAATTGGTTCCGCTGTAGTTGTCTTGGACAGTGGTCGTCCAATCGATGCCGAAGTCGGCTTCGCCCAAGCCGTCTTTTCCAAGGCTAGTGATGGCATTAGCGACACGGTCGTATACACCGTTGGCAATGCGTTGCGAGAAGCATTTGACTTCAACATCAGCCAAAGACATGGTGGTGGTTCGAGTGAAAGAGTTGATGATCTGTATTACGTCGAACATTATCCTTAAATAAAAAGAGGTAGGGATTACAAGGGTATGACGCACAGTAGAATGCGTCATGTTGCCGCTGACAAAATTCGATCTCGTCAGAAAAACATGTGTACCTCCAGGCTGAATATTCCAAGTATGACCGACAGAAAGCTGCACTAGATCTGTCTCCGAAGGTCGAAGAAAGTGAGAGCCATCGAACCTCGCATTCACAAACGCAAGCCAATCACAACCAAGCTCGACGTCACACCCATTCAAATAAACGGACCGAAAGGTCTGCCGAGAATTGTACCAACCGTTGACAGTAGGAACGCGCACTGGTCCAGAACTCGACTCCACAGCCATCCCATTATGATTGACAACAGAACACGGCACATTGCAACTGTGCAAGAAAGGCAAAGACACAGTGGAATCAGAACTCGCACCATTGACATGAATAAGAGCAGGAACATCAGCAAAGGATCCAAGGACTTCGTGACAGACAAGAGACATAGTAGGCGACAACTAAAGAAGATCGACATAATACGCACAGACCTCACATGTCGATTAGAAAGAATGTCATATGACCATGTGAACAAATTACCATTTTGTAGTGAAATGCATTTTACACCAAAAAATTCAGTCGATTTTGTTTTTTTGCCCATGTCACCGACAAAACCCACTACTACCATAGCAGTCAGAACATCCTGCGATGTTTGGTACGTCGTGAAGGAAGCCGCACTGGTTGAGGCATGGGATTTTCACCTGTTGAAGAACAGGTGGATGCCTGCGTGTTTGTGTTGTTCCCGTTGTCTTCAAGACTTGGGCGCTTTCTTTTTTTTCAACAAGAAGGTGGTTGTGTTGTCCCGGGTTGGGTGCCTGCTGTGTTTTGGATTAACACAATCGCTTGTTGTAAGTTGTTTAATGTGTTGGCTCCATGTTCTTGATTACATGGTTCATCTTCTGTGATAGGCATGGACAAGGACGGTAATGTCATGAATGTTACCAACTGCATCTAAATTTCGATTATCAAACCCTAAGTCACCTTATCCGATAAGATTAGATTAGATAGATCCCTGATAAGATAAGATGGATAACCGATTAACGATCACTATCTTTACATCACATCTATACTATATCGACGTCATCCATCTACATCCGTAACCCTAGACATCCGAACTCATCACATCCTTAGAAGTCCTACGATTAGGCAACGGGTTACATCATAAGCATCTACACGCCTCTATGATCGAACCATAACCGAGAGTCCTTTATGAGCTATCTCTTGAAGAGTCATCACCCCTTCACATTGCAGACCTTCACTTCCCACACATGACATGTTAAGAGTTACCTCTGTCATTCACCGAACCCCTTACATTAGAACCTGTTGCACAGTCACAGCTAAACCCTGAACCCCTATCACAGAAGTACCGCTCATAGAGAAGCATGCTAATTACCGAAGACCCTGGAGAACCCTTAGATCCGATCGTACCCGATACATCTCCAGATCCCATCTCTTATCGAGATCCTTAATCACCGCTCGAGACTTCTTGTCACAGAACTCTCTCACCCTTCTTAAATCTCCGTTCACCCTGAATAGAAGCAGTCCCTGAGAACCCTGCTTAATCACCGATACCCTTGACCCCTATGAACCCTTTCCCCTTTCTTGTAGTTGATTGGTTGATAAGACACCCTATACCCTGGGTGCAATGTTATGACCGTATATAGATATATCACAACCTTTCATACTCAGATATCTCCGCCTAGAGAGTAGTATATAGTTTAGGTCGTAGTCAGTAGTACTCCTTAGACTTAACCTCTTCGTTCTTACGTCATCGTAGGCCTAGACGTTCCCTCTCAAATCTATCCTTGCTTTATCCTTCTTCAGACGAGTCCTGTGGTGTGATACAATCTCCAGACACCTACTAGTTAGGTTAAGGGACGTTGGTCATAACAGGTAATTGGTTCCGTGCTTGTTTCTGTTGTTCTTCATTTGCATATGGTGTGTCTATGATGGTCTTTAGGTTTAACACGTCTAGTTGAAGCATTTCTTGTCGGACGTCCTGAAATGGGTGAGAGCAGATAACGCTGTAATTGAATGGACGAAGAATGAATAAACTTTGCAGAGACGTCGCACGCGATACCATTACATATGGCTTTTCGGCACCTTGACACCATTTAGAGCCAAGATCAATGATTATTTTCTCAAGTGTCTGTCCTTGTGACTTATGTGCCGTGATCACAAACCCTGGAAGTACTGGTACTTGTGTCTGACTGATTCGACACGTTTTCCTAGAATTGGGGTGGGTGAATCTGAGCTCTATGGAGTCTTCGATTATTGGGATCTGGTGCGGAGACAAGTTCGGGAGCGCTTCATCTGATGAATGACTAATTTCTATGATGCAGGATCTTAAGACCCGTTGTCCTTCATTGTTCAGTGAGTACCTGACTTTCCTGAGTTTTCCTGTACTGCCATTGACAATTCCGCCTTCAACATCAAAGTTCTGAGAGATGAGGATTGGCATGCCAATTACCAGCGGAATTTTACCAAGGCGCATGTTTGTTTTTCCGGAATTCAGATGCTGCAGTTTATTCACGAGAGTTTTGTCACGCAATATCTTTCCTTGATGTTTGTCTGTGCAATGGTACCAATGAAGTGTGTGTCCGGTCCTTTTTGCAAATGCCATCGTTGTTCTGATATTCAGCTCATCTTTACTTTCATTATCGCATACAATAATAGGAGCATCTTTCCAGGTGCAGTCACTTTCTTGTCTAGTGCTATTAGTGATCACTCTAGACTGTAAAAGTCGGTAATTGTCCTGCATACATTTTCCTTGACAGAGGCGCGAAAGGAACTCGACGAATCGTTCATTCTCAGTACCCGACTGATGCATTACCATTTTCAACAGGACGACGGTCTTTATGGATAGCCAGAGCAGCCTTCTGAATATGTTTTTCTGACCTTGTGTAGTTCCACAGCGTCGAGTGTCGAGGTGGGCATATAATTGCTTGCCACTTACAGGTGAAAGCTGGGCAAAATCTCCGGCGAATATGATGTTGATCCCTCCAAAAGGTGCAGTGTTCCCTTTTGCATCTACTAGTGCATTATGAATCTTAGTTAAAAAATCGCAGCTTATCATGGATACTTCGTCTATGAATAAGTAGTCGATCCCTTCCCACATTGCAGTGAGGTCTCGTTTTGTCTGGGTGTTTGCAGTTGACGAACGCCTTTGATTTAACAAGAGAGAAGCATGTAAAGTCATACCTGAGATATTTCGAGCGGCTACTCCCATGTATGAGGCGAGTCTGAATCGTCGTGCTTGATTCCGTCTGACAAAAAAGTCTTTTAGGGCGTTGATGACTCTTGATTTCCCTGTTCCTGCAGGTCCTCCGATGAACATCCTTAATGGCTCTGGTTTGTTCAAACGACTATGTTCAGCTATAATTTTAAATGCTTGGGATTGCTCATCATTCAAGGTCCAGTCTTCGGCAACACGTGTACTATTTATGTCGCAATATGGATCTATCGCATGAGTATGACTTTGAATGTTAGGAACAAGCATGTTGTTCGTCTCAAATGGTCTTGTTTCAAATGTCTCGATGGTCGTTAACGGCGTGTTTTTATTGGCAGGTGAAGTTGACTTAATAAGATCTTCGACGACCTGGTTTCTCTTCCATTTCGTTTGTCTCTTTTCATAGCAGTCGCGCCAATCGTTTTCTTGTGAGATGTCTTGAATGTTTACTTCTGAAGTCTCACAATTGTCTTCTTCATTATGAACAGAATCATCCAGGTATGAAGCGTGCGAGAGAGCATCAAAAAACTGACATGAATTCATATGCTGTAAGCAGCAAATCAAATCGTCATTGATTGTAGATTGACGTATAGAATGACAGGAATCCATGGATTCTAAGTGTGTGAGTATGTCATCGTCTGTATTGTCTATGAAGATGTCATCCTCCTGAGTACCATGGCCGTGATTGATCATTTCGGTAGATATTCCAGCTAGTTTATGTTGAAGTCGCCGGTTTGCGAAATGGTCATCTCGACTGTCCTTACACTCGTGCAGTATTTGCATATTGTTCAAGATAGAAGTAACAGCAGACGAACAGGTATGCTGGAACGCATCAAACACTTTGGTCCATGACTGAGTACTTTGCTTAAGGTCAGAAACAGATCTCCAAGGCTTGAAGAGAATGAGCATCAAGCGACAATACTTAGGATATATGGGCTCTTGATCTCAACGAGGCATGCAAGGTCCCATGGGAACAGGTACGAGTCGATTTTTCTGGCGTCTTACTTGCAAAAAATGAGTTCGCAATGCATAGTGCCCAGCTTGTAGTTCTCCGAAAGGTCGTTCTTTTGATGAGAATTGAAGGACCTCCTCTATCGGAAGGGGTTGATGTGTATCTGTTTGTGTTCCTGGCAATTTTTCGATATCCATATTTTCGTCAGGTTCATTATCACTCATGGATTCCTCAAGTTCATTCTCGCACTGGCCTGAGTGGTCAATATCATCATCATCATCTTCATCATCATTGTTCACGTCATCAAGCTTCAATTTCTTCTTTTTCCTGGAGTTTTTCACCTTGTCAACCTGAGCCATGAAATCCCATACGCATATATTGTTAAATTTCTCGTCTTGGTGGAGGTAATCCATCACTTGAGCAGCTTTCGGTACGAGATTGCCAAAGTTATCACTGTCAATTCTAATTTCATTATTCTGAAGTTGTTCAACATATATCTCTTCGTCATGCAGGACTGCTTGAACAGGTTTTTGCTGCAGGTCCGATTCCTCGTCAGCTGCATCCAGTATGTCGTCTCTATCGTTTTCATGGTTGTCAGTAATTTTTACGCCATCAATCTCTGATGACGAACGGTTGCATTCAGGGCTCGGACTGCATTGTTCTACAAAGGATTCGAAGTTCGTCCAGTATAATCTATGGTACTCATGGCTTGTGAAATGGTCCTCAAAATCCATGAGGTACAAACAGACTTGTTGAGCTGACAATTCTTGATGAGATATCATTGAATGAGCGCATTTTTGTAGCAATCTCTTGGCTCGTACCATGCATTCATCATTGTTTGGGTTGTACACTTCCAATTTGTGTATCGCCATCTCCATGGCAGCCAACGCGACGTGAGTTTTCAACTGAGATTTGGTTATGTAGTCAGTAATGTAATACAGTATGGCTTTCACAGCTGGTCCAGACCCAATGAATTTTATATCCATGTTGCATCTCACAGCTTCCAGTATAGTCGCATTGAAGTGGTTTACAAGTCCATCTAGACACTTCAAAGTGATCTCGCCCGTCTCTGAATCAGTAAAGCTGATCGGATGGACCTTTTTTTCATCCAGATCGAAACAGCATTCTTTCGGTTCCGGCAGGCCCTTCCAGTACTTCCAGCATGTCTTTGAATGTCGGTGAGTCTGACATTTCTTAGTGAGGAAATGTATGTCTTTTTCACGCATCATCTGCAGTGAATCATCTTTCACCTTGCGAAAATTGACTCCTCGGGTAGAGCAAGGATGGGCTCCTTCTTGTGGAGGTACCGACGACTCATCCTGTGGATATTCCAGGATACAAGTAGAGATGGTATCTTCCAGATATCGCAGAAGACGATCTTTAAAATTATGCTCGTCGTTTTGCAATACACAGTCTTTGATTTCGTTAGGATTCAGACCTCCTTCCAACCATACCATCATGTGACAATGCAGTTTCCCTTGACCTTGAGCTTCGACACATCCATAGTATGCACTAACAACGCCCAGTACTCCCTCATGTAGGTCCAGACCTTTTCCTTCAAATCGCAGAAGACATTTAATAAAAGCTTTCATATAGATATTGAAAAACTTCGCTGCAACAGCAGGATTTCGTGCGATAAGTATGGATTGATCCTGGAAATTTGGCACCTGTTCTGGAAGAAGGTCATCGATATCTATTTCAGTGCCAGCAAGGAATTTGACGAGAGGATTATATACGTCTGCTGGATTGATCGTGATGTAAAAACTGGGCAACCCTCAGTCACACATTAAACCGCGGATTTCATTTCACATGTTCGCTCTCGCATGCACGGAACCTGGCACATTTGAAGTTATTACTTGCACCTCCTTCATCAGTCGTAAAACAGTTCTCTCATCGTCATTGTTTGCAGATACAATGTCCCCTCGAGCCACGCGTTCTGTGACACAATGTACAGCCCATGGTGATACAACAGCAAGGTTGGTAGCCACAGTCGGAAAGGTATCTCGCTTGACCTTCAAAGAAGTATGTAACAGTAATTTCCGTCGCTATAAAATGTTGAACGCCGTGAATAGAAACGAGTAATGTTCCTGAAAGCAACGATCAGCTAAGTTGAACAAGTGTTTGACGTGTCTCTTAATTGACAAACGTTCAGAATGCAAGTGATCTTCAAATCCTCCTAAGCCATACAGAAACAAGGTGGGATAGATCATCGAAAACAACTCGGGCTGAAAAAATTCATTGACAGGTTCAGGATCATGAGGGATCTGAACATATCCTCCACCTTTATTCTTAATGTGATGAACTGCCACTGCTCTTAGTTCATTTGCAGATGCATGACCGTCGACATCAGTAACTACAACACTCTCAAAGTTAGACCGTGATTCAACAGAATGCGACACCGAATCGAACAAGTCTTCCAATTGGACTACTTCATCTTCATCATATCTCGAGGTCAAGGATTCCCACGCATCATTAGGCAGAATATGATCAACATGAAAGGGCATCAACATCTCCTCTTCCATCGAATCCAAGACGTCGTGACTAATAGTAATGTCTTTGTACAATCGGTTATGTTTTTTCAACCAAACTAATGCAGTGCGCACATTTTCTCTTCGCGCTATTAAAGGTCTCGCTTTTTCCTGAAGCCATGCTCGAGAAGGTGGACTTGAACCTACGAAAATGACGGAAATTGGAGTAATGATCTCATTGACTGTCAGAGGCAAGATGGCGGCAATGCTTTCTGGACGCTGAGGGTAGATGATTATATGACCTTTGATTCCTCGCTGATTGGTGGAAAGTTGCAGGTTCTGGTTCTCTTCCTTGAGCTGAACAATCCAACACTTTGCACGGCAGCGAGAAATCATAGCTTCCTCGACCACCATCAAATCTTTCAATTCGTCAGGTACGTCTCCTAAAAAAGTGCGATTTGCGAGGCTTAGAGCTTGTCGTTTTCCTTTCACAAGTTTTTTATGGCATACACTGCAGAGGGACAGCTGATATTCACCATCGTCGCATTGTTTCATTCCGGACGGTTCGAGCATCAAATCATATAGCGGACTGTTCGAATCTGTAAACGGAAGTTCAGGAAGGGTACAGTCTCTATCAAAATAATCATCTGACATATGCTGATCATCTTCTCGATCAGGTCTGCGCAAAAGAGATGAGTCAAAATCATACAGAGATATTAATGTACGTTCCGAACACAACACACTTTCGGCACATGACGCACATGTAAACATGGCTAGTTTTTCAGAAGAAGTTTCATCCCTGAACATCTGCACCAAACAATGCTTCAATTCTGACGATGGAATCTGAGGCCATTCACGACAAAGTTGGCATTGACAGTTTTTGCAATCTTTCTGTCGAGCTTGTGTCCGATTTTTATTGGAGGATTTCAACTTAGCTTTTCGTAGCGACTGGATATGTTTTTTCAATGTGCGACGTAGTCGTCCCGTTTTTGATCCAGCCTCAAATTCAACGTCATTTGCTTTCAATAGTCGTTCCAAAGGGCATCGTTTCGTATTGTTCAACACAGCTGTCAAAAAAGCGATTCTACCAGAAAGCACCTCTCCTTGTTATGACCAATGTTCACCAATAATGATGAAGGCGAGTTCACAACCACTAGGACTCGGTCAAAGATGATGAGGAACAGGATGGTATTGAGCGTGAACGTCTAAGTCACTACAACAGTAGGAAACGAAGAGGTTAAGTCTAAGGAGCACTTACGCTAACTACCCTACTTTTATACATAACATTGAGTAGGAGTCTGAAAGAAATCAGCCAATGAGAAAAGAGTCGTACGATACTGCGGATGAGTAAGTATGACATCATGATATATAAGCGAATGAATAAGACGGTTACTAAATAGAAACCCAAGATCCGACCAGTTCTTCTTTAGGAAGCGAGATTGTTCTAGCCCGTGGAGTAGGGGAGCCAATCGGAGAAACCACGGGTGATATGTGAAGAGGTGAAGGTGTGACAGAGTGAGGAGTCACATGACCGGTTCAGGTACTGGAAGTAGCCGAAGGAAAACCAAGAAATGAAAAATGGTTCATATTAGGAATTCGTGACACTCCTTCGTTTTCACAATGGTTGCCTAACCGTTGATGAAGTGCATCACACCCTTCGAATGCTTGTAAAGAAGAATAACAAAGACCAGTACCAACATGACAAGAAATGATATCTCAAAGTTCTTCAATAGACGAATTTGCAGGTACCGAAAGTCCGTGGGCAGTTGCCAATGCACTCAAAGCCGGTCTTCACAATCTTTCGTACCCATCAAAAAAGTTATCCACAACATGATCATTATCATTTGATGAAGATACGCCCACTTGGGTAGCAGATGATGAACCCGCTTGGGTAGCTAAACATGTTTCCGCTTGGATAACGGACGAAGAAGAGGACAGACCGCCTTAAAAAAATCATTCAGTCATATCAATATGATTCGGAAAAACATGCGTACCTCCAGGCTGAATATTCCAAGTATGACCGACAGAAAGCTGCGCTAGATCTGTCTCCGAAGGTCGAAGAAAGTGAGAGCCATCGAACCTCGCATTCACAAACGCAAGCCAATCACAACCAAGCTCGACATCACACCCATTCAAATAAACGGACCGAAAGGTCTGCCGAGAATTGTACCAACCGTCGACAGTAGGAACGCGCACTGGTCCAGAACTCGACTCCACAGCCATCCCATTATGATTGACAACAGAACACGGCACATTGCAACTGTGCAAGAAAGGCAAAGACACAGTGGAATCAGAACTCGCACCATTGACATGAATAAGAGCAGGAACATCAGCAAAGGATCCAAGGACTTCGTGACAGACAAGAGACATAGTAGGCGACAACTAAAGAAGATCGACATAATACGCACAGACCTCACATGTCGATTAGAAAGAATGTCATATGACCATGTGAACAAATTACCATTTTGTAGTGAAATGCATTTTACACCAAAAAATTCAGTCGATTTTGTTTTTTCGCCCATGTCACCGACAAAACCCACTACTACCGTAGCGGGAACTTTGCGGATATCCAGCTTGTTCGGCTGATACGGTTAGAAGAGCCAAAGGAAGTAAATTTGCGTTGACCCACATAGATCCAGCCATGTCGCACTTGGCAAAATCATAGTGACCGCCGCAACTCCACGTGGCAAACTTTATAAACTCATCTCGGACTTGATCAGGAGGTTCTACGTAGTACTCTATGGCGAAATGGCGAGGCCTCAAGACCTCGAGCAGAGTGAAACACCGAAACAAAGGTGACGGACCATCCTCGGTGAGTCAAATGTACATGCTATCTAGACTCGAAGTATTTGATTCATAGGTTAGGATTCCAGCCTACCGCCAAACCGCCTGACAATCCTACCATCCTCTATCAATCAGGAACTTCCTGCCAGAGGCTGGTGGGATCAGCAAATGCGACGGAATTTTGGAGACTGATCTATGTCACTATTCTCCCAAAGTCACTGTATGATAGCTTGATGAAAAACAGAACAGACTCGTATTAACCAAATTGAACTTTTGTACAACAAATCATGAATCAATCATGTCATGCCTATTGTCAACTCCTCACCAGTAGAAATACGGGGGCGCTTTGCAGCCTTCTCCCGACCATCTTCCTCAGTATGAAATAGATACTTCAGCATATCCAAGTCATGCTTCGCCACAATCTTCTCCCCATCCCACGCACCATCAGGACGTCGAATATCCGTCCGATTAACATGCATAGGATAACGGGCCTTTTCGATCGGTCCAGCCCAATCGAAATCGAGCAGCATGAAGTCTTTATTGTCTCTCACAACGAAATTCTTATCCCGAAGGTCGCCATGAACGTAGCCGCCAGTGTGTAACTCCTCGATAAGAGACGTGATGGCCTCCTTCAGCGGCTGGCGGTCCAAAACAGCCATCGCATTCAGCGGTCGATATGAGCCAGGCCGTTGCGCAAAGTAACCATCATCAATATCAAGCGCATCCATAATCACCATATTCCAGCCGCCGGCTAAAGGTTTGTAGGCGATAGGTTCCGGAGCGTGTCCCTTGCTGGCACAGAAGTCGTGGGCCTCACGGGAATAGTACCTGACGAACTTGATACAAATCTTCCTCCCAGCCGCATCGCCGACCGTTTCCCCGAAGAAGATAAGTCGATCCCTGAGCCTCTGAGTTTCATCATACGAAAATTCCTGAATTTGACCGCTTGAATAGGTATAACTCCGAGGATAGGGACATCCTAGAGATGCATCTTCGGCTGTGAGGCGCGGAATTGGTTGGGAGTACAGCTTTGTGAGTTTCTCGGTGGCGATTTTCAGAGCTCCGAAAGTACGAGCCGCCATCGCTTGCATAGGGAGGTCTGTTATATGACAAAACAGAGGAATGATAGGGGCCAGGACATCACATTGGACCTTTTCAATGAAAACAGAGCCAGCAAAGCCAATGCAGGCGCCTAGTTGTGGTCAATAAAGCACTTTAGCAATGAATTTGATCAAATGAACTAACCGAACACAATGATATGGATGCATGGAATCACAGACCGAAGCCTCACTATCTCAATCTTCGAGTCTTCCATAAACTTGCGGTAGTACAACATTGCCTCCGCGAATGGTTCGGCACCGCCGCTTCCGATCTCGCTCTTCACCTCCGATATCACCTGCACAAACTTTCCGTTGTGGGACAAAAGATGTCCGTCTGTCGGACATTTTGTCGAGCCAACCATAGCAACATCGAGTATAATACCGTAGTCGCGGAGCAGTTGCCTGAATACATACATCCGCGTGAGCTCATCGGGATAGAAGGAGGACATCGTTCTCAAAAGTTGCCAAACAAAGTCGTTATCGTGGACAGTTGGTTAATAATTTTGACAATCATCCACGAATTCGGCGAAAATAGGCTCGAGAAGAGTAACTGGAAGAGAGTCCGCGGCTCTGCGAGGACGATTGCAAAGGTACTCTTCCTCGTCCTGTGTTGCAGAGAATGCGGCCGGTTTTGCACCAGATGATGGAGAACCTGCGCCCTTCCGGAGATAAGCCAATCGTCGATCAACAACTGGAATCTGTGGCACCACAGGAACTAAGAACCAGCCGAGATGCTGATCAGTGTTCAAGGAATGGGTGGCAAACTAACAAATAACTCACCGGTATGCGGCGGTCGGACAACAATATGCAGGTGTTTTTCGTTGGGTTGTTGAGAGAAAACTTTGAACAATTGAGTCACAGGTGATAAGAATTGCTTCGGGTCAAGTTTGAGACTGTTGAGACGGTTTTCGAACGCCTCGTCGACAAGTAGGTCGACCTTCCAAAGTATCAGATCATTAGCATCCAATCATAGGCGTCAGGTCACTCACATCCCATAGCATGAGACGATGAGCGTCTACGTCGCGGAATGCATGCTTCGTCTTTTCCTTGATCATATTTTTAAGGTCCCCGACGGTCTGCGTGCGTCGAATGTCGACCGAGAAGACATTGTTGCGATGACCGCCCAACACAAGACAGAAAAGTTTGTAGTTGGACTCCATCTGATATTGGGAACAAGAGTAGTAGGTCGAGCAGTGACCAAGTACTGCGTAGCGAGCTAGGACAATGCAAGCAGCCCCTCCACATGACGCGTCAATCACGTGAACAATTTCATCTGTTGTTCTACACTGTCACTCAGGCAACTACCGACAACAAAACTTGTAATTCTACCTACACCTCCAGAAAGACTTCTTTTGTCTTGAAAACACTACAAATGGGCTATGCTAGAGTAGTATAGTAAGACTATCATAACGAAAATCATAGTGACCGCCGCAACTCCACGTGGCAAACTTTATGAACTCATCTCGGACTTGATCAGGAGGTTCTACGTAGTACTCTATGGCGAACCAGGCCTCAAGAGTCAAGACCTCGAGCAGAGTGAAACACCGAAACAAAGGTGACGGACCATCCTCGGTGAGTCAAATGTATATGCTATCTGGACTCGAAGCGTTTGATGCATAGTGCATTCCAGATCCTGTACTAGGTCGGGGGTTCGTTCGTGGCGCGCATCATCGTGATATCTCGCATGTTGGTCAGATTCGCTTTGCGATATTTGTGTTCGTCCTTATACACACACCACGAGTCGGTACTAGTCCTGTAATATTATACATGTGGTACAGACTCATACGTACCTTTAATCTTCGAGGTCCGGTCCTCTGCAGCTGGTGGTTCAATATTCAATCTCTAGTCTTTTCCATCCTTGCCATCTAAACCATCAACACTCTGGTGACTCCATTCAGCTGGTATTCTACGGCAAGTTATGAGCATTTTGCCGAGTCGGATTAATTATGACGCAGAACTTTAGCGACGTAACGGATAAAGCGTGAGGAAGCGCTCGTACGAGGACTTGGCACTCCGCAGTGTGTCTCTGACTGACGTCAAAGACTCATTTATAGCAACACCAAGTTTCCTAGGAGGCTAGGCCACAACATAATAGGGGGTTTTGAGCTCGATATAATGGGCAAGCTGAGCTCGATGATCTTCTCGCTTCACGTAAAAAGTGCTGTCCCCAGTGGCTCGATCCATCAGAATCTGTTCTAAGCCAACGCCCCAAGGTCCTCACGTTTGCTTTTGTACTAAAATTCGCGCCAGTCGAAGCTCACCAACTCTCTAACTTACTAGTCCAGTCACTCCTATTTCTGATGAACTTCAAATACATCACCGTCCTCCTTGCTGCGACTGCGGCCCCCGCAGTTGCAGGCCCCCTGGGCTACGCCATCTGCCAAACAGGTAAGGTCAACGAACACCATCATTGCGCACCGCCGACCCAATTTCTTGAGCAGGTTGCAACGGCATTGCTGTTGCTTGCTATGCTGGAGCTGGGTTTACATTCGGTGTCGCACTACCAGCGGCACCTCCTGCCATTATTGCATGCAATGCAGCCTTAGGGGCATGCATGGCTGCTTGCGCCGTCATCGCGCTTGGACCCACTCCCTGAGTGAGTCCCATCGCGAATGCGGCGACGAGAACATTTGCCCCTCTTGCATGATTGGAATGACGTGTCTTTTGTTACACTACTAGTAGTGTTTTCTCTTTCGTCTCGTGCATCGGTCTTTTGTGAGTCGTATTCTTCAAATCGCACGTAGTGTTGTAATTGTGTTTCATCAACCGTATGTATGTACTACTAGTATGTGTCTGGCACGCTGACACACAAAATTGTTTCCGAGTACTCCTCGTAGCTGCGTTGTGTTTTGTCTCGTCATGTTGCAATATCTTTCTCGCCATCGACGTTCCCGCTGTCTGGAATGTAGCTATCTGTTGACTCCACGGTGAAGCGTATCCTTCTCCAGTCGTTTCAGAGTTATTGACTAGTGCTTCATGACGGAGGAACTATGCCAGCGTGTGCTTTTCGAGGGTTGTTACGTATATACCAGCTGTATTTCAGCTGAGCTAGAACCCAGCTGATATATATGACGTGTCTGAGGCGACGCGTGATTGCCTCACCTCGCAATCTCGTATTACCAGGCTTTGGGACGCGACATCAGATCAATCTAGAGAGTACTTTAGCAAGCAAACTACAGTTCTGCCGAATACTGTCTGATTGCTGAGATTCCTTATCTAAAAAGAGCCGTGGTTGTCGTGCCATCCGGGCACAATCCTAGCAGCAACCATGACAAAGGTTCTCTTCATTGACGCAAAAATCTCGGCCTGAGCTAGCCCGCAATGAGGATGTACTTCGTTAAGCAGCTCCGCGGAATTTCCATCGTTCCTAGTAATGTTAAGCATCATGCAACGAAAGCACTTGGGAAAGTGCAACTACAAGTTGAGTACACAGCGACTGACAACATCGTGACACCCTCACGACTTCTCCTTTATTCTGAAGGTGAAAAGTGACAAGTCAGGTATTAGGATAGCAGTGGAAATAAGCGAAAGTACCTCTATTAGAATCATGGTTACTCCTCGGGCTTCCCAATGATGAAACCGTGGTACGCATCGTCATAAGTCCCGAGTTGCTCACGCTTCTCATTGTTGAAATACTTAAAGCCAGAGGCCGCTATTGCGACAGGTGTTATACATGAGCTCAGTGATCCACCAGGCATATAATAACTTACCCTCCACGCGCCAAAGCTGCATACCAAATCAGTACCTCATATCACTCTCACTGACTAGCACGTGGGTCCTCACAAGTACGTTTCATCCCCAATTCTGGTGTGGGATATGCCGCAGCAATAGCGACAAAGGTCACGAGTGTTGTGAAAACAAGTAAGAGCACGGTTGGAATTGAGAGGAATGACCACCGTGTCGATACCTTGCCAGAGTCGGGAGGACTTTTTATACCTTCACGAAAATAGGAGGTCTATGTGCTTCGATCAGTACCAACCGGTTCAATGGTTAATTGAGATCTAAGACTCGCTTGCCGCGAATACAGACGTATAGGAACGCGTCGTAAGAACCAAGGCCAGGGCCATATCCATACCCCTGGGCTATTACAAGGCGTCCCTTTTATGTTAAATTTTTGGGTCCTTATATGGTGGATATGAACTTCAAGTTCCTTCTCTTGCTGTAACAATGCTTCTACCAGGTCCTCATGGGACAACTTAACCCGATCTGATCTCATGAAAGTGGTCTAGTAAGTAAACCGGAGCGGCCCATCTAGTACTTACAAGGAAGGACTGTTACGCCTTATCATGGCTCGGTTGCAAGGCGACCCTAAGCCTGATATCATGTGTCTGGTGAGCGGCTTAAAAGCGTAGACCTGTAGACCTGATGAGGGAATGAGAAGACACAAGAGGACAGATGATGTTAACCTGCCAGCTCATGAGCTGCCGACCCTGTGAATTTGCCGATCGATGAAAGAGGGAAAAAGAAGTTCTGATACTGGTATGCGATGTCCGGTCTTCGTATCACATTAAGGTGGAACCGAAGTAGACCGGCGGCACAATTTTGCACATTCGATGGAGGCAAAAGTCCGCTGAAAAGAATGATGGAGGAGTCAAGACTCAAGATAGAAGGAGTCTGTGAAAACCGATCATGAGCAAGAGCATACGGTAGGCAAAGACTCTGGACCCTCATGAATAGTCACAGCGCACCCGGTGTTCGGTATGGAAAGTTCCACGAGCGCTTCAAGCCAGTTGCAGAAGGTCGCAGATCTCACAGAACTCGTCACGTACAAATGCACCCCATCAATCTTCTTCCAGTTTCAAGTGGACTCAAACTTTAAAGTCCCGCCGGCTCAAGTGACATACTGGCAGTCACCCAAGGGCCAAATAGCACACACTCAGGACAGGCCCAATGGTCTTGAGTCAGGTTGTAAGCCTTTCAGAAGAAAGAAATCAATTCATCATAATGTATCTTCCTCAACTAATGGTAAATATAACTCACAAAGTTGTGTATCTCTCGCCACTCAGAAGATCCCCTATACTTATTTTTCTGGTTGATGTATGATAACAACGTTCACAAGACCATCTGATATCGAGTCCTCGAGCTTATAGATCTTGTAGTAATACCATTGATATACAAAATAGATAAGTTCCAGAGAGACTCAGAGTGTTTAAAAAGTTGCTGCCAAGCTTGCCAGCGAATTTGCTCGGCGAAATTCCGAAAGCCGACCGTGAAGCCGTTTGAGAAAAGTTCCTTTGTGCGCATGCCGCCAATTGTAGCTAGTTACACCTCACACACGGTTTTCATTGCCGTGTTCACTGCCCAGCGCTTTACCTTAGTCATCGCCTCAGTCTTGAAAAGAAAACCCATCCTTGCCTTCGAATCGTTAGCGTTATCCTAACCCTGTCCATGAGGGGCCCTCCATACCCTACCCTCATATTTGCTTGCTCTTTGTTCATCTCTGTAAAAAGCCTACCTTACGATACAACCATGCTCATCAGACGAGCCGTCCCAGAAATAGGTGGTTCACAAGGAGGTATGTAGTCTCCCCCTGCTTTGTTTCTCCTCCGCACATTGCCTGAGTCATGTTTCCAAATATCAATCTCCAACAGGTTTCATCGGGCTCGTCGTCGCTCTGAGCGTGCTTATTCTCATCTGCTGCATCGCAGTCTTCTTCCTCCTCCGCAATCACGAACCCTCCGAACAAGACCGCGCCGCCCGCCGTGAGCGCTACCGTCGTCACCGTGAGCGCGAAGAACACGATTCAACAACTGCTTCGCCAGGGCTCAGCGCCTTTGGGGACAAACTCCGTGGAATGTGGGGAGATAGGCGCAGCAGTGGAAATAGGAGCGGGAGCAGCGGACGACGAGGTGGGCGTGGTTGGATCCAAGCTGGCTCAGGTGACGAATGGGAGACTGATTCAGATCATGGTGAAGAACGCGGGCCGCAGCAGCCCATGCAGTCCTTCCCCAGGTCTTTTCAAGAGGGCCCATATAACTCCCAGATCGCAGAAACAGACTCGCCGCTGTCGGATGCGGAGTCGTATACGCCGACGCATTATGGGGATCCATTTATGAAGGGCGCATTGCAAGTAACATCACCACAGCGGGTGACTTTTGCGCGTTCGCAGTCACCGCTCTCCAACTCGAGCTCCCCCATGTCCCCTGGTTCTCATCAAGAAGCAAGTATAGATGATGGAGAGGTGCGCGCGCCTGACCACCGTCATTTTTCTTCACAATCGACGACATCAGTGCGGACGTTTGAGGGAGGCACAAAGTTTATCGAGTCGCTCTAGCTTGTTATGATTATGTTGATGGTTTCCCTTCCTCGTGTTGTCGTATTTTCACCTTTTACTCTCATGGTTCACGTCTACTCATTACACATATTGTATCATCTGGACACTCATACGTGCAGTTGTTGTTTCATGCTCCCTTGCAATGTATCTTTAGATACTCCTGCTACTCCCTCGCTAAATGATTATTAATCTCGATCCACCATGAGCCTGTAGCGCATCACTCCGAGACATTCTACAGCAGACTTTCACCGCTAACAGATACTAACCGTTCCGGCTATCAGGTACCCGCTACGGGCAGTTTCAAGCTGAGCTTCAGTTTCGTCGTGTCCTTACTTTTGTTCTTACAGAGACACGAGTTACAGGTATTTGTCACACAGAGACGTCACCGGAGGCAACGAGTGGCGGTCCTTGCGCTGCAGCATACACAAGCGGCTCATCACTGGCGGGTCCATCTTTGAAAGGTGGTCATGCACATGCAGACAGATTGTCGCAAGTAGCTGCATTGTTTAAATGCTTCCCCATCTCACCCTTCCGAGAACTCTCCGTCGCTATTTGTCACCACCGACGACACCGATGTCATGATATAAATTCAGACTCGAGCATCCAACGGTCCTGGAACAAGATAGGTTTCTCTTGCGGACACTACCACCAGGATGCTTGGCGCGAGAACGTCGGCTTGATTTTTATGTGGGTTAAATTTCCGGGCGATGTCAAGGGTGCTTTGTGTTCTCTCGGGAAGTTTGCTCTACTCACATAGATTATTTCCAGCGGTAGTACGCTTTGTCGTCTCAAAACATACTACGCCCCTATCGCTCACTAGTAAAGATGGTTCTTTCTAATAATCGCTCACACCTCCAACAAGAATCACAACAATGCATCCATATTTTATGGATTTCCCCCCACTATCTATGCTAGATTCACCACATGCCCGACGCAGAGAACATTTGAACAAGCGCCAGTCTCAACCTCCTCCTGGCGTTATTTCATTCTACCCCGCCACGCATCCCACGGAGCCTTTCACAGAAGGCTACCGTCCCGAGATCCTTCCCCAAAAAGCCCCCCACCTCACCGTCCTGGAAATGACATCCCCTGAGCAATTCAAGCACTGTCACCAGCTCCTCCGCACATCCCTCCCCACCGATACTGACGCGGTGCGGGACATCATGCCACAGTCTAACGGGTTCGTGCATACCGTGCTCCAGGCATACAACCATCATCGTGGACTCATCCTTCGCCCGGATGACGTCTGGATCGCGATCCTCACACAATCTAGCTTCTTCGTCCACAGCCACGCAGAGCAACTCCGTGCGAAGTTCGTGGCGCATGAGGGCAAGGAGAAACTTGTCGTCACTAGCGGTGCAAATCGTCACAACGCCAATTTCGCGCAAAATGGCGGAGTTAATACACACTCGTGTGGTAGATCCGATGTTGAGGGATTGGATTATGCCGAACTTCTCGACGACGACTGATGTGGATCGGACGGTGTATGCGATGACCATGATGGCGACGATGAAAGACTATGCGTTTCGGCTGCGCTGTGGGACACCACGTGTGACGCTCCTCAGCGAGAAGCGTGACTGGGAGGCCATCCTTGAGCGACTAGAGCGATTGAAACAGTACGGGATAGAAACAATAGCATGGTATCACCTCCTGCACTCGGTAATCTCTCAATTCGTAACGGCCTTCGACGCGCCCTCCAGCCCAGAAAACCTCGACTTCTGGTCGCGCACTACGAGGGGGGCGGGAGCGGGCCTACCTACATCTCAGGCTGGATCACCGCATTCTGCGTATTCAGTGGACGAGGCGTATGGCAGGGCACTCCGTTGAACGCCGAGTGCATGCAGAAAGATGTGGCGTTGCATCCTGCAAATCCGCAATCGCCAAGTGTGGCTCAGTTCGCTGCGGTGTACGCCGCGTGCGACGCGAGACGCCCGTTCCTCGTTCTTCACGGGACGCCGTACCCAAGGATAGATAATGGGCGTGTGCCGTGTGGGTACGCACACGTAGATGTGAAGCTGGATGATAATGGGAAATTGTTTGATACGGTGATCGCTGTGGGCTCGGTCGGCGCGCAGATCTGCTCGATTGATGATCTGTCTAGGAATGGGATGCGGGATAGTGTAAGACCCGTGATGGGGTATTGGTACTTCATAACCGAGAAGGGTAATTGGTGGCCCCCACTTGTAACTTTCAATTTTTGTCAGAGCTTTGTGAAATAGATCTTGTTCTCTTAAGCATGAGCCCTTGGCCCTGATTTTGGAAATGCTGCGGTCAATCGAAGACAACGCACTACGACAACCTTCGAAGCTGACGCTGCAATGATAATTTGTTGAAAGAGGTGACGTGCGGCAAACTTCACTGTATGGCAGATTGTTGCAGCTGCCCAGTCAAGTACATTTTTCCCATTGGAAGCCTTTGCAAGTTATATTGGTTGGCCCATTTGATAAACATGGGCGCGCCTGTGTTATCAGGAGTGTATGTGATTGTTTTGATGCCGGGCGACCGTGCTCTAGAATAAACGCACAATTCTTTAAACGCAGCGGGCATTGTGCATTGCATCAACTATGTAGATCGTATAAGTATATATGTTGTAGATATTTCTATAGTGTCTTGGTACATGGCCACTTAAACAACGTAAACAGTCTCATTTGCGAGATGCAAGTATGGCTGGTAAGATGCCTGCAACGTATGTCAGATATGTACATCAAAGACAGTCGGAACAACGTACCCCAACGAGGCCAAATTGAGCAAGTCCAAGTTGTGCTTGCCCAGTAGCGAAGGATGCAGGGACTTGAACAGAGAAGTTCTCATATAGGTCGTATGCGTCCGGCCCAAACTGTAGATTGTAGGGGCCTTCGTACAAGACGGTGCCCATATCCTCACTAACTGTGGAACAGTGCCCAGTTGGGCAAGACTGGATAGCGATCACGATCGCTATCTCTTCGACGTTCGTGGGCGCGATCTGAGAGTGCGTGGGTCTTGATTAACATGATGCTCTGAATGATGCATGTTTGAAAGCTTACTCCCATGCCTACTTGCACAGTAAAGTTAGGCACCGGCAGTGATATTGGAGCCAGGCGCAGGCTGGTTGATGTTAGCAAATTGAGCACATACAGACGCTACCTAAGAGAGTATTGGCGACCAGTGCTTTGATTGGGAAGTACATGGCAGCTGCGAGTGTGGGCGAAGTGGGTAGTTCTTGGGCAGTTTCTAGAGAGATGGTGAATGCGCTAGATGTATCGAATATATATGCGCTGCGTGAGTGCTTTATTTAGTAACTACGAGCAGCATCTATAGGTGTTGTATCAGCAGCCCCATGCAACTGCGTAGCACTGCAACGGGGATGCAAACACCGCGAGAATGAAGTGCTAGTTATATGGATCATACTAGTTACCTGCCAGATTCCGGTGCTACTGTGATGTGGCTGAGGTACCTGCAATCCATACCATGAGCTGGATGGGGAAATGGGAGGAACATCAGTAGTATATATCTGCGACAAAAAAGTTACTGCGGGTGCTGCCTTGGCAGATTCAGCCCGAGGATAGAATTCCGGTGAAGTACTTGCCCATATATATTGGACTGATCACTGAGTTGAACGCGAGCTTCTGAAACATTTTTAAACATGTGATTCGCACTCACTTTGGACTGGTAATCAAGTAAGGCAATCGATCTAGTCCACCGGTGGAATCGGAGTGATGTGACAGTCCCGGTGAACGACAACCATAACACTATCTGGTAAGGCCCAAGAGACACAGTATTGATGTGCAGTCACCCATTTCAAGGCATTGAAGGACTCCTATGCCCGCGTCCTGAAAATGTAATTCCGGATGACGAGCGCTCACAGGCGTTCGGATTCAAGTTTGAGTAGCGGAGCGACGTTGCTACTGATGCCATCGTTGGGGCACGTTTGTAATGGCTTTCAGCATAGGTGGGAGTTGCGTAGTGGCTACTTAAAATGAGGTGAGCAACATGCCTTATTCTTCTTGGGAGTGAGCGCAATATTTCTCACATCCCTGGATTTCGGAAGTCATCAGGCCTCTGCGATAAAACGAGGCACGGCAATCTGAGGCTAAGGCTGTACACTTAGAGTATCAACATCACCCGCTATGTTGAACTGAACAACTCGCTGGAGCATTGACGCCGACGGCGTGTTTCGTCCGTATTCAAGTTAGTCCGGTCACATCGGAAGTGGCGCGACGCCACTCCACTTCACCACAGCCAGGACGATGCAGAGCTAGTCAAAATGTCAGATGAGTATGAATTAGCTTCAAGTTAGCTAAAACGAAACCTTGCGAGGGCTTCATGAATGAAAATGATTCATCAGGCCTCAGGACGTGTCCGACTCCGTCGCCTGAGTCTCACACTTACCGTGGGAGTCTAAATCACCAAAAGCCGGTGAAGTTCACCGGATCACCCGCTGCATGGTCGAGCTTACATGGTGCACTGCCGATCACCATCCGGTTGAATTAACTGTGTGAACGGGTGGTTCCGGAGTGATTATGACCGGAATGTTTGCCGATTTCATCAAGACAAGCCTTTTGGGTGACGGATTGTATTAGAAGGATCGACTGTCTTCCTTCTATAGGTCTGGCTAGGGGACTAGGTGATGAAGTACTTTTGACCATGTACAGTAGCTGCAATATACTTGCACCGGATTTTCTAGTGGTAAAATTTAAAACGCATCAAACTGCATATGAACCACAAAATTGTTTCTATTGCAATCAGATCTAGCAGAGGACGCGACATATGTGAATTTATACCTAAGTGAACCAAAATGAGGACGACAGTTAGTATGTACATAGTAAGACTTGTAGTAAGTAGGTCCGTGTCCTCTTAATTTAGGAGGAGAATTACGGTATGCACATCTTATGTGCATCATTGTGATACTGCACTACAGCGTCTATATTAAAATAGTCCTCAAAGTCCATAAACTGCGAAATAAGAAATCACGAAATCGTGATTGTACGATTTAAAGTCTCCAACGAAGGGGAAAACCCAGCCTAGATCAGAAGTTAGTTGCGAGCATCGACTTTGAACAATATTTAGAGGACTCACTCCGATAAGAGCGACATGAGCAACCCCAAGAAGAGCAGTTCCGCTGGCAATGCTGCTCGGAATCTGAACTGTGAAGTTCTGATAAGGGGGGCCTAACGGCCCTTGATACTGTGGATTAAAGGGACCGTTGTACAAAATTTGACCCATGAAATCAGCGGGGTCAATGCACGGCGTTCCTGGGCATGACTGTAGGCCAATCACGACAGCAACTTCCTCCGTACTCGACAATGTATTCTGCAAAAAGTAGCCGTTGATTAATAAACAGTGAATGATTTCATGTCAGAGACTCACAGGCCTCTCTACCTGGACAGTCAAACTGCTTCCAGGAGACACTGAAAGACCTTGTGGAGGGTATCCGATGGCAGCGTTCTGGGCGAAAGCAGAAACTGCAAGAAGAGCGAGGGAGAGAACTGACTTCATGATGAATGATTGTGTTGAATTCGTTATGACGATAGAAGCTATTAGCCCACCCTTTTATATGTTCACGGGCGTTCTTTGCTTGAGTACAAAGGGTAGCGTTCGCCGCAACATCCACGACCATGCGTGCCAGAAGATCCTGGTCATCCTAGTTCGCTGTGCCATCAATATTTACTAGGAACTTCAGTGACGTGATGGGTGACAGTCAGACAGTAGGCCAGTCTGGCGGTGACAGAAATGCCGTTGTGGAAGCCGGCAACACTCGGAAATGCTCATGTTACGCGCAGCTTTGATTCAAAGTTAATGTTGAAGGCTATGACGGTGCATGTCACATGAGTGAGCTGGCCTGAGCTGCTGTTCGGATCTAAGATCAGTAATTCCGTATTACTCAGCTTCTTGTAAGTCCAACAAGGCGTCCGATTCCTCCGACCTCCGACTTGTGCAAGCCTGCAAGGCGACCACTGCAAAGGCCCCGGGTCAGACTCACGCCGAACAATTTTTAAGGGCATCGCTCTCCTTTCATGGCTGCTCTCTCTTTGTCAGTATGGTTCTCAAACAGTATGTCACCTTTGTGGAACCGACGCATGCAGAATAAATGTCGCAGCTATAAGACACACGACAACCGAGTAGCATATGGCTCAGTCCCCAATGCATCCTCGAAATGAAAATTGTTAACCCAATCTTCGTCTTTGTTCGAGCGCTAGCGATAACTCAAACATCTGTCTATCCAGGAACAAATATCAGTCACCATTGAAAAATCGGGAAGTCGACGTGTCCACTTAAACCATATTTTACCGTCACCTTCCATAAGGACTTGCTGTCTACTTCTCAGGAAGTAGCCGTTGTCATTGCCATCCGCTCATGCCCATTCAGTCTTTGCGTCTCTCCCGCGAAGGTGCTAGGCGAAATTATCTACAGCGGTCCATTTAATCCCCAGACAAGCTTCAAGTAACCGAGCCAAGACTGTTGCGATCCCTAGTCCATAAGCAATGGCGTCCCTTATCACCGTTACTCAATTTGCCTTCATTGGGGTACGTGCCGCATGTCCATGACTTGTGTAAGAGCAAGTACTCAGAGTCAGTATGGTACTGACAGGCGGGGCCCCATGCCTTGCATAGAATTCAAAAATGTGTCAGTGGTAGTGAACCAGCTTATTTCGCAGCTTATAACATGATCTAGTCCAAGGCTTGTCTACTTGGGTAGATGGAGCACTGCTTGATGCTCTGTTACCATTCTTAAGTTCTAGGGCGGATGTCTTCGCGAAGAAGAATGGGGCACACTACAAACATGATCCGTTCACAAACGATCCCATTCGGCAACCCCTGACCGCCCCATGGAAACAGCTGTCGCCGCCGGTGACCAATGTCACTTCATCCAAACATGAAATTTATGAATACGTGCCTCGCCCTCCACTGCCTCACGCTTGGCACGAAACCTGCGCAATGGTGCAATGTCCCCGTCGAGAATGAAGGCGGGTGATAGTTCGCAAGCGTCTGTTTTCCTGAGATATTGTCGAATTGCAACGAGGTTTTCAAGTAAGCGTCTTCCTCGCTCTTGTAACTGCTCTCGCACAGAATATTTACATTGCAGCGCCCACCTAAAATCAGACGGTTGGTGCCGGAAGTGACATCATCGTCCACAACAATCACATTGTCCCTCAGGATCACACACCTGAACTCGCGCCCAGACTTCGGTCTTCTTCGCAAGAACTAGATGTCGTGATTGCAATTCAATCGTATAATCCGAGCTGCTGGCCAGGTGAGGTACTCGGAACCCAACCCGAACCCGGATGACCTCTAGCCATATCAGAACTTTACCATTCACGTCCCTTCTAATTTGATGGGTAATGCGTTGCTGACTGTCACACATGTGGCGCTTATCGGGGTAAGAGCCCGTCATCATGATCATTTTGTACCAACGAAATGGGAACTGCCTGCATCGGTGCCAGGCTGGGCCCATTACGTGGATGGAGGGAAAGACTAACCCTCTGATATGCTCTTTGATACGCCTGTCATGAGTCATGATCAATGATTTCACCAGCGATTCTGATGGGGATAGCAGTACGAAGCAATATGAAACGGCTCTGTGCACTTCGGGGTGTTTACGATGGGAGTTAGGAGTGATCACCTCAGAATAAGCCAGCAAGTTCTATGTTCATAGCAAGTTACAAGCCAGATCGTGTCCTTGGGAATTCAAAGACAAAAACAAACACCATGCAATCGATTGATCGAGGGCTTCGTCTTCGGCGGGAAGATTCAATTGTATTATTTTGGGTAGCCCGGACGTACTACCTAAAGAGCTTGAATGGGACTAAGACATGTCAAACGAGTTAAGCGATGAGATGGTCAATGATAAACACCACGCCAGAACAACCTTCCTTCAAGTTGCAATTGCAACGATCACTTAGTGCTACACAGCCTAAACTCGTTCACATGAATGCAGTACGTTGCACGTTTGAGTTGGAAATGTGATGTGGCTTGGGTCTAAAAATACTCCCGCGGCACTCTCCTTGTACGTACCAGCACCTACTAGAATATCGGAATGACGCATTTCAGAGTCTTTCTCGGCGCACCGTCCGTCGGTGATTTCAAAAAAGACACTGGTTCATACACTTGGAAGACCGTCGAACCTCCTTCAGCAGAGGTCTCCCAAGCACTACTTTACCCACCCGCAACACTTGAGGCCGCGAGCAGACGAATATCCTTGTTCTACCAGAATATCATATTTGACGATAGTAATGAAGAAGCGTTTGATCAGGAGCCTGCTAGCCGGGGCGCATGGCCCGAGGGCAGCCAGCCTATGATGAAAGGTGTGTCTTCTTCATAGTTCTCCGATCGTGTACTCTACCTCATAACTACAACAGAGGAGACGACGGTGATAACCTGGCCTCCAACCCCTGTTGCAAATACCACAGGTGCCCCGTCCTTCCTGCGCACATCCCAGTCGCAGTCACTTGTTGCGACATATGAAACACAGGAAACTACCTCCGTGTCTTACTCAGACGCGTCTTCTATAGCTCGCTTCCCACATTTTCAGATCAGCCTTCATAAGGTCTCATCTCTTGCATCTCTTTATAGCGAAAACATGACAAGAGGGAGAAAAGTGAATATATTACTCGCCACCCTAGAGGTCGAAGGCCCAGATATAGTGCATGTGAAGAAAGGCCCGGACGCAGGGAAAGAAGTCTCTGTTCTTAAAATGATTCTGGGTGATGAGGATGGCTCAGTATGCAAGCTCACTGCGTGGCGTGATGTCGCAGATGCCTGGGGTGTACTGGGCGTCAAGCGCGGAGACATAATTTATCTACAGAGTACGTATCGTATCACGATCGCATCGCGTGAACTGACGTCAATTTCTCACACAGACCTCACGCCATCCTGCGAGCCAGGCAGCTCGATCACCTTCACTGCCTCTCCATACAACAAGCCCACCGCGGAGATATGCTTTCGGACCATGCCTTACACACATGAGGACAATTGCCTCCGGCCGGACCTCCGGCTCGCACAAAGCGACGCCGCCGTCAAGAAGGTCGCTGCACTGGCCCAGTGGTTTGAGCGGATGGCCGGGTTGGTAGTTGGTTGACACACGCCAGCTAGACATGCGACGCTGTGGCATATCCCACGTTTGACACGGATATGTGCTGGTTAGACCTAGCTACTAGACCTTCGCTGTGGCGCAAGTTGCCGGTTGCGTTGGCATGACCAACGTCACTGTCCCCGGCTGCGAATCAAGCTCGATCAATTCGCAGATGTGACTCGGTGAGTATGCCTGCAGGCCCACTCGCGCGCAGCTGCATGCAAGTGTTCTTTCATTCATTTATACGCATACACCCACAGTCATCAAACACCCATACTTATAATAGACACGATACTTCGCCTTTCGTTCCGCACACAGGACAATGCCAGCACACAGGACCACATCATCGTGTGCGCCACTGCTTTGGCCACAACATGACCACCAGTACAAAAGCCCACTCATTTTGCCTGTGGATGTGGATGTGGACGTGGACGCGGGTGATGGGACGCCTTGGCGTTGGTGCTGGGGGACTATAAATCTCCTCGTCGGTGCTCCTTGCCTGTCAGTGCCGTCGTGTCGTGTCATCTGCACTCGTCTAGATCTCGAATCCCCCTCTTCTGATATGCCTTTCTCGCAACCTACTGCTGCAAGCTTTCTTCCCGTTCCCTCCGCGTTCGCACGTCTTCAACGCAGCATTAAAGCTCGAATGCATGCTTTCTCTGTTTTCGAAACTTGGGTGCCGAATATCCTCACCTTGAAGCGCAGGACTTCTCTTTCGTCCCCCCGCATGGAAAAATCGTCCTTCACCTCCCAGGGCGCGAAGCGGAGATCTTTCCTTCCATTGCTAAAGTTTTCTTCATCTTCGTCATCCTCTTGGTCTTCTGGGGACTCGACCTCCTGTCCGAAATGTGTGGACTCTGAGTCAAGCGTCGAATCAACCATCCCCGATATTGTTGTGACACCGGCGAGTTCTATTTGCGCAGTGCTACCGTCTCCTGTGGGCTTGTTTCGAAACGTGGTGTTGATTGATTGGTTCTGACCGTTTCACCTAGCCTCCAATTGGGACCAAAATTACCGATCGCTTCTGGCCTGAGGAAGATCTTGAACTGCGAGATGAAGCAGCTGGAAAAGGCAGTTTTTCGTCGCCAGGGATCGTGAATGTGTTATCACCTCCTCCATATCACCGACGTTCTCCGAGTCTCATCGTGAAGCAGGACAACGTGCTATCTAGGTCCGTTTTTCAAAATCAGTTCCAGTTGAGGGAAGCTGACAATACACGAGCAGTGATAATTATCCTTCACATTATAGAGACCAGGACAACTCGCTCCCTATGCGGTTCCCGTTCTGAGTATAGTTTGCGATTTAGATGAATGGTATCTTACGCCCGCATTAATCAGGCGCGTCGTCTGCCTGTAGATTAATATTCAATACTGTATCCCAATGTTTACCATATCTCTCTAATTTTGTTGTATCAACCGTGCAAGTCATATTTCCACCTACCACTCTAGTTATGTAAATTAGTACCGTCACTTGACAGGGGCGGTCGTATCTCATCCACTATTATCCGAGTAGCCTCGACAATAATCTCCCACTCTACCTTATGTAGTCTCTCCTCATAAACCTCTATCGCCTCCCCCTTCACCACCTCTACTCTCCTTTGAATTAACGGCTCGCCACGATCAACTTCTTTAACCACGCGATGCACCATTACGCCCAACTCATCCACCTCACCCTTCTGGAACGCCTCAAATCCTCGCTCAACAGCATGCGTACCATCAAACTGCCCAAACAACGCCGGATGAATATTAATCACAGGCACCTCCCTCGCAAGAATCTCCTCGCCCTCTAACACCCGCGTCCCCTTCAGCACATCCAAAAACCCCTCGCTCACGATGTGCATCCACCCCGCACACACGACCACATCTGGCTTAGCGCGAATCACGATACGCGCGACTTCGAGATCGTAGTCATCACGTGTTTTTCCCGGGTTCGATTTAAGAAAAGGCTGAAGTCCGAGGTAGGCAGTAGGGATCGGAGGGGAAGCAGTGGAAGCGCGTATCAAGCCACGCGCATTTTTGCGGTTAGAGAGAACGAGGACGATGTGTGTGTTAGGCAATAACAACGTGTTCTGTGCGTCTATCAGTGCTTGGAGGTTCGTTCCTATAGCCGCGAACCGATATGACAGGGTGTACAATTGCAAGATCGAGATCGAAACATACCCTCTCCTGAGATGAGGACAGCCAATCGTCGTGGCGACGTTAAAGCAGAGCTGGGATCGTCCATGTCGCTGAAAAAGATAAGTTCTCAGAAGAAGGTGCTTATTCTTACGGGTGCGGACGAGAGTTTAATGTGCAAAGGTATCACGGTGGCCGTCAATACGTCGTGATAAAGTTGGTTGCCGATCGCAAAAGTACCCTTGATAACGGGGAAATTACGGACATTATAATACATACAGTTAGCGTGCTTTATTTAGACTTAGCAAATATTCGACTTTTCATGATCGCGGAGTCAGCTTAAATGAAAGCCCTGCGGCATCCTAAAAATAACCTTCTGATAGACCCTGAAGGCTGAAGCGGCAGCAGAACACAATGTTTCTAAAGAAGAGCTCACTGGGTAAGTTCCCAAAGATGGGAATGAAAACCAACACGAATCCCGAGTACCCCCACCATGGCGCAGGATCTAGTCTACAACGACATGTATGCAGTGTTCAGTGATCAAATACAAAGTAACAATTGTATAGTTAATGCACCCGCTAGATTGTAGTAGGGAGGGGTGCGCTTTTTCAATAACAGAGCCCTGTGATACGCATTTGATTCTGATACGAAACACCAACAAAGCAATGTAACGAACGTTTATACTATAGGTTTTTGGTTAGTTCAAAAAGGAGGGTTTTCGTTACTAGTGGTTAGTGTTACATAGATAGAGACAAAACAACAACAGCGGAAGCGAGTGCGTGGAAGCCGGTGAAGGTACTCGTAATAAAAATGATCAAGCAAAGGAACTCGAGAGGCCACCTGAGACAAAATGAGCGGAAGTGGGATACCGAAATATAGATGACAAAACATGGTCAGAGCACAGTATGCGAAAGAGAAGCGAGGGAGAGCGATACGTCGCCCTAAAAATCCAAAGGCGATTGTGCACGGCACGGGTATCAGGTGCACTGCTCCAAAGCTTGTAGGCCTCATATCATCATGCCATATCCTCCGCTACTGCCAACGTTAATTGGAGCGCCTAAACCTTGCTTCGTTACCATGCCTCCCATCCCATCGTCACCCCTGCCACCCCACGACCCTGCAATACCGGTGTTGATGTGGAGGTTGCCCATGCTCAACCGTTTAGGTATACAGTAATCAGGATGGGCGTTTGCGATCTCGTAGTTCATAGGTGAAGCATGCGATGGTGAGCCGTATCCAGAGCCGGGACTGAAGCTACCACTCCTCTCCCCGCTGTGACCAGATCCGACTGAAGATGCGTCATCAGCATCACCGATATACCCCATGGCGCTGTGATGTTGTTGAAGTGCGAGCATTTGCTGCCGCTTGAGGCTGGCGAGAGTCACTTGGTCACCAAAGTGATTGCCAGTCGTCGCTGATGGTCCCATGTTGTGCGAGCCGTTGGGAGGGGTGATCAAATTGCGCTGCATCTGAAGCTGCTGGAGCTGCTGAGGGTTATAGCCGGTGTACATGTTTGTCCACGCCTTCAAATTATGTTGTTCCATAGCGGGATGGTGGTGCCCCATGTAAGGGGGTGCGGCGAAATTCACCTGAGGTTCATACACCGAAGGCATCTCTGGGTTGTCGAAGGAAACAGAAGACGGCATCTGTGCGATCATGGGACCGCCGTGCGAATTAGGCGGGCCGCGTGGCATCAAATGAGCGATGTTGACATCAGTGGGGGGAAGATTCCCATGCGCATACATGCCGGTCTTGAGCATCGTGGCGGTGGCCATGGGATCATCAGTGTCTTCCATGGCGCCTGGCATCGAACTAGCGAATTCATCATCACCCTCCTCGTATCCGTCATACGCCTGTCCTTCTTCATCTTCCTCTCCGATGACAGCTGCAATGATTTCGACTTCGCCATTAAGGACCATGGAAAAGCCATCTCCACGAATGGGCTCTTCCACACAAGGAAGACCGGCACGATCACGCCATTCGTTGAGTTCTCGGCGAAGGGCATCTGATTCTCCCTTGAGAGCACGCAGCTCCCGCGAAGCAAGGAAGCGGTGACGCCTTGATGCGTGAACGTGTGCGATCGAAGAATTGACGATCGCGGACTTGGATGGCCTGCGGATCTGGGAAAGATTAGGAAGTAGTGCAGCAAGGTCCTAAAAGTAAATGTTCGGATCCGCAGTTATTTTATTGAAGAAAAAAGGAGGCTTGCCAAAAATCTGCCATTGAGAGTCTCTCTGCGCTGCCTCTCGACGGCGTTGTGAGTAGCACGCCTTTCGGCAGTATTGGCTCGGCGACTGGGCTTTCGCTTGACCTGTGTAACAGCGCCGTTGGCTGGGGCGGTGCTAGGACTTTGTGATTGGTTATTGTGGTTCTGCTCCGTCGGTGATGCCAAGGGAAGAGACAGAGTTTGGCCGGCGGTAGGAGTAATGGGCGTTTGAGGGGGAACAGAACCGTCTACTGAAGCTGGTGAATTACCAGCAGAGGGAGTGGAAGAAGAAGCGATTGGAAGAGTCATGGCCATTGGTGAAAAACAGGGGTTCTAAGAACGGAAAGTAGAGTATAATTGAGCGATAACACGAGTATAACAACAGAGAAGAGCTGGGATCCGGCGACAACAGATGATTAGCCGGGTAATAGCGATTTTACAAGGGATAATTATGAGAACAGTAGGGGTACGCGAGTTTCCTCAGCGGAGGCCCTTGACTGTGGGGAAGTGCGGGAGCACTTGAAAGCGGGTGATGCGGGTTAGGTGGTGGGTGAGTCAGAAAGCTGCTATAAATCAGAGTCGCGAGCGAGCTCAAGCGTACTACTGATTGGTCCTTTGAGGTATTAAGTTGTTTGAAAGGGCGGAATGTGAGAAGCCGGCAAGGGTCGCGAGATCTGTTGAAAGTCAATGAAAGTCAATGACAGGGATATTAAGTCGTTCTGGTTTTGTTTTCATGATAAAAAGACGAACCTCAAGCGGTATCCTTGTTAGCGGCGAGGCTTAGTCGGGAAGGGAGGGAGGAGAAGGGATATGGACCTCAAAGGACCATGCGGGAAGGAAGGACTAGACGATGGGGTTGTAAGTGAAGAGCACTTTCAGAAGATGACACTTTCAATTCCTGAAATTCGGCTAACTCCGCATTATTTTATATCTTTTTATTTTCCCAGAAAGTCACAAATCCCTCTCACGTATCCCTAAGTAACCTTGTTTCGGGTCTTATCTAGCCGACGTCACCGACAAAGTCCTTGCCGAAATATATTTGTTCATGTTTTGACCTGTTGGTATTCGTCCCTTACCCCACCGAGAGTTGGGCTAGATTTTGTGATCGTGCACTCTTGGACATTGGCTCGGAAGAAACAAATAACACCCGTTGGGATCCCCGGCGCTCCTGGGACATTTAAGTCCCTCCCTTTACGTTTAACAAACGTTGTCGGAGAATTGCATCCTTTGATCACGGATTCTGACATCTGGCAGCAGCGCCTCCGGATCCTCTTGTTGGCTAACCACAAACGGCGTTGCTATCACCACCGAGAACTTGGTACATCTTTGTCTTCCCTCGGTCGATTGTTGACATCGACTCGCGGTCCCTCAATTCACAATCCCCAATATGTTTATTTGCTATGTAGACTACTACACTGTCAGTGTCATCTCGAGGTCGTTGGCACACTGATGTGATAGAGTTCCTATCTCGGGTCTCGGGTCTTGGTACAGGTTCCGTACTGTCTAGTGACGTTAATCATAGCATACAATCAAGTTGTGTCGTGTTCTTCTTTGAGCACTGCCGAGCCATTGTCAGTGCCAGCCCTCTCAAGTACAATATTAATCCTTTTCCCTTGGGAAGTACCCTCACACACTGTCAAGTCCTATTTCTTTCCCTCCACTTTCTGCGGTATTTTTTGTTTTTGGCTATTTTCGTGCAACATAACGCTGGCGCAACTTTCTTAGGTCTTACAGGGTCTGGCACTATACTACACATATTGGGCGACAACTCAAAATCATCATGAGAAGATGCACCAAGATGGCTTCCGCAAAGTTCGAGGGGGCCATGTCATTGCCTTTTCGATTGTCAGGAGCAGATCCATTAAATGCACGAGAACGACAAGGCCGCCGCAGGGGCACAGAAGCACCTCCCCTGTGAAAACCCGGCAACGCATTATTATCACAAGTCAAAGGCATATAAAAGTGCCTCGCGCTGTCGTCTGCATTCGACTCATCTGACACCACTAGTACTGTAACTCAGTCAACCATTCACACGACAGTGAAGATGCAAAACGCTAAACTGTGAATTGACAATCCAACTTTGTGATAAACTCCTGTTTAACGACCCTGGGTCATGTCAATCCGCCACTGATCACCGTAATCGATTTTTGACTTTTCAGCACATTTGCGAATGAGAATGATCGGGGCCGCTTGTTGTTCCGGACAAAAGACAAGTTCTTCCTTTCATAGTTTGTTCAAAGTGAACTAGCGTCGTCGTCACAGCAGAAGACTCCTAAACTCGATTCCTAATCTCAACCATTGAGTTCATAACGCCAAGGGGACTTCGTCAGACGAGTCCAAAGCCTTGCAGCCCTCGATCCACGACCATCATACACCGTTGGGAGACATTGACGATTCCTGTCAGTGACAAGTGACATGTGTATCGTTCCCCCACATCTCTCGTGACTTTGGCGGTACCAGAAATTCGCAGGTCAGCTGCAGCCTGGAACTATAAACAGCCAAGCTTGTCAACTACATCCGCTCTGCAAATCACTTCAAGCGTATTACACCCCTGCTTTTGAGGTACCTTGTTCTGTTTGTCAGTATTGCCTTTCCACGACTTCTCTGCGCTTCTATCGCAGTGGCATTAATCATACCGAGCGGTTACTGTAATGACTGTTACTTTTTGACCGATATACGATATGCACGATAAGACCTATTTGCCCATTTGTGCTGGTTACAGCTTAGGTTACAGGTATCGTGATAACGGCAAGAGAATCTATGGTAACGTATGGGGAGTAGATTATACAGTGGCGTGGCCGAGCCTAGCAAGGTACCTGCGTGTCGTGAGCAAGGAATTGATAAGAGGCTACGCTACAACAAAGTCCAAGGACACTAATAGTAAATAGCCGGTGCTGTGCGGCTGCTACTACTCCATCCCTCGCCCTGGGATCCCCTACTCCAACGTTGGTGAAGTCAGAAGGACTCAGACGCGATGTAAAACCCCTCGGATCATACACCATCTATATCCTGCCTACTATATACGCCCCGCGATGCAAATGCTACTATTCATGTGCGGTGCGGCTCCGAGGAGTGTAGACATGACGGCGGGAGAATCTACAGTAAGGTGGAAAAATGGGGAGTATAATGTACAATAATACATGAAGGACGCGACGAATCCGACGTCATTAGTACTCACCCATATATATACGCTTTACTAGACGAATGCTATATGTGTGCAATCCTCGAGAACTAACCCTAGGTTCCGCAGCCTGCACAGACGTGAGACAAGACGCGGTAAAAGATCTCAGGTAGATATTATTCAAATTGTTACAATGTTACTTCGTACGATTACAAAGCATGCCTTCGTCTCGACTTCTCAAGCAGCCAGCTTCATACCAACCACTTTACAAAGGGGGGCGACTAGTTTACCATCAACTTCACTTGCACTTTTCTGATCTTGTCACCGATGAACTCAAATTCGGCATTGAAGGGAATCTCCCCGGTATTGAACGATGGCACTCTGAGATGGATCACGACGGCAAAAAGCTCACGTGACCCTCTGTTGATACTTGGCCGTGCACTGTTTTCGTACGCAGGTCAGAGATAGGTATCCGATCAGGAAATTAAAAACAACTTACCCGAACGGTAAAATTCCCAGTCTGAGGATTCTCGGTAACATTTTCTATGGTAGTCTGAAGCATGTCAGTGTAAAGATTCGAAAGAAGACGCTTCAACCTAGAATGATCGTCACCTTGTTTGTAATATGCCTAGCATAGGTTTCACGAAGAGCTTTGAATTCCACTTGATTGACCCCAGCTTTATCCCCAAACATCTCTCTCCAATAATGCCTGATGGCTTGGGCTCAGCCTCGTAAGTGAAGTCATCGGTTGCGTACTGGTGGACGCCATCAACGTCGTTATCGATCCTGTCGAGGTATGCGCGAGAAGCGAAAGATTTGGGGGAGCTAGACATAGTGGCTACAAACGGGCGCGATGATCGATGATCAGCAGTCTAGAACCGACGTTTTGGGAAGACGCACCAATTTCCCAGAACGTCTAGAGACATTAAAGCGCAAACAAAGGTATTGTTTCTGGGGTCTGACTGTACCAGAACGAGACTACCGCTCAGCGTCCGATGGAACATTCGTAAATGTGCCTTGTACATATGAGCACGACGAATAGCTACGAACGCCTTCCACTGCGCAAAGACAAGTGATATTCAGAGTACTTAGAAGGCATCATGCGACCTCCAACAACAAGATGTTTTCCTTCCGTGTGGAAGACGAGTGCTTTGATCTTGAAGCCGTTTTGCTTCTTATCTGGATTGACTCTCAGAAGAGTGATGATGCTTCTCGATTGCTTGGCGTCTCGCTATCAGTGTCTCAGGGCTGGCAAATTGAAATACGACATTTGTCGAGCGAAACAAACAAAAGAGGTACGTGTTCTCGTTGCACAGCTGATACAGCGGAGATGAGCGCTACTGCTTCTTGCTTCCCATGGTGATGATCAATGACCTGCATGATGGTTAGCGATAACAGAGTAAGATACAATCACTCAGGAGAATCCTAAAGAAAATGTCTCAGGCTTGTATCACAACCAACGGTAGATACTAACTCACATTCATACTAAGCGCAGTCTGAGCTTCTCCATCACATCCAATTTCCGTGCACGGGTCTTACTTGCTTTCCCCACTTTGTTCGTGGCGCAGCTTCGCACCAACGACAGTTCTGTCTCTGAAACCATGCTGTCGTCGACCAACTTCGTGAAGTAATTGATGGTCGCTAACTCAAAGTCGGGGTTTAGAGAATAAGCAGAATGTTTTGCGTCCGTGAGTCTGAGACTATGTGCCGGAACGCAGAAATACCAGCTAAAACGGAGGGGAAAAGATCACTGGAAGAGAGCACCAAGGATGGAGCATGCACAGTCCAATATTTTCATGTTGATATTTTCTTGACCCGACAGCGGCTTTGGAGTCATTCAAATGCGATCCCTTGAGATATGATAATTCAACCTCGGAGTCACACTCGGAGACTGCGTGGTTCAAGTACATTACGATAAACTTGACATATCTGGGCCTCATTAGGAAGTTACATTAGCCAGCGCACGACACTAGGTAATTGGCGGACGTACTCACATCCATCTGACTTTGTTCAGATATCGAATCTCTGGAAATACGATCAAAAAAATTGCAGGTGAGCGTAAAACACTTATCGCAGCAAAATAGTGACCTAAATTCCACTAGTCAGGAAGTAAAGTGCAAAAGGGTCAGACGCGCAGTTATCAAGTGGCGAAATGCGTCTTTCACCCAGCCATTGCTGCATTTCGGATAGCATTTTCGGCTCCCCCTGCAGCTGAGACACGTACCACGATGAATGGGCTTGAAACGCGTACCGCCAATGTCTCCATTGATAATTCATCGATCATCCTCAGTCTTCTTCTACTTCTTGCGCGGGTTTTCGCTCAATGCTACTTTTCTCCGTTTGGAGGACTCCGAGTGAGAATCGATTGACACCAAGTTGGCGTGAGTCTCTCGTAACCATAAGGCGCGTCAAGATCCTTCCTTTGTCTGAGGAATAAAAATGAGAGGGAGCAAGTTGTAGGTGAAGTATTGCCGGGTAACCGGATTCATACTTGGCACCGGCGGCATTTCCCGCTCGCGCCACATAATGCATAGGCTCTGGAGTCCGGACCAGCTACTTTTGAGCTACTTCACTTTAACTTCACTACTACCAGATTATAGATCATCATTATGCCACAGACAAGTCGAGTGGTGTAGCCGTCCAAATTCGCCCCTCTCAAAGACGTACGTCAGACTGGTCACAATTATTTGCCCATCTACAACCCAACTACTACGACCGATCTAGGCTACAGCTTTCGATTCGTTTTTCGGAAGCACAAAGTTGCCCAGAAAATATGGTACTTGTACATTCAGGCAGAACGGAGTGAATTGACATACTGATATGTGAACGTGTAACATAAATGGGAAGAAGACCTTGAGATCTGGGATTGCCGTTGTCGCGAGTTCACAAATCGAGTTCACATTCAGGAGTTCAGGCTACAGTGGTCAATGATTATAGCAGGGAGTCCCCTTGGATGCATTCTTTGTGTGGTGACACTGAGCAGACTGACAGTTCGAAAGAATCACCGATTCTAACTTTCCTTCCATTTTCTGACCTGGATTCCAGGTTTTTTTGCGTCACGGTCAACTATATAAGCCACCTGCTATTCACCGCTACACACCATCATCTGCGTAACCATCGGCCGCTGAAATGCCACGGTCTGTGTCTCCGATGGATCCAACAAAAGAACGACATACTCTGATACAACCAACCCTCTCGAGTGTTCGCTGTCACCCCACAACCAAAAATCATGGAAGTTCTTGAAGGCAAAAAAAAGAACAACGCGCTGGACTGACTGCAATTTTTTCTACGTGCTTTCAGACTCTATTCGCGCTGCCTATCGTAGAATATATGGCTTGTTCAACGTGCTCGGCCAGGGCGTGACGCCATCTCCAAGTATTCACATGACCGGTAGGGCTCTGGGGGGTGCCAGATGGTCGTCCTTACTTCGACATAAGGGTTTCGACCTCGAAGCTACGATGGGTTATCTCGGCGAGCTCAAAGATCAGAACATCAGCGCCATCATCACCGAACATCAGCAGCAGTCGGATACAGTTTTGCATGAGATCTTAAACCTAAACACAGTCATCAACAGTATTGAAATTCTTCGCCCGCAACTCGGATCGGCTCTCTGGCGCTTGCCAACTGAAGTCCTATCCAAAAAAATTCACCTACTGTCTCCCGCCATCGTATGAATCGTCCCCATCCAAATTAAGAGCTCCTTGCTGTTGACCAGAATATCCCGACCATGGAGGAAGGTTGCTCTGGGCCTCCCAGTTTGTGATGCAGGCTGACTATGCTAACCAAGGTGCACGAAAACTGGCAGCGGAAAGTGTCCTGCTATGACTCATGGCGCAAGCGATCATGAGGATGTCCGCTCTCGCTAAGACTCCTGTGCCACGGATCTGATCACACGGTCACGGTAAAGTTACGACGCTTTCTTCAGCCTTACATCGATCAAATCTTGTCTCTCTTTATCGGTCTTTCCAACTACACCTACGAACCCCAACTTCTGTTTGACATACTTCTCAGCACTCAAGGAGCCGACCATAAACATGCTCTATCCTGATACTAGGCCAGCTCTTGCACAATTGATCTCACTGACTGTCCACTCTGCGCAGTCTCAAGGTATCAAATCCATGGTTTAACCTCGAGCACTCATTTTCTCTCAATCCCATATGGCTGTAAGCCCGGTGGCTTACCTGAGTTCCCATAATCAGTATAAATACTGTCCGAGATAATGAAACATGAGCTTTCATTATCACTGCCTTTTGGCGTAACGGTTAAGGGACGACAGTCTTGACTACCTTACAATGGCCCCACCTGACAAATTTCAAGATCCCAATACTTGTATCAAATAGAGTACCCCGCTTGCTCCAGCTATGTCCCAACCTATCGTCGTTGATGATCCTCGCATGATTCGACGACATACAGGCCATAGAGCCATTCACGCACGCCAAAGTTTAATCCTTCCGCATCCATTGTGACTCTGGGCACCCAAACAGTTTATCTCACCTATTGAATACTCTACCACTCCCCGATTTGCGTGTGCTTGAAGCTCACAATGTAGGAACGTGTCTTCATGAGGAGTTGAAGGCAATTGTGGTACGGTCAAACTGTCCCCTGAAGTCCCTGATTATAGGCGCTGGAGTGAGGATGGCAGATGAACAGCGGGCGGAATACGCTGCCCTCGTTCCTTCCCTCAAAGTAGTACTAGTATCACGATCCAAAGCGTCTTTAACTGAGTTTGCACAAATTGTTACATGAACTTCACGGACTTTTATTACCAGCCTCGTAGGATCTCTCTTCGCAGCTCTGAGTATTACGCTATTCTTCCGCCCTCCTACACAAACATGGGATAATAGCAATAAAAGATCTCATGTTACATTTCACGATGTTACATCATACAATTACAAAAGCATGCCTCCCTCTATAGCTTATCTCAAGCAGCCGGCTTCCTACCAATCACACTGGGGGGACCGAACTTTGGGGCCACATCACCTTCACTTTACTGATCTTGTCACCGACGAACATATATTCACCAATGAACGAAGCTTCCCCAGCATAGGGAGGCATCGGCGGTGACGCTCTAAGATGCAATAAGTTGGTGCGTCAAATCACAACAACAAAAAGCTCACATCACTGTCGGTTGATACTTGATCTTTCGATCAGAAATCAAAAACAAGTTACGTGGACGATGACTTTTCCAGCCTGAGGATTCTCGGTAATATTGTCTATGGCGACCTGAAGCATGTCAGTACAAAGGTTAGAATTCAACCTAGAATGATCGTCACCTTGTATGTAATATGGCTATAAATCTTCTCAAGATGAGCTTTGTAACCGACTCGGTCGAGCACAGCTTCATCCTCATGACCCTCTCCAAGAAAGGCCAGGGGCTTGGACTCCTCGTAGACAAAGTCGTCCGTTACGTATTGGTGGGCACCGTCGACGTCGTTGTTTTCTGTCCTGTCGAGGAATCCGCGAACAGTGAGGACTTTGGAGGAGCTAGACATGACGGTTGCGGGAGGGTGCGGCGATTGGTGGTCTGTCAGCTCACTGCCTAAATATCATAAGTGAGGTTCACGGCCCGGGAGTCCGGGACATCTCCTGGCGCTCAGACTATGGAATCAACCGCTCAGTTCAGTAGTCTCAAACCGAAGTTTTAGTTGGGCCCACCCAATGCAAACCAGAGGTTATGTCACGCTGTGCTATGGAGTCCGGCTATACCCGGTTGTCTGGTCCAACGAGATTACCGTTCAGCGTCTGATGGAACGCCCGCACAGCCAAATCAAGAAGAACTTTCCAAGATTGTCCCAGTGTCAGCAACCCAAATTGCGGACATGAGAGCGCCGCCATGGCCTTGGTGAAACATCCATGGTACGTGCATCATGGAGTCTGCGACATCATTGTATTTGCCAGAATCCATATACTTCAAGGAGGGCTTGATATGGTAGTTATTACGGGCTGTTCACATGCCCGCCCCAGGCAGTCTGCGCCGGCATGTGGTTTGAGGCGAGGAATCAATTTCCCGTCGAATTCGTCTGGTTCTCTGAATCGGCAATGGAATGTGCGGAGCTGGATGAGGCGGATCATGGTAGGGATGCAGAGCTGGATAATGGAGGAAGTCGGTTCATGTGTCCCCTTGGGTCTTGAAAGGTTCGTTCAATTTGCTTTAGTGGAATCTAGAGGCGGTGAATCTAGCGATGTCACATAAACCGAGCACGCACAAGGGCTGAGACTAAGTACTAGGGCTGGGTGCAGTGAATGAACTTCACCGTTCCAAGTCTCGTGAGTGCGCGTCGATATCTTCATCCACAGCGCCCTCACTCCCTGACATAAACGCCCTATGCACTCCCCTCACAACAATATTATATGACCCCTTGGACTGCAAATGCTAACAACTCTCCCAGCTCAGCAACATAGCTCTCGACCTCCTCACACCATTCCCATTCGACTTCCCTGTCCATGACGAGATTCTTGGAATGAATGGCGCGCAGAGAAGGGTCGAAGAGGTGAGCAAAGTACTCATCAAGATGTTTGAGAGAGACTCACATTATGGCAGACAGATACCGTGACGTTAGTTTTCAGTATCATTCCGAATGCATCAGTACGTCCAATGTACATCACACCGCAATTCATCTGCTAAATGATCACGACAGGCACTTCGTAACTGCAACGGCCACCTACGTCTCTTCGACTATTCCCAAAAACCCCGTCCTCGACCGTGCACTCAGCACCAATTACTTCCGTCTCCGTCTGCCGTCGTGCCGTCCTCGTCATCAGACTCTGAATTTCGTGTTCCAACAAGTTCTGAGTATCCCAGTGCATCCAACGTCGCTGCTCTACATCTACACATAATGCATCAGCCCTCTATCCTCCATATCTACTAGTACTGCTACATCTGGTTCGCCCCTCCTCACCTCTCCGTGGAACAGCCTCATTGGTCTCAATACCCGAAATCGCACACCGCATGCGTATCGAAAGTATGGAACGAACCTGGGACGTCGAGATTAGTGTCTTGTATCGATACTATTGTGAATCCTGCCTTTGCGTTGTGCCAACCAAGCTAAATCCTTCACTCGACCAGAAATTCCTCGGCGACTAATGCTCGATCTCGCTGACACCCCAGATGGGAACATCCTTTCTTCAACCTCCGCATTTCGTCCCTCTCACCCTCTACAGGCATCACGATGCACCCCGAGACCCAATTCTGCATCGCCACGTCTAGTGACTGGTACCTATGATGGCGCTGCACAGCGGTGGGATCTACGGAGCCCGAAAGGCACCGTGGCCAGCTTCAGGTGATGGGATGGAGGTGCTTACCGTGGGTTGGCTTGGGGATATGATAGGTATTGAAGGCGAGGGCGAGATTGATGTATGGAGAATCGCTGGATGATCTTACGTTCGGCACAAATCCAGTGCGTCTGTGTGCAAGGTGAGAGCTATAGATACGAGCCTCAGTCACGGGTAATGAGATTGAGGTGTGTGGGCAGCGAGCTAAGACCTTAAATATGTAGATTTATATATTTCAGATACATCTGCGCCATTCGATAGGTCGATAAACGAATCTTGAGTGTGTGGTAGCTGTTTGGCTCAAATGCCAGTCCTATACTGTATAATCATGAATTCATGCATGATGAGCGCTCGAGAGAACAAACGCAAACAACGTTCACACGATCTCCTCGAGCTCTAGGTATCTCACCTTCCGACATTAAATTTATAGGTATATGTCTTTAGAACCAGCTCCGAACCACTCAGTGAGCCACTTGTCCAAGTATGATGAGGTTCCCCATGAACTGCAGAGAGCCATGCTGCGGCTCAACTTCCCAGTCCTCCTACGTGGTTGTTGGTGCGTACCGCCTCTTCACCGACAAGTCTCTCTATGTCCCTGCATGGAATAAATGTCGCAATGGAGCCCGACGAGGACTGATATGCGGGTTTGCCTGGGTGAGTTGAAACCTCTCCTACGCGCACATCCTCAATGTATAGCTTCTGCGTAGATGTGCACATCATACAAGATTCAGCGCCGCATCATCAACACTATCCTCACAAACCCCTCCTCCATCTTCTCTGTGCGCTATATAACACGATTCACGGAAACCGCAGACGAGCTATCTCACGAGACGCTCCTAGGGTTCAAGTTGCCTTTCAGCATATCTACATGTGCGCCTATTCATTCTATTACCACATTTTGACATCAACCGCATATCCTACTTACCAGACGTCGTGATACTATTAGTAGGATCGCAAGTCACGGCCATCATCAGCTTCTTTGTCGCTCGCAATATTCGCATCGCCCGTCAACGCGCCTGGGATCAAACGGTTGCCTCGCGCGGCAAGGGGCCCGATTTCTGGCAGCCATATGTTGAAGAATGGGATTTTCCACCCATTGTAAACGAACGTCTGGGTCGTCTAGATAGAATGTTCAAGATGTGGTTCTGGAGAATGATCATAAAGAAAGGTGGCCATTTATTCTATGGTATTCACAGAGCTATTGCCTGAGACGTCATATCTGCAGTCATCCTCCTCCCGCTTTCACTGTATCCATTTGTCGGCACGTTCATCGCGGCAGCTTTCAAAGGCGTGAGCACTGCTCAGGACTTGCACAAGCCGGTAAGCCCTCGTTTACACCGTTTCTTCTCCAACATTCAATACCAACTCCCGTGGCAAGTACTTCGCCGCAAAAAAGATGACACACCATCAGGAGGCTGTATTTATCGAGGAGCGTAAATGGGACTATCGAAGTATGCACAACATCTCATTGCTCACGTCATTACTCACCTCGCGACCAGTGTTTGGTTTTGTCGCAGCGCTACTTGAGGGTCTGCCAATCATAGGTCTTGTCTTCACAGTATCAAATCGCATTGGAGCTGCTATGTGGGCTCATGGTATGTTTGTTCCCTTGAGTTCGCCCTGGTATATTCCCATGTTTTTCTTCAGATTTGGAAAAGCGTCAGCACTACGTTGCGGCGCAACGTCGATGTGACGGACACATGTCGGTTGTAGGTCATAGCAATGCTTATGAGGCCGTGCACATGTAGATTTTGCTAGTTGTCGAGTCATCTTGTAACATGGACCTTGCACCTCAAGTGCATAGTAATACATTCACAACAACGACATTACGATGATAAAAATATTCTACAAGGACCGAGTACTGAGCACTGAAACAAAGATGTGCAGCCCTAGGAAACACATCTAAGTCTTTTTCTTCTTGTGCGATCTCTTAGGTGGTGCCGGTGCAGGAGCAGGCGAAGGTGACCTAGACACCTTAATAGGTGTTTCATCCTTCTGCACTTCATCTATTCCACGCTTCTAATGACCAATGTCAAGATATACAACGCGCGATGCAACGATAAACATACCTTGCCTCTCGACCCACCCTTCGGCTTCACCTCCTCCGCCTGCCTCGCCTCCGCCTCCTTCTCGATCATGCCGAGCAGTGTGTTACACCTTCGCTGCAGTTCCTGCTGCGTCCGACTTTTGAAAAACCAATCAAAGCGGAATACAGGAAACTCCATGATATCCTTCTTGATACGTTCATAGATGTCATCCGCACCCATTCCGTAGTGGTTTAGCCGGCAGAGGAGGTACCTATCCGATTCCTCGCTGTAGACTTTGCCTTTTGTCGTCGGATAGTTGAGTTCGAGCTCTTGCATGGGGTAGCGCACCGAGGCGATCTTCTTCGCAAGTAAGGACTCGAGGTTTGACCGTTTGTTTCGCTTCGCCTCGCCTTCGGCGATACGAGCAGCGATTCTTGGATGTTCTTCATTCAAATATATCAGTCGACACACGGAAAAACGCATGCGATAGATATGCTTACCAGATAGCTCCTTCCAGTGCTTCTTGAAGTACAGATAGTACTTCTTAACCTGTCTCCAATCCTTATCCTGTATCTCCGATGCTAATAGATCATATTCATCCGTCCTGCTCTCGTCAGCACCCTATCTCACAGAAAATTTAGAAGCACACACCAGCCATAGTTCTCAAGAGCGCGGACAAACTGCTGGAAGTCTCGTCTAGTCCAGTCGTGGAAACCAGCTTCGGTGTACTTCTCCTTCAGTGCCTGCTCCTCTTCTGTCAGCGGCTCGGCAGTGTCTATGAATTCTTGCGCAGCTGCACGTTCGGCTTCGAGTTTCTCAGGCGTATCGTCGGATCCTTGGGTTTCACGAACAGTGGCCGTGATCCCATTTTGCCTCTGGTTGTAGAGTGAATACCCGGGGAAGGATTGCTATGGAAAACATACCTTGTGCACGGCGAGTTCCCGTTCTTGCAGCAAAGCCAGGGCGGGGTCGAAAAACTGGAAATCCTGGCTGAAGGGAGGCGTTAATTGCGATCAAGGGGGCAAAGATAAAAATTATACATACATTTGGATTTGCTTGGGCGCGCGAGGAAGCTTGGGGCCCTTCTCCGGCTTCGACGGACCAACTCGGAGCGTCTCCTTGTAATAATTGTCGACAGAGTAATTAGCCTTTCGTTCACGCTTCGAAAGGGATAGCATGTTAAAATTGAGGCCTTTCCGCTAAGGAAAATGATTCACGGTTCAGAATAATTGAAAATGCCTTGAAAACGAAAGAACGTACCCCTGGTCGGAAGTCCTCGCCTTCCCACTGCTGTACAGTAGCGTCCGACTTGAAATTGTTTAGGTCCTCGAGATTCAGGCCCTCGTACTTGCTGTTGAGCTCTGCCGTACGCTCCTCACCGCGCTGAACAATAGCATCGATGTCGTCATCAATGAGGAACCTGATTGGCAGTTAGAAAGAAACACCAAAATTGTGAGTAACCCGCAACTCACGCATCAGCTGAGTTAATAAGTTTCTCGGCACCATGCGTGATCATCTCGAGTAGCTCATCCTTGCTGGCAGCTACACCAAGCCGGTAAGAGCTGCGAATGAAGAATCCTGACGAGAAGTTCACCTTTGGCTTGCTGTTGGCGACCTTGTTGAATAACTAGCTGATCGAGCCGGAGCTTCTGTGCGGCGCGCTCAAGCATGCGTTCCTCGACGCTGTCCTCAGTGATGAAGCGAAAGACGTAGACCTGCTTAGTTTGACCGATGCGATGAGCACGATCCATAGCTTGCAAGTCAGCCTGGGGATTCCTACAAAGGGGATAAGCGGACTGGAGAAATACAAAGGGAGACAACAAACCAATCGCTATCGTATAAAATGACGATATCAGCAGTGGTCAGATTGATACCAAGACCGCCAGCGCGCGTTGTCAAGAGGAAGATAAACTTCTCGCTGCCTGGCTTATTGTATTCGTCGATGGCTACTATTCGATCGTCGTGCGCTGTGCTACCGTCGATACGGCAGTATTCTGGCCAGCGAGCCATAAGTCAAATTAGGACACAAAGATTTGGGTGCTACGCACTGAAGCCCCTGAACAGGCAATAGTCTTCGAGGATGTCGAGCACTCTGCTCATCTGACTGAAAATTAGTGCACGAGAGCCTTTCTCATTCATGGACTTGAGAAGCTTGTCGAGGATGATCATCTTTCCGCAGTTTTGGATAAGATGCTCGTCGGTCGTGTACGGAGGACCAGGTTCCTGGTGGGTAGACTTGATCTCGAGTATGTGACAAAGAGAACGACGGACGTACTGCGCCGTCAAACAAGTAAGGGTGGCATGTTACTTTACGCAACTGCATGACCATGTTCATGAGACGGGTCTTGCCCTCCTTCTTTCCCGTCAAGCCTTGGAATAGCGTAAGACGAGTGAACCGAGAAATCTGACAAGTATCATACCGTTAACAGCATCTATGTCCTTCTCAAGCACTGAGCGATACCACTTCCGTTGCATCTCCGTCAGGCCCACGTAAATATTTATTTCCTTCTCTGCGGATAAAACGACGTCAGCGCACAGACATCTCTATACCAATAGAACGCACTAGGCAGGAGGCTCTTCTCCACATCGGATTTGACACGCCGCAGCAAAAACGGACGAAGAATTTTATGCAGAGCTTCCACAACTTTCTTACTCTTATCCTCCTCCCCCTCCGCGCTGTCATCGTCCTTGTGCAGGAAAGAATCCAAATCCGCATAATCCGAGAATATTTCGGGACAGATGAAATTAAGAAGCGCAAACAGCTCCTTAAGATTGTTCTGCAAAGGTGTTCCGGTGATAAGCAGACGTCCACGAGACATGAACGCGCGAACGATCTGAGCGAGCATGGAGTCGACATTCTTGATACGGTGCGCTTCGTCGATGATGATGTATTCGAAGGAGAATTTCTTGAGCGCCGACTTCTCGATGAGACATATTTCATATGAGGTAACGCAGACGTCGAAATCCTGAGGGATGAGCCGGTTTGTAATTATCTCCGCGCGTTCCTCCTTTGTGCCGGTCAGCACGACGACATTCACATCGGGCGTCCAGTGTTCGAACTCGCGAGCCCAGTTCTGAAGAGTAGATTTCGGGACAACAATCAGGTGGGGACCGCTTATGTCACGGTAATGTTTCAAGTATGACAGAAAAGAGATGGTCTGCAATGTTTTACCGAGACCCTGCATAGTTCAGGTGAGAATTGAAACGGAGTATTGGGAGCTGAGATATCACGTACCATCTCGTCAGCGAGAATACCATTCAGGCCATTGTGGTATAATGAAACCATCCAATTAAGACCTTGAAGTTGGTATGCTCTCATTTCACCATTGATGTCTGAAACTACGGGTTAGCGTGGTTAATTGTGGGTTCGGTGGCTGACGCACAACTCGGCGACTCTTCAAATACATAGGGCTGGTCATCTCCATCGGCAGCAAGTTCTCCGTCTTTCAACAATTCTTCGTCTTCTTCCTTTTCAGACTTGCGATGACGGGCGTTCTGATCGCTAATCAAAAGGATTGGCCGGCGTCAATACAATGAGAATGGAAAACGCACGTTCCCTTCTTTCTACCTCTGCCCTTCGGCTTCGGTTGTGAGTCCAGTAAAGCAGCGTATTGGGGGTCACGGGCTTTCTGCGGGACGGTAAGCAAAATGATGATGGGGCTGGAGTAATATACACGCCTTGATATCGACAAAGTGCTTGAAAAGATCGGTCTGACCAAGGAGATAAGAGTACCGTTTCACAGCGTCGGAAATCTAGAGGGTGATAAGAAGACCCGACTGATGAAAATGATGCTACACGGACTTTCGCCTTGTCCATTTCCTGTCGTTTTACGTGGAGCTGGCTCTCCTCGGCCTTCCGTTTTTGTTTCTTTTGCCGCCTCTCTACGGTTTGCTGGAATTTTTCCAGCTTTGATGGAGAGGAGGTACTGGGGATGGGTCCCTAAACGCATGACAGGTCGAACCCGAGGGTGAAGCAAGATATAATGCGACGAACGTACCTCCTGCTCATCATCATCGCTGACGAGCTCATCTTCTTGAACACTCATGCCTTCGTCGACGTACTCGCTCTCCCCGTCATCCGCACCCTCGCTTTGCTGAGAGTCAGACACAGGAATTTAACTTGAGTAGTGTATGATGGGGCTAGGGGATACTAACCTGACGCGAAACAATGTTGCTTGGGACAACGTCGCTGAGAACATCTTCGTCCATTCGAACAGCCTATATCCTTGAGGTCAACTTGTTGAGGAGATGATAGAAGAGACCTTGATGTATTTACGGCCATGATGCACTGTGTGTGCGTGACGTGACTGTGACAGACGCGTGTCTTATGTAAACGTTCCTCCATCCTTCGATCCTCAGCTCATGCATTAACTGACGGTAGGGCGGATGCAGGGCTGTATCGTCTAGTGGTCGTAATTCGACGATACTCCTTTGCACCCTCCCCCCACGTAATTAACTTCCAAAGTCGTTCGACAAGGGTGCAAAGCTAAGTATGTCAAGTAACTGGCGCCAGTGACTTTCAGGTTCAGTAGCTCACGGGGTCGCCGGTCCTAGGCCTCTGTGTCCGAAAATATCAACGCTAAGCTCGTGGGGCTCGCATCTCTTCAATCGCATTCCAGAGTATGCACGACAACTGGCAATGAGTTACTACAGCACAGGAAACACTCCTAAGTGAACAATAATGGTCGGATTCCTCGGCAGGAGACATAAAAATTTTCATCGGAGTCTCACCACGGTATGTTTCGAAATAAACCCGGAAGTATTCCTGACTGTCACGATTGCCATCGCTGGAGCAATGTTTCAGGCTCAGGCTCGTGGGATGAACACCAGGGGAGGTCATACTCGCCGGTACCTGTAGTGTTATGGGAAACAACCGACTTCTGAGGGCCGCGAATCGGGCTCCCGTCATGGTATGAGAGGTTATTGCACTGTGTCTCGCTGAATCACTGTAAAACGCTTCGCCTACACACTTCCACCAGGCCGCGACACTAAATCTCCCAGAGCCACTCCAATAATAGCATATGTAATGTAATACTTGAATTAGCTCTTGCGTGTGGGGTATGGCAAATAAATACGATCTGCAAGGTTATGAGCGAGCTGATATGCTCCCCGTCAGTTATGATATGTGATGGATTTTAAGTAGCACAGGCGCCTCTATCAGATTACGCCAGCCTGAGTGTGCTCATCAGTACTTAATGTCGGGGACTGGCGCGGCCGAGTGCCGTTACAATTTGTAGCACAGGAAGTACGTCCAACACCTGTCGGGGTGCTCTGTGGGACATGAATTTCGTTGGAGTTTCACCACGGTATTTACTTACTGGCTAGAAATATAGTGACATAGATATCACGTCGGTACCATGGCCAGTTGATTGGAAGAGCAATCACCCAGCTAGGGTCACCCATAAGATCAGCATATAGATTGTCTCGCATTTACCAACGCTTACTCGCGACCCGTCGCGTAATCAACCAAAGGCAACTGTGACAGCCACTCATCTTCAAATCAGCCCGATGACTCGGCTAGTGAGCGCTGACATAGAAATCTCATATACCCGTGGTTCTTTTCGTCCTCTTAGATACATGTCATGTTTAGTTTCAAGTGGAAAACATAAAAAAACTACATCTATGCGATCTTAACAGTCTGGATGGCATTTGTAAGCACAGGTCAGCCGTCAAACACAATAAATGGACATACTTTAGCATACAACGAGTCAACAACCTTGCTAACTTGCTCCAGAGTCCCAATCGCTGCACCGTAGGTGTTCTGCAAAAAATGAGTATGGATGGGAGGAGAGCAAGAGAGGACGCACGTCGGCTTCTGGCTCATCGAATACGATTAAACATCCCCGTCCCTGATCTAACACGCCGTGGAACACCTTGTCCAAGATCATCTGGGATAGTCTGGAACAAGATATCAACTACGTTTCACACAGGAAATATAACACGCACTTAGCCTCGACGTCCTGCCGTCCTTGCCCTACCTGTTTGGCAACGTAGTCGATCTCTACCACCGAGTACGGCTCAACGATACGCAGGAGGTTCTGCTGGAGGAGGGTGTCGTAAAGCGCTGCAAGATGCGAGCGAATGGTAGGGTCTGACGAGAGTTCTGTGTGGTCATAACAAGTCAGCGACAGGTTGTATGGACTGGGCATCACATACCGTGTTTGTAATCCCGGAGGGCCTTCTCGAAATCCGCGAGGTTCCGGTTCTGATGCGCGAGCGCTATGGCACGCATGCTCTCGATCTCACGGAGCTGAGCATATTTCACGGCGAGCTTGATGGAGAGGAGCGAAGTTACGTCTTCAGGCTAGAAGGCGCCTTCAGAATGACTAGCGAATTGAAATAAGTGACGACGCACCATATTCAACATGACCTTGCACAAAAGCATGTACTTGAGGGCATTCAGCGCTGCGGGGTCATCCTGCGATGACATGTTCTCAAAGGTCTCATAGAAGTAGGAGTATGCGGTTGTGTAATCCTTGTCCTCAGCGTGGAGGACACCAGACTGGAGGTCTAATGCTGCTTGGAGATGGGGAGGACAGTATATTGAATTAGCAGCAGTCCTGGCGGAAGTGAGAGCAGCCTATAGATTTAACGGATGTAAGGGCGGGGGATGAAAATACTGCATAGCACCCGACGGACTAACCTTGGCCTTCGAGAGGTTTCCAATGCCACGGTAGACGCGGCTCTCGAGCAAGTGTACCTCGGTAAGGATCATCTTGTCATCTAGCCTCTTCAACTCCGTCAAGAGTGCATCGATTCGCGTCAAGGCAAGCTTGTACTGCAGTGCTTCAAGTTGCCTGGACCAATTATCAGCATCATAGGAAAGAGTAGCTGGATTTCTTACAGGGAAACAAGACGAATTTCCAAGCTATGTTTGAGGAATATACGCTTTTCGCGTTTCGACCACTCAATATTGTCGGTTAGGACGTCAATCTGGGTTTGCCGGCTGTTGGGGATGGAGTTGAAGTAATTAAGAAGCGTGCGGACTGCATGGTAGACGTTAAACAAGGATGGCAAGTCGAGAATAGAGGGACACTTACTCAGTTTTGCCGTCTTTGCCTTGGCGGTTGAAGACATGAATGATCTCGAGAGTGTAATGACCTGCGCTAAGCCACTAGCATCTCTGTCTGAAGTAAGTGCTTGGGTACGACAACAGGCCTTGCAAGACTTACTTCTGATCTCTATAGAGCTCTGCGAGTTTGATCAAGGCTGCCTCTTGATCCCGCAGCGACTGTTCCTTTTCAGCATTGACTGTCGATCCATTAGAGGTTGATCCTGGTAGAATGATCAGTACTAGTAGTCATGGTGTCTACTGTTCAGCACACCGGTCGAATTCAATATCTCCTTGTAAAGCTCCTCTGCACGTTTTGGATTGGAGGATGCAAGATCTGCAGCCTGCTTGAGAAGGTCTTGAGTAGATGACATGATTCAATGTTATAGATGGAAAGCGCTCATGAGTCTGACGCGTCTTCACCTCGTGGGAATATGAACTGTAGAGACTGACGCGTCGAAGTTCCTACTTACACCCTGACAGTCATGGCAGAAGAAATCATTCCAATACCAAATCTCAGCCTCCCGCAGCACCTGTTTACTGTCAGCACCCCGACTTTCAAGCAGCTTCACGACAATGCAAGAAAGGAGTTGCTTGAAGGGATCAAGGCCGACAGTATGTCATGAGATCATCTTAGTACTTGGCTTTCATTGACTAGATTCGTGGTGCACACAGAAATGGCACCATATTATCGGTTAGTAACCTCTACAGGTGCTCTGACGTCTGATGCCACGTTACTCGAATCGATGGAGAAAGACAACGAGGAAGAGCTCAAGAAGCTAGATGAGAGACTAGCAGAGGCGGAGAAGCAAGAAGGAGAATCCGAGATATCAGACGCTTTGAAAGCCAGGGCTAATCATCTAACTCGAATTGGTGACAAGGTGCGCTTTTCCTATGCTAAGTTATACAGACACTGAATAGCACATGAAGGAACGTGCAGTCGCAGCGCAAAAACTTGCACTAGAAAAAACACCTGGCCTTGGCTCAAGGATAGATATCGTACTCACACTCATCCGACTCGGATTATTCTTCGGCGATAATGGCCTTATCACTGAGAACCTTCCCAAAGCAGAAAAGTGCGCTATCGCGTTGCTTCACCTCAACCTCGAATTGACATCTTGTACAGATTCATTGAGGAGGGTGGTGACTGGGATAGGCGCAATCGTTTAAAGGTCTACCGTGGCCTCCACATGGTATCCATCCGTCAATTTAAGACTGGCGGCGCGCTTCTCCTTGACGCACTATCGACATTCACTGCCACTGAACTCACACCCTACAACGAATTTGTTGCTCTCACCATCATCATCAATGCCCTCACACTCAAACGAGTAGACCTCAAGAAACGGGTATGCTCGTTCTTCTCACCGGTATTTCCCACTGCTGATGATATTATGTAGCTTATTACTGCCCCAGAAGTTATGTCCGTTTTGCCTGAAATCCCGATCCTTGGAGACCTCCTAAACAACCTTTACGACTGCCATTACGCGAAATTCTTTGTCGCACTCGGTACGTTACTTCGCGCCCACAATCCACTTCCGATACCCCTTTCAAGCACATTAGATTCGTCTGATTTGATCGACAGTCTGACTTTAGACTGACATGCTGTGTCCATGCCCACAGCGACCCTTGAGCAAACGTATCTCCTGCCCTCGCGACTCCTCTCGCCCCATACCCGTTACTACGTACGAGAGATGCGCATTTTGGCGTACAGCCAACTTCTCGAGTCCTACCGCAGCCTCACTCTTGAAAGCCTTAGCGGTGCATTCGGCGTCAGCGTCGAGTTTGTTGACAGGTACGTCTTATCTACGCGTATCTTTTGCTCATCTCTGAGCGTCTCTTCTAGTGAGCTCTCACGGTTTATCGCAAACGGGCGTCTGCATTGCACCATCGACAAGGTGCACGGCGTTGTGGAAACGACACGACCGTCGCTCAAGAACGCGCAGTATGACAAAGTTGTAAAGCAAGGCGATGTCCTGTTAAATTCCATACAGAGACTGAGTAAAGTGTTGTACTAGTACCTTAGGGCCTTACGTCTTGGCGTAGTATTAGACAATACTACTGCTCATTTTAAGTTCATATATAAAGGGTGCGCAGAAGTGGGTACATTCAAGTCCTGCCGGCAGCTTGGACCTCCTTCAGACCTTGAGCACGTCTTCGATCTTTGTGTGCAGCACCTTGAACGGATCAATAACTATCACAAAGTAGGTCGAAGATTTGCTTCCGTGGCAAATGACGCTTCCATTGTGTGCCAATTCTTCTCATCAGAAATCTAACAAACATCACCGCTAACCGTCGAGTACTGCTCACTCTCATTCCAATCTCATCGGCGCAGGCTGGACATATTGGTTATCGAGGCCCACAACAAACAACAAAGCAAACTTACCCACGAGCATGACCGCCGAACTGCAAAACGTCCGACAGCATCCTACATACTGGTTCAACGATGGCTCCATCGTGATTCGTTCGCGCGGCATGAGTAATGAAGAGGTTTGCTTCAAGCTGCATGAGAGCTTGTTGCGTCGACAATCCCGCTTCGTTCAACGGATGCTTGATAATAGCGGGTCTAGCACCGAAGAGATATCAATTCCACCAGAACTTGGTGTCCAAGTCCATGATTTGACAGCGCTATTTGAGCATCTATACCATGATACGTGAGAGCATCCTGTCGTCCTGGAACTGAACAGAAGACAATTTTGATGCTTATGCAGCCCTCTTTCCGCTGAAGCGCCCTTCTCGCATGTTGCGGCGATCTTGCGCGTCTCTTCCCCGGATCAGCTTGATCTTCCTGGTGTGCACATGTCTGCACGGGCTTACTTCGTATCGATGTTTCCGCAGGGTCCTCAGCCATTTGCACATCCTAGTGGCCATCTAGAAGAGGCGTTGGGTCTTGTGCACTCTTATGAAATCGCTTCTGTGGGTTCATTTCCATTCCTGCTTGAGATATTTTTTCTGTCGTCATGTTCTTTCCTTTGTTCTGTTGGTGGGGTCGTTGTGGGCGGCGACGCTTCTCTGTATACGTTTGTCACGGTGGTTCGTTCTAACGGCCAGACGGTGATTAGAGCACGCTCTTTCGTCCTCCGAGAGGTTTGCATTAGGGAGAGAAGATGTCACATGCATCGCGTCGCAATCTTGCATTGAATGGTACAAGGGGGTCTCCTTACGGCGTGGTAAATGACTGATTTTTACACGCTGTGCTTCAGGCAATGGGTTTTGGCATCGCCTCTGATTGGCTGTATAATCCAGCATCTAACCTCTGCGGCTTTGTGGTTTACGACCCTTGGGTTACAATGGTTATTTGGTTTCTCCACCGGATAATCAGGACAAAGCATTCACTCCTGTTATATTTTTGTTCGCTGGTTTTTGGCAGAGATTGTCGAGAAGCTGATCCCACAATCCTAGATAAGAAAGAGCGTATATTACAGCCTTGTCACGACTTCTGAATTCGAACCTGAGGCTGATGATGGCTTGGATCCGGAAAATTCCATCCAACCAAACGGCTCGCCAGGGATCGTCCTCGACATCACGCCACGTTCTGCCCCCCACAGATGTCGAGCGGTGCAGAAGTCTGATGACTGGCATCGTGGAGCATTTCACCCCCATTTTGTTCACACCGGTGCGTGTTCCTGCCACTTTGTTCCGAGGAGGTGGCCACCACAGTAATGTACATATTGACTGGGAAATGAGATCCTAATCGAACGGCGACTACGATGACAAGCATAGCCTTCGTCGAACACCGAACATCCTTTCTTCATGAACCCCTTCTTATGTGACCATCGGGCCCTTGCGCTAAATCCTCATTTATTTAGCCTGCAACTCCTCATATGGCATGTACAGACGTATTTGCGGACAGATGGATGTCGCTCGTGATCCAGCCTGCAATATCCACCTCTGGCGTCTGTAGACCGCTCGAAATGCTCGAGGAAATCAAGCAAATTGACTGGGCCGCCGAGGGCTTGTGCGCTGCGTGTGTCATGGAAAAGACACAGGAGTGGAGACAGGAGCAGAAGGATTTATGGGAGAAAATGGACTTGTGGTTGAATCCCGAGGGTACAAAGCATTCCCTCGTTTGAAATTTACCAAGGAGATATAGATCAGATTCGTTGCGGTATTTGCGACCCATGTGTAAGGCACGAATAACCTTCCCTGTGCAGTGAAGTCGTGTAACCTGACCTTATGCAAACTATGAAGTAACAATACTATATGTACTGCTTGACGATGGCTCTTGAGCGCTTGAGCAGTCACGTAAATTTAGGTATGCATAATAGCTTCCGAATTGAGAAAACATGCCGGTACGTAATAAATTATAATATAGGAAGGATACTTCATCATGCAAACATCAATTTACATTTTGTGCACTTGTCGTTCTTATGCCCGGCGATTCCATCTCGACGGTCACTGGTGTGGCGTCAACGCACACGCGCACTTACTGAGCCAGGTGCCTACAGCTGTCCATTGCTATCATCGTTACAGTGTTGCATTACTATTCATTGAGGTCATCAACTTCCCAGTACCCCTAGCACTCAATAGCTAGCTTAACGACTTCATGAGGCTAGTATTTATGTTGATTCTCTAGCCATATGTGGGAAGCGATTTACTTGTTTCAGGTTTTCGCCGTGCTACTGGTTGATACCGTTGTCCTTTGATATGCCGAAAACATCGTGACAAACGCAAGCTGTTTGTGGGCGCGATAAGGGCATCTGACCGAGTTTCAACGACCGAAATGAACTGTTGTTGTCGCTTCCCCCACAGGTTTCTTCATGCCTTGTTCCAACGGGAGGTTCACGGTCGGTTCCCTTCCTTGGGCTGACTCGGATATGGTCGTCGGTGATCCTTTCTCGTGGACTCTGCAATTCATTGAAGATGCATGTCGCCTACAGGGTGCTGCTATTCTGAATATTACTAGCCTGCAAGAATCCAAGGGACGCCTGTTGGGACTACCAAAACAATTTTTTGTTGTTGTTCACACCCACATACGGGCACGCATACTAGCCTACATCTTTTTCAGAAGGACCAGTTCCTGGGTACTGAGCCGTAACGTTGTCCTATTGGTGTCAGACTTTGTGTCCTGGGACACACAGTACCCTCCCGAATCCTCATAACCCTTCTCCTTATGGGGTGTCTGGCATCTGTATATGTGTTGCAACGGGTGGTGGATCTGTGGGCTCCATTGTGGAACCGCTCTGTCGACAGCCAATCGATCGCTTCTAATACCGAATCCCAGATTCTCATCTGCCGCCTGCCTCATCCACGAAGCACAAGAGTAATGGTGGCGCGCGTCAGGAGGCAGTGTGTGTGTTCTTCAAATAACGCATAAATACTGTGACTTCGAGCAAGTATTTTCCAGACCACCATTCTCGCGCGTAGACCATCATGGCCGACGAGAAGAAACCAATGACCTCCTTTACTCGAGATGTAGTCCACACCCCCCACCCTCCACCACGAATCTTGAGTCACGGCATATATACAGTTGCCTATGAAAACCCGTCACCTCCCAACTGGACCTCGGACATTCGAGGCTCGATCGAACAATATTTTGTCTCCCTCACGAATTTCTCCTACGCTCGAAGGCTACTCAGAGAAATATTTTTTCTGGCCCCTGGGCTGCTGATTGGTCATATATGTGCCACGCTGTGGCTTAGCATCTCTGATGCACTACTTCTCTTTTGTTTGGGCTCCGTATTCAATTTTGTGAGTGACAAACCTGAATCTGATGTTTAAAACTTATCCTATGCAGGTCGAGGGTCGTTCTTCGGGAAACGTGTCTCAAGAATCGCTCAATATTGCTATCTACGGAGGGCTCTTGTGCGCCATTTTTGGACCTGCTTGCCATCGCTGCCTGTATGCTCTGGTAATTTCTGCGTTCGAGTGGTTGGCTTATCATTGCCTGTAGAGCATACGCGAATGATATCATCAGTAGCCGTTTGAAAGCGCATTTTCTTCCGCAGCTCATCGAAGGTAATGCAACTCATTGAGAGTCGCATTTTTATTGACACCATAAACAATATTTCTAGCTAGTATGCGTGTGGATCTGTCTTCGATGCAAGGTACAGATCTTTATTGATATCTCGATATCTATTGCGACGCGTTTTCCCTAGATTGTTACACAATATTTCCCGTCAAGGGCCACTTTCCTTCCGACGTACCGGGCGCGTCCTTCTTACAAGGTTTATCTCATATCGCTCGCACCACCGCTGCCCTGTCGTCGCAAGTGGTTGTCTTGATAAATGCAGTCCTGCGCAAACCCAGTCCGGAGAGAGAGGTATTATTTATATTCTGCATTGCTCATCCGCTCGTCCGCTGGTTGGCACCATCGGATGTTACCGGCACCCAAGGTTTGTAGTCATCGTGTACTATCGCCATTGTCTGAAATGAACTCATCGTAGGATACGTTTTCTATACACTAAACGTGCCTTTCAAGCGGATGAGATCTCTCTATAATCTGGCATTTTCGTGTCAATATCGAGAGGAACTGATCCTCAACGGTGCTGCAAACAGCATACCCTCTGGTAAGACAACATACGTTTAAGAATGTTAATGCTAATGGGTTATGCAGAATACCAGAAGTCGACTGAGCAGCTCGGTGATGAAATCGTAACTGAACCATTTCCCTGGGCAAGTGGACTGATTAGAAGGTGGTACTGGGACTTCCTAGTCAATCTAACCCTCGATCTTCCACTCGTAAGTTATCATTGACAGGTCGTAGCTGTCTGGTATACTAACATACTTCAAGGTCATTTATGCGCTGGCCTTGCCTTGTCATCTTTCGCCTTCGTCTGTAATGTCAATTGCGCTGCTGCAACAAGCGACCAATACGCTGTCCCTAAGTATCGGCGAATATGGGATGAATTCTGGGTCAATCCAGAACTTATGCCTGCAGGCGAAATGGCTCTACGACGCTATCAGTTACAAGAGCAAGATGTCCAATGGACCGATGTCTTATCCAGATCCTTCGCACGGTAGCTCGTCGGATGGGATGAAGATATCTTTTCGGTGAGCTTCCTCCTGCAACTGCGGTGACGGGCTGACTTTGATGCATATCATACATATAGACAAATATCACTTCGTTACGATAAATGCGGTCATAATGCTCTTGACGACGTCTCCTTCGAGATTGCCCCTGGCCAACTTGTTCTTGTCGTTGGAGTCAATGGCAGCGGAAAATCTTCGTTGTTGAAGCTCATTGCGCGTCTCTCCAATCCTACCGGAGGCGAAATTCTAATTGACGACAATCCATTGTCAACATATGATTCCGATGATGTACGCGCATCAATAGCGTTCTTACCCCAGCTTCCGTTGTTGTTTCCCATGTCAGTGAAGGAGAACATCTGCCTTGGGTTGCCATCCCGCTTGCATGTGACTGATGAACAAATCCAAGAGGCCGCCAAAATGGGTAGCTGTACGAGCTGGATATCAAAGTTGCAGAATGGATATGATACACAGCTGAAGCCTACTCACGACATCGGGAATGGGTGGGCCGACGGAACTTATGGCACTGTCTCTGACAGGTTGCGGGAAAAATTGGCACGTCATGAACAGCAGACAGTGACAATCTCAGGTCGGTGCTCAGGGTCTATGCTGCATCTTCATTGACTGACATGTCTGACAGGTGGTGAAAGACAACGACTTGCGGCGTACGAACCTTGCAATTATTTTCGTGTTATAGCTGCTTATTTTCACCGCCTCATCATCAGGGCTAGGACCTTCATGAGGATTAATCACACGGATATCAAACTTGTTGTAGTCGATGAAGCCACGTCGTCTTTGGACGCTATAACGGAACACGACATTCTTTCCGAGTTTCACCGTGTCCGAAAAGGCAAGACGATGATTCTCGTCACCCACCGTTTCCACCATCTTGTCAAGGAGGCTGATCAGATCATGTAAGCAGAAATACCGTGCTAGCCAGATGAAATTTGACACCTCGTGGCAGATGTATGAAAGAAGGATCCGTGCTTGAGCGAGGGACCCATAACCAGTTGATCAAAGCCGATGGCGAATACGCGAAGCTGTACAATGCGCAAGTCCCCTCGGCCTAACCCTGGATGCCACTACGTCGGTGATCTTGTACTCTTCTTGGATTGTGCCTGTGCGTTTATCGTAATTGATCCGGTTATATATCTTGCTGTGCCCTTGGTTGTGCTATCTATTGCTGTAACATTTGCAATCCGAATTGTAAGAGTTCCGATATCGACGAAAGTGTACCACAACATTTCGCGCCACGTATTCGGTTCAACAGTCATAGCCTCGAATCATCGTACGTACATGATATCAATCTTAGATCTTGAAATCTCGAGAAGGGGGTACCTGTCAAACTGGGCCACGTTTCTGCCTGCCTGATCCACACGTGTAAGCAAACTGGCGTTCAAGCAACCGATCAGATCTTGGATGAGTGCAGGGTGCTTTATCAATATCCAATACCGTTAACGGCATGCATGTGTCGGATCTCAAGCTTCAAGCTTCAAGTCCGCAAGGCAAAACCATTACTCTGGAATGAGCTTAGTTCGCCCTGCTGACCACCAACGTTGCAACACTTCAAGGCCACCAGGCGAGATGTACTAAATTCTAGGGGGGGTGTTATGTACGTCAGATGGTGTTTGGCATTCGTGCCCGTCCTGGCGCCGGAGTGACTTTACAACAGAAGGGCTGTACTTTGGGAAATCGTGCATGAACACCAGTATGTACCATGGAATCAAAATCCCACCCCACGATGCTGTGATCGATGAATCCCTTCTCAACTCAAGCATGGTCGTTCAGATCTGAAGGCTCCACAAGCTAAATTCCTATACGGTATATCACAGCAGCAGAGAGACGATACTATGTAATACAGAACGAAAAAAAAAGAGAAAACACTCTCGATACAAGAAAACGCGAAATTGAAAACGAAAGCGTAAGGTATGATATCATGAGACGGGCATATGTATCGCAAAACAATGGTAACATAAAACATGGAAATCGTGACAGGAGACGCGCCAAATGCTCAAAAATTCACGAGTCCCGTTGGCGCCGAACAAAAAACATGTCCGAACCTGGTATCGTGATTAAAACTCACTCAATGATTTCAAACCGCCCTCTCTTGCCCTCTCTTACCTCACCCTCATCGTCCAAACCCCTCTTCTCCCCTCCCAGACCTCCCATCCCGGGACCCAAAGGACCAGCGAGACCGAATGAAAAGCCCTCAGGTACACCAACGCCCGAAAAGCTCTCCTGCGTAACGATATCCCTAAGAATCGCTGCATAGCGCTCATCTGATAGACCCATCCCTGCTAGGGGGTTGATCCGTCCATCGTCGTCGTACCCCGACATTCCTAACATCGGACTTAGGCTGGAGGAGGAGGCGGTGGTACTGGATGAGGAACTGGGATTGGATGATGCGTGTCGTTGTAGCTGCGAAGCCCCAACTGCCAGTGCTTCGCTAAAAGATGCGTCTGACAGAGGCGGGACGCCAATCGAACGTGGGACTTTCGACATTTGTTGGATGACTTTGAGGTGCATGAGGTGTTTCTGAATCATCCCCACCTGGTCAGCATCCATCCCTTCATCCGTAGAATAAAAGGAAACACACCTCCAACATATCCAACAACCCCTCCTTCGTAAACGGTTTCGGCAAAATATCATTCATCCCAGATGAATAATACGTCATAATCTCGCTCGGTTTCGAGTTGGAAGTCATGCTGATGATAGGGGTCATATGGTCGAATTGGCGGATGAGATTCGTTGCGCTTATACCGTCCATCTTGGGCATCACGATGTCCTGTCACGAAATCAAATTAGTTCCTCCCCATACGCGCAGAGAAAGAAAAAGACTCGCCATCAACACCAAATCATATTTTTCGAGATTCATCTTATTCACAGCTCCAACGCCGTCCACCGCAACGTCAATCATGCACCCAAAGACCTGTAGGAACTTGCTGCTCAGTCTCCTGCTCACCGCATCGTCGTCTACAAGCAGCACCCTGGGCGGAACAGCCCACCCTGGCACGAACGTAGACCGTCGAACACGGATAGTCGTAGGCGTACTCGAAGAACGTCCATTAGAAGGCGTCGGACGGACGACTTCCTCTGAATATGGATCTGGCTCGGGAGGCGGAGAGAGGTTATCGTTGTCGTTTTCACCTCCCTCTCCTTCGCTCTCTCCTTCTGCAGGTGTTGGCACAGCGCCGGTGGAAGGGTTCGCATTGAACATCCAATTCCCGTTTTGATCCTCGACACTACTCCGGGGTAACAAATGCCCGACAGTGAACACTTGCAGGCCCTCGTGCATCGTCGGCGTATCCCAGTTCATATCAGGAGGAAGGATAAACGGGGCGTCGCCTGATGCTTGTGCTTGTGATTGCTGCTGCTGTTGGTGTTGCGCCGCTCGATGTGAATGCTGATGCATCCCACTCGTCCTCTGCATATGCATCTCCTCACCCGACGACCCCGATGCACCAGAACTCGGACTCGAACCCGATATCCTATACCCCGCATCGCTCGCAGCCCGCCTCGACATTTCGTTCATCTGCACCAGAGTCAACCGCGCGACCATATCTGGATCTTGCAGGCCCAGTTCCTGCGCGGGTACGAACTGCTCTTGGGCTGGGACGAATTGATGTGGGTGTGGATGGGGGACAGCGTATGGGTTTCGGAGTGATGCTGGTTGTGGTTGAGGCGGTTGCGACATGCTCAGAGATTTGCGTGCGTGCGAGGTAGGGATGGAGAGGGAATTCGAAGGGGGTGCGAGGAAGGGTGATGGTTGTGGTTGGCCTATAGACCGATGTGATTGGGAAGCGAGGAGAGATGGAGGTGGATGTGTGCTGGGTGTCATGCTAGGTGCGATGGGGGTTGTAGAGGTTTGGGACATGCTGTGGATGGGGGTTCGAGGTGGGGGCTGGGACGCGGTGGATTGGGCTATCGAGGGCTGAGGGAGAGGGGTGGAAGCGGTCAGGACGGCGGCAGAGGAACCCGGAGCTATTTGGGAGGTAGAGTCGGACGGGTCTTTAGGTTTACCTAGGGGAGAGCAACGGGTTAGGCCGAAAACCAAGGAAGCGAAGGTAGGAGAGACAGTGAAAGGAATAAATAGGCGCTTGCCATGCGTCAAATCTGAAAGTGGGCCCAGGTAGATAATTGGAAAATGAAGTCCGCCACTAATGTAAATGCATACGCATCTTCGGTGGGACCCATTTGCTGGGTACCAAGGCCCCGCCGTCGATTTATCTCCACTGAGGTAATAACGACCACCCCCACCAACAGGGGGAAGCCATTTGGAAAAGGCACGATCACCGGAACAAAAATCGATGAGGGAAAATATCAAGAAAATTACTCACCTCCCTCCCCTAAAAAATACTGTATCAGCCCTTGCATCAAGCCGTCCTGCTGCGCCATCCCTCTCTGGAAATTAACCATCTCAACAAGCACATCCCCGTACTGCCTCTCCAATACCCTGATTCTCTCCTCCGCCCTCCCAACCTGATTCCTCAAACTCTCATTCGAAGCAAACAGATTCTCATTCTGAGCTCTCAAACTCGAATGCGAAGCCAGTAAATTGTCCGCTTGGCCTCGTAGAGTCTCATGCGATGATAAAAGGGTATCGTGAGAAGAGAACAATGATTGGTAGCTGTTTTGGAGGACGTTGACGTGCGCTTGCATTGTACTGCACTGAGCTGCTAATTCGGCGCTTCCTTCACCGGGGATCGGGCTGCCGGAGCTAGCGCCTCGGCCGCTGACGCCGCTGCTTGAGGGGAGGCTTTTGCGTGCGGCAGGGACTTTACGTTTGATGTTCTCAAGGGCGTCACGTCTGTCAGCGTGGAAATCAGGGTGTCGGAAAGTCCAGCTGTGTTCGCCAAATTGGGCGTCGTCTGTTGTCTTTACCTGGTGGTTAGAGGATTAGTACATGTCGGGAAAGAATAGAACGAGTTTGAAGAGAGGGGATAGTGGGGAAGATAAAGGAAGATAACATAAGGAGCTAGAGTGGATATGGCACATCGTGTAGGTAGCAAGTAGGTCCCGCAATGGCCTGCGATACAGCAGCATTCGAACGCGGAGATGAAGACGCGCCCTGCTGAGCTGTCAAGGTGATTTAGGCCCATCACGATGTAACCAAAGAAGCCATTACGAAAGGCAAAGTCACAAGTGTATCTCGGCGGTGTCAACCAGCAAGAATAAACCGTAGTGACAGGCCGTCATCACATATAACCAAGTAGTGCGAGAGGCGCATCTGAGATTAGATGCCATAGAAGCCACAATGTTCGGATCGAGCCGAGATCGACGGGAAAGCCCGAGTTGGGGTTATGGATTCCTAGGGGGGAATGGGGTACGGATCGCTGAGATAAGGGGGGTGCGTTGCCTCGGAGGGGCGATATGGGATGTGTGCAAGAGTCGCGTGATGGCATGCATGAGTGCACAGGCGCAAGTCCATGCAGAAGGAAAGGTATAGTGGGTATGACGGGAAGGGAGGTATAAATAGAAGGAGAGGTTGAGAAGTTGAGAAGTAATAGAAAGGGGGAAATATCAAATAGATGGAAAGAAGGGAAACGAAGGTAGTGGACAAGATCCGGAGGAGGAGGAGGAGATGCTCACTTTGTGGAAATCGTATTTATTGAGCTGTCTTACGAAGGAAGCAAAATTTGAGTGCTTGAACATGCGTGGGAGGATGGATTTTGTGAATTCGTTCATGTCCTAAAGGAAATGTGGGATCAGAAACGAGTTCTGAACGGAATATCGGGGAAAGGGCTGAGATAGAGGGAAAGACGTACCTTGACGACAAAGCAGTCACCTTGTGGTCCCCAGGAGACGACATGGGTGAAAGACTGGTCTTCTAGCATTCTAGAGGTGATAGATGAAACGGTGAGAGGTAAGTAAAGGACGGAGAACGAACTTGTACAACTTTTTGACGAAATCGCTTGTAGCAGGCATGGTATCATCGTGTTCCTTGAGCTGAGGGGGAGGTTGTGGAGGTGGGAGTGAGTGGATCTGCTGAGTTGGTTCTCTCTTCATTGGTCTCATCTCTCGCTGAGAATGGGTATGGATGGTTACATCCTCTCTTGAATTTGAAGTACGATGTATGGAAGAGGAAGTAGAAGTAGAAGGACCCCATGAAACTGGTGAAGAATGGCGATAGGGTGAAGAGTCCATTGCAGCCATGGGAGGAAGCGTTGTGGCTGAAGCTCGCTGGGGTAAATTGATAGCGGGAAGTTGAACGGATGGTGGTGGAAGTTGATGTGATGCAAATAAATGATTTGTACGGATGTTTGAGTAAGGAGGTCCAGTCGAGGTATGGGGGTGGTCCGTGTGCATGGCTGTAAATGACAAGACAAAAACGCAGTCAATGATTATTATCGCAAGTATCCCATTGACAAGTTCAGCCAGCCTGTACAAACAGAAGTAAACTCACGATTTGACCCAAAACTCTTCTGTGATATCAAGACGGCACCAACTGAGAGGCTTAATATTTGAGCTCGGTACACTAGTCGTTAGTAAAGTATATGATCGAGAAGATAAATCAACGGAAGCAAAGAAAGTTAACTTTCATTGGTCTAGACTTTTTACTAAGTACCCTTCAATAGACGCTCGTTGTTCCAGGCCCTTTTAACGGTAACTCCACGGTCCCGAGTCCCCGACTAAACCGTCATTCCAGAAACTATTGTCATCCCGCTCAGTGAACGGCACTACCCGTTCATCGTCCAAGTTACCAGTCTACCCCACATAACAATCACTTAATCACATTCGAAGTAAAGAACCAATCAACTACCTGTCACTATCCTATTTGTTATTCATTATATACCCTCGTTCCTAGTTCTGTCATCTTCTTCGGCTTTCTGCTAACTACTCACCTCCTTGACCATTTCAACGGTCACTATCGAGCCAAGTCATCGACCCAAGAATGCTCCTTGCAGAAGTTAACCTTCATATCGCTGGCATTCATATCCCATCGCTTCATCTTTCAACAACAGCGCCAAATCCCATCTTCCATTCCTATTCCATCAGTTCCCTAATTCTTCTTTCAGTCCTAACCTCTTGGCAAGTCCCAGAATTATCCCTTCCCTGTTATTCGGTCAGTGCTACCGCAATTACCCACACTCATCCCCAAATCTATCCCCCACTCAAATCCCACATATGGTCGCTCTTGACTTCCTCTCCTCTAACCTTACTGTCAACACCATTGCGCCTTCGGACCTCACCGAAAACTCCACAATTTCCCTTTGTGAACCCCGCGCTGCGTTATGCAGATAACTAAGCGCCCTCTTCCTATCTCCCCCGACGCTTCCTCTTACCATTCCTCTACCCCTATCCATTCCACCCTCGAAATGTAGGTCCCCCTCGTAGGTTCCGGACGCTGACCACTGGGCTAACAACACGTTGTCCTTCACCCAAGCGGCTGGCGCTACCTGCTGTCTTCCGATTAAACGGAAAACAACCGGGATCACATCACCGGTAATCACATACGTTGCAGTACATTGTGGGTTCATTATGGGGATGCTCTTATCCATAGAGTCAATTAAGGTATTTATTAACTGATAACGCTCAACGTCTAACTTGTGGATAGCGCCATCAACCCTGCCTACCGCTACTTACCGCTGTTTAATTCATATCGTGCATTTATACTAACAACACGTTGTCCTTCACGCGAATAGCTCACAGCCTCTCTTACACTCGCCACTGGCGCTATGTTCACATCCAACGAAAAATAACTAAGATCGATCCTAAACAAACACCGGTAATCTCACATACGTTGCAATACATTGTTTGCACTGGGGATCATCTTATCCACAGAGTTAATCAAGGTATTCATTAACTAATACCGTTCAATGTCTAAACTCTATGGATAGAGTGTCATTAACCCTGCCTATTGCCACTTACCGCTGCTTAATTTATATCGCGAATTTTATTCGGACTACTTAACTCAATCATTTACCAACAACGGTGACGGTCCTGCCGGCATGTCAGCAGTCCAAGTAAAGCTGCAGCTGCAGGTCATCGTCTCGATTTTACGATATATATCATGACAAAGGAAACGACCGCTGGGCACACTGGTCCATAAATATAGGTGCGAATCACAACCTCTCTTACGCCCGCCACTGGCGCTACCGAAACATAACCATGATCAGAAACATCGGTAATCTCACGTATGTTGCAGTACATTGTGTGGCCCACTCAATATGGATTATCGTCCATTTCTGCCAGTCTTTCTTCAACATACGAGCAGCGCCCGAAAAATATATTGAGTTCATGTGTCCCAAAATCACAGCGCGCCAAAGTGTGAAACAGAAATCACGCCGAGTTTGTGCTGCTGCGCTTAACCTGCTTCGAAGCTTCACGCTGCAGTCTATTCGCAATCCCCAGTGTAGTGAGTGTTGTGGACGAGACTGGTATTGCTGTATTTTGAGTCCTGGGAGGACCGCCGCTGCTGGGATAAACATAAACCACTGTGCGGTGTTTAGGTTTCGTTAGTGCTTCGGTGGTGCACTGCAGTTGTACGCGTTGTGATCGGGAAGATTGGCGGGTGCGCCCTTTTGCACTCATTCTCACCGGGACCACGTCTTCGAGCAGTCGGCAGTTCGGCACATCACAAGTTCGTTTCGAATGAACAGTGTGTCCAACTTACGGATAGAGTGCTATCAAACCTACTTATCGCTGCGGAATTCATTTCACGATTTTCGCGCGCACCTTCGCAATGAATCGCGACTTCTGAATTCGGGTGCCAACAACCGTCTTGTCAGCAATCCAAAGTCAAGGCACGAGGGTCCTTAAACTTAACCATCTGTACCATGACACAAAGGGAAAGACTGACCGCAATCTGAATGTATATAGACAAGTAGAGCAGAGCCCTTGAGTTTATCCTACCCTGCCTGTGTTAATAATTATGTGAAATGTGCAGAAGACCACTAGTACTGTTGTCGGACGTAGAGAACCCGAACGCATAAGGTGTTTTGGACGCCACACACCCTCGGAGATGTCGTCACACATCTACTGGGCAAAAGCACCCGCGGACACCATACCGCAGCACTACATGCATATTGGACTTGTCGCGGTCATAGGTCATCGACTTGCGCCCTGGAAAGCGAACCCGCCCTGTGCTATCTCGTACATGCTTAAAACTGGAGAGGTGTTTACTGGCAGAAAACCGAAGAAAACCGAAGACGCACAAGCACCGCATTCCCCACAGCTCGTCAAAGTTACTGGATTTACGGTTCCGATATATAATGTGATATGAAAGTGCGTCAGGAGCGGATTTACCCTGATTTACCTCGGGGACCTGGCTCAGATATGATGTGGAAATACCCTTTAGGTGCGCGGACGCGTTACATGATCATCCTGTGTTAGAGGCGTATATTAATGGGCGTACGGCGTACGGCGTACTCATACCGGGCATTGGGAGGATTGATCGATCATTGATGATCCCTGGGCAAATACTCGGTGCGCCAGCCTCTGGGAACTCCCATGATTTTCGCGATGACCTCATAAAATGTTTGGATCTGGAATTGGCGTCGGACGGCTTATGTCGTAGGTGACAGCGAGTACTCTACTTCGAGAGCATTGGTCAGCCGTACACGTACAACAACAGAAGATCTAGAAATTAGAGTATGTCGACGTCGTTCCTTGTTTTTCCATACGGAGATACCTACAGACCATATGGTCATTTTTCAGCTGTCGATGAATATGTTCGAGAGCGTTGATCAGCCATCGAACAGAAGAAATTAGAGTGCGTCGTTCTTTTGTTCCATACGGAGATTGTGACAGACCAAGACATTTTTCAGCGGTTGATGAATATGAATATGACATGACGATGGGTGGCGATTGATAGCAGATAGCTTATATGTATTGCTGACTGTGTCCAGACTTCCAGATCAGAAAAAGGAAGTAAAGCTAAAGTCCGTGGTCCTTTCGAGCTGTACCATAGTGTTACCGATACAAAGAATTTCTTCAAGGGGGTTTCCCTGCCGGCGCCAATATAAATCATGAATCATTGACCCCTGTAGCCTGCAGTTAAAGCGAACATCATAAGTATTTGAGCCCGAAAAAACGGCGTTCTCAGGTCTCACCTTATGATGCTTCTCTGCTCGTTTACGTTGCGCCTTCGAAATATATCACTTTTGTTGCGTACCTTACTTTTTGAGCAACTTCCATGGTGGTACCGAGAAACAAACCGAGGGGTGTAGGCGTTGTGGCTGGGACAGGCGGGAAATGCCGCCAGCGTCCGACATACAGCACAGTGAACCCGGTTATCCGGCAATATGTACATTGTAGTCATCAAACCCTTCTGATGCTGGCAGCGTTGTCTCATATCCGACCTGCAACCTCCACCTCGTTCTTATTCCTCAGACAAACGAATTATCTCATTCCGTCGAACCTTATGGTCCAAACGAGAAGACGGTTGACTCGCGTCACTGCTGCGCCGGTCACCAAGACGTCATCCGACACTCGCCTGAAGTCGACGTCCTCCAAACGTAAAAAAGCAGCGCCAGTAGATCAATCAGATCAATCAGAAAATGTACTGGGTGAGATTATGAACTTCTGTTTTCCCGCTGGCAATTAAACTATCTAGTGACGAAAAAACCGGCGCGGAAGATGCGGAAGAAGACAAATCAAGAACCGTCTACAGAAGACTTTCCAGTACGCGTCTCAAGCCCGTGGAAGATCGGAGCACACGTCTCAGCTGCAGGGGGAGTCGAAAACGCTGTTCGCAATGCAGCGATGGTTGGGTGAGAGATGCGTTTTATGTCAGTCCTCCTTTGTTGAATGTTAAACGTTGAATTCGCACAGCGCCAATGCATTTGCTCTATTTGTTAAGTCCCAGAGAAAATGGGATTCCCCACCACTTTCGGCTGAGAATATTGAAGCGTTCAAGAGACGAATGCAAGAGTTTGGATATTCATCGAAACATGTGCTTCCTCATGGCAGTTATTTAGTGAACTTGGGAAACCCGGACGAGTAAGAGTTCTGTCGTTTTGATTTATGGGCTTATGATGATTTTTGTCCGATTTTAGAGAGAAAAGGAAGAAGTCTTTCAACTGCTTTCTTGACGATCTTCAGCGGTGCGAGGAGCTTGGCCTTGAGCTCTACAATTTTCAGTGAGTCCATCATTCTAATCCTTTCTCATTGTGTTCACGCTGTTGAAGTCCGGGCTCGACCGTCGGGCAGGTCACGAAGGAGGAGTCGATAGCCCTGATCGCTGAATGTATTAACAATGCACACAACGTAACAAAGCACATCACAATTGTCATCGAGAACATGGTGCGCATCCATACACATATAGGCTACCTTGGCTTCATCATTCAAATAGGCAGGTTCAGGAAATGTTATAGGCTCTCAGTTCTCAGAATTGAAGGCGATCATTGATGACGTCGAGGACAAGACGAGAGTAGGCGTGTGCCTTGATACGTGTGCGTTTCGGCCCTTTGGCATTTTGTCTTGCTGACTGGGGGGTTCAGGTCACATGTTTGCTGCGGTAAGGGCTTTGCGCGCTGAACTACAAATATTTATCGTGTTTTCAGGGATACGATATCTCAACAAAGGACGGATGGGAGTATGTCCTCCGATCACCTCGCGTCATGCACTGGCTGATGTAACTTCCTAGCGCAACGCGTGAGTTCCACAGATGTCAAGTTCATCGGTTTTTGATCATATGCCTCAACCACGCAGTGTCCGAGTTTGACTCCCAAGTTGGATTGTCATATCTCAAGGGATTGCATTTGAATGACTCCAAAGCCGCCCTCGGATCGAGAAAAGATCGACATGAAAATATCGGACTGTACGTGCTCCATCCTTGGTGCTCTCTTTCAGTGAACTTGTTCACCGCCGTTTTAGCGGGCAGCTTGGTATTTCTACGTTCAGGCACATAGTCTCCGACTCACGGATACAAGACCTTCCTCTCATTCTCGAAACTCCGACCTTTGAAGCTACAGAAATCTGGATGAAGGAGATATCTGCCCTCAATTGCCTCTCGAAGTTGGTCGACGACAGCGAGGTTTCGGAGGCGGAACTGTCCTTAGTCAACGATATCACATCATTGGTGCGAAGCCGCGCGACGAACAAGGTGGGTAAAGCAAGCAAGAGCAAGACTCGTGCACGCAAACGGGATGTGGTGGAGGAGCAAGAGCATGATTCCGACTGCGATTAGGAAGGTGGGTCGGTGTCTACCATTCAATGTGATACGACTGAGGCATTTTCTTTAGGGTTCTCTCGTGTTGGCTGGGGTGTCCGAGTGATTATGTCTTACTGCACCACCGGAGCAACTGATATTTCTATTTTCATCTCCTTGTGGTGTTCTGTTCCCGCTAACCATGGCAAGCAATAAGCAGGAACTCGTTTTTCCTGTGTCAACTGTGCAACGAGCCTTCTTAATACCTCACTTGTTCGTCTTGGCACATTGTTGCCCCTCAAGGAATGACACATCTGTTTGCCCTGTCAGCGAGACGCCAAACGAGCTCACTCTTCTGAGAGTAGGGGTCAATCCCGATATGAGGCAAAACAGCCTCAAAATGAAGATATTTATTGATCCTGTCGCCGTAAATCACTGCAGTGTCTGACCTGGGGGTTATTCGTCATGCCCATGTACAAGGCACATTTACGGGAGCTCCAGGAGACGCTGAACGGTTGGTTCCCATGGAAGAGCTTCGAAGGCATCATATATCTGTGGGAGATGTCCTGCCGTAAACCAGATATAGCCAGTTGTGCTATCGCACTAATCATCGTACTACTTTGGTAACCACTATCTGTAGCTCCCCCAAAGTCCTCGTTTTTCTCGCATACCTCAACAGGATGGATAACAACGACAGCGACGGTGCCTGTCAGTACATAACAGATGACTTTGTTTATGAGGCTGGGCCCAAGCACCTGGGTGTCGTTGGGGAGAATGATGCTGAGGTCAACCGAGCCAGTTTCAAAGCCGCGATTGCCAAGCATATTACATTCAAGGTGACCATCATTCTATCTTGCTTCTAATCTTGCACTGACATGCTTCAGACCACCATACACAATATTACGTCGGGCTGAAAAGGTCATCGTTCGTATAATTGTTTTAATTTCATGATCGGAATCCCATCTCTAACTACGTACGAAAATAGGGGAGGTCCAAGTATCCACAGATAACGACGCGAGCTTTTACCTTTGTGATTTGATACTAACTTCTCTGCATGTCAGAGCGTCGTTGTCGACGGTTTCCTCTACTGGGGAGATTTCGTTCACCGCTGAATATGAGTTCGTCAGCGACAAGATCAGGAGAGCGAGGGTGACAGGAAAATATTTGGTCCTTGCGGACTTTTCAAAGTGATTGGTCGGAAGTTGGCCGCTTGAAAGGAGGCGCATCTATGATATCTGGCAAGACACCCGCTTTCGTTTCCCCTTCGCAGCACTTGGCCAAGAAAGTACTTATGAGATCCTTCGGTTTCTTCACAGCGCTCTGTGCCTCTGTCCGGGCTTTCATGATGTCATCTCTACTCAGACAGAAGTCAATATGTGCGAGTTTAGCCCTTCGTTGTCCGTCTCCAACATCTTCCCGCAGACAGCACGCTCTTGATACCGTGCACGATCCCCTTGTATGCTTCTCATTTGGATATGCAGTCTCAGCTAAGGTGGGGAAAGCACGCGAGACTCGTGCACACAAATGGGTTGTGACGGAGGAACAAGACAACGATCCCGACCGCGCTTAGGAAGGTGGGTCAGTATCTACTGGTGGCTGTGATACGACCCTGACGCATTTTCTTTAGGGTTCTCTCATATTGGCTAGGGTATCCGAGTGATTATATCCTGCTGTACCGCCGGAGCAACTGATATTTATATTACATCTCCTTGTGGTTTTCTGTTCTCGTTGACCGTGGCAAGCAAGAAGCACAAGCTCGTCTCGACTCTCCGCTGTGTCAGCTGTGCAACGAGCCTTAATACCTTTTGTGTTTGTTTTTGTTCTCTGTTTCCTTTTGACGAATGTCATATTTATATGGTCATTTCAGAAATACATTTCAAAGTTGTAAAAAAATATCTTCTGGTGGGCTGGTACATATGTTAGAGGGTACTTTCAGGATGGATATGAGCCAACAATCAAAGAAAACGGCGGTTCGGTTATGGAGATATTGCCAAAATACTGACTTTTTAGCCCCACCACCATATGTTACAAACATTGATCTCCAGATGGTCCAGGACCATCACCAATCGATTCCTACACCTGAAAAACCCCAGGACAGTCCTTTACAGTATCGGTTTCAAGTTAAAATCAAGTACAGCAACATATAGGAGGTAGGAGGGAGGAGGAGGACCTTGTATATCTCAGGAATATGATTTTTCCAGGGAAATCTGGCATCACCACCGTGTTCAGAGGGATCAAGAGCCCCCAGGAAAAATGCTTTTGGAGCACTGGCAAGTCATGGGAAGTCTGTAAAAATCGATCTTTGGGTGGGGCAGCATGACAGGGGTGGTCAACTTTGGAACATGATTTTTAGAGCGAAATCTGGCTCGACCATCGTGTTCAGATGGTCAAATAACCTCCAGAATGAATCCTACCTAAAGCCAGGCAAGTCATATGAAGGCTGAAAAAATCGATCTTTGAGTGGGGCAGCATGGCAGTGGTGATCAACTTTGGAACATGATTTTTAGAGCGAAATCTGGCTCGACCATCGTGTTCAGATGGTTCAATAACCTTTAAAATGAATCCTAGCTAAAGCCAGGCAAGTCATATGAAGGCTGAAAAAATCGATCTTTGGGTGGGGCAGCATAACAGGGGTGGTCAACTTTGAAACATGATCTTTAGAGCGAAATCTGGCTCGACCAACGTATTCATATGGTCGAATAACCTCTAAAATGAATCCTAGCTAAGGCCAGACAAGTCATATGAAGGCTGAAAAAATCGATCTTTGAGTGGGGCAGCATGGCAGTGGTGATCAACTTTGGAACATGATTTTCAGAGCGAAATCTGGCTCGACCATCGTGTTCAGATGGTCCAATAACCTCTAAAATGAATCCTAGCTAAAGCCAGGCAAGTCATATGAAGGCTAAACAAATCGATCTTTAGCAAGGAGAGCATCATAGGGGTGGTACTCAACTTTGGAACATGATCTTTAGAGCGAAATCTGGCATGACCAATGTGTTCATATGGTCAAATAACCTCTAGAATGAATCCTAGCTGAAGCCAGACAAGTCATATGAAGGCTGAAAAAATCGATCTTTGAGTGGGGCACCATGATAGGGCTGGTACTCAACTTTGGAACATGATTTTTAGAGCGAAATCTGGCATGACCAATGTGTTCATATGGTCAAATAACCTCTAGAATGAATCCTAGCTGAAGCCAGACAAGTCATATGAAGGCTGAAAAAATCGATCTTTGAGTGGGGCACCATGATAGGGCTGGTACTCAACTTTGGAACATGATTTTTAGAGCAAAATCTGGCATGACCATCGTGTTCAGATGGTCCAATAACCTCCAGAATGAATCCTAGCTGAAGCCAGGCAAGTCATATGAAGGCTAAACAAATCGATCTTTAACAAGGAGAGCATCATAGGGGTGGTAGTCAACTTTGGAACATGATTTTTAGAGCAAAATCTGCCATGACCAATGCGTTCATATGGTCCAATAACCTCTACCATGAGTCCTAGCTAAAGCCAGGCAAGTCATGTGAAAGCTGAAAAAATCGATCCTTGGGTAGGGCACTATGATAGGGCTGGTACTCAACTTTGGAACATGATTTTTAGAGACCAAACTGGTATCACCAATCCATTCATATGGTTTAATAATCTCGAGAATGAGTCCCAGTCAATGACAAATTCGTCATATCAAGGGCTGGTAAATCGATCTTTGGATGGGGCACCATGACAGGGGTGGTAGTCAATTCTGGAACATGATCTTCAGAGACCAAACTGGTGCTGTCAATCAATTAATAGTGTTCAATAACCTCGAAAATGAGCCCTATCTATTTGAGTTGAAAAATTTATAGGGTCAAAATAGAAATAGGTTTCAAACTTGTGAAAAAATATCTTTTGGTGGGCTGGTACATATCATAGAGGGTATCGATAGGATGGATATGAGCCAACAATTAAGAAAAACGGCGGTTGGATTGTAGAGATATGTTCAAAATACCGATATTTGAGCCAACCTCCCATATCACAATAATGCTGACCTCCGGAAGGTCTGGGACCATTCCCAATCGATTTATAGGGTCAAAATAGAAATAGGTTTCAAACTTGTGAAAAAATATCTTTTGACGGGCTGGTACATATCATAGAGGGTATCGATAGGATGGATATGAGCCAACAATTAAGAAAAACGGCGGTTGGATCATGGAGATATGTCCAAAATACTGATATTTGAGCCAACCTCCCATATCACAATAATGCTGACCTCTGGAAGGTCTGGGACCATTCCCAATCGATTCACAGGCCTCAAATACCTTAGGAGCAATGTTTGCAGTATCGGTATTGAGGTGGAATACCGGGATAGTGACATACATGAGGTCAGGAGGAGGAGGAGGACCTTGTATATCTCAGGAACACGATTTTTCCAGGCAATTCTGGCTTTACCATCGTGTTCAGAGGGCTCAATAGCCCCCAGGAAAAATGCTTTTGAAGGACAGGCTAGTCATATGAAGTCTAGAAAAATCGATCTTTGGGTGGGGCAGCATGACTTGGGTGGCCAACTTTGGAACATGATTTTTAGAGCGAAATCCGGCTTGACCAACGTGTTCAGATGGTCAAATAACCTCTAGAATGAGTCCTACCTAAAGCCAAGCAAGCCATATGAAGGCTGAAAAAATCGATCTTTGGGTGGGGGGGGGGATGACAGGGGCAGCCAACTTTGGAACATGATTTTTAGAGCGAAATCTGGCACGACCAACGTGTTCAGATGGTCCAATAACCTATCTATTTGAGTTGAAAAATTATGGGGGCATAGATTTTTCCTTCGAGGAAAGTCCTAATATGGTTAGAGAGGGAAAGAGGAAATTATATAATCGGTTACAGAAGGAAAGAAGCATTACATACTTGGTTACAGAGGAAGAACTATGTCTAAAATGGTTAGACTTAATGCCAAGAACAAGGAAAGATGACACAAAGGAAAGGAAAGATGACACAAAGGAAAGGAATGGTGACATAAAGGAAAGGAAAGAAGGTACGAAGGGAAGGAATCATGACTAAGAGGAAAGGAAAGAAGGTACGAAGGGAAGGAATCATGACTAAGAGGAAAGGAAAAGAAGCATGACTAAGAGGAAAGGTTAGGAAAATCATCACTAAGAGCAAAGGAAAGAAGGCACGAAGGGAAGGAATCATGACTAAGAGCAAAGGAAAGGAAGCATGACTAAGAGCAAAGGTTAGGAAAATCATCACTAAGAGCAAAGGACGAACAAAAGGTTGGGCATTCCTTAATTTTTCCTAGTCCCCCCTAATCTATCTCTCCCTATCCTTTACACTCCATCATATCCACCGATCTCTCAAACACCGCAAAATACTCCATCTCGCTCGTCCCTCAACTCCACCTCCTCACTTCATCTTTCCCTTCTTCCACTACAATCCTATCATAACAACATCTCAACCATCCTCTTCGCACTCCTCCTCTCATCTCTTACTCAATCCTTCCCTACTAATACTCTAAAATACTTCCTCTTCATCTTCATCTCCATTCGCTACTCATCTCGCACCAGAGCCCATACCTAGTCTACTTTCTCAATCTCAACCCCTATCTATAACAATACAACTATGTGAACCGCTCTCCCCCGTCTCATGTAAAATAAGTGCTACCAGGGCGTAGCTGCTCCACTACCTGCCCAGCCTTTCAAATCTCCCTCACCTTTCGTCCTTTTCCTCACTTCGGCCCCTAGCCTTTCATCTCCGTTAGCCTTCGTCCATTTGGTTACTCCGGTGCCCAGCCTTTCATCTCCGTCGCCCTTCATCCGCCGCTAATCTTCGCCTATCCCATCCCTGACTTCTTCGCCTCTCTCGCCACTTAAATTCTGCTATTTCATCCCCCCCTGCTTTTTGCTCTTCCATCCTACTCATCTCCTTCATACTCATGTCCTTAGATAATGCCAATTCAAGACGCAATTGGGAGCACACCTCCCAACCTGGTCTCGTCACCATTTCTGGCATTCAGTATCGCATCTCTCGTGCCCCAGATGGCTCCATCTGCTGTCCTGTTCCTGCCTGCCCAGGTACCTTCAACAGGAGGTCCGCCTTCAAGACCCACTTGAAAACTAGTCCGTCTCTCCTTCTCTCCCTTTATCTCTTTCTCTTATCTTCCTTCCTCCTTTCCAGATCATCTATCTCCCCCTCAACTCCTCGCCTCTCCTCCCCAACTTCAACCTCGTGCGTTCCCCTTTTTTCTCTCCATCCCCCCTTTCATATATCTACTTCATCCTCCCTCCTTTCTCTTTCCATCTTCTTCTCTATCCTTTTCTCATCCCTCTCATATTCTCTTCCAGTTCTTCCTCAAGCCCCCCTCCCTCTTCCTCCCCCCTCTCTCCAGCCGTCCCTCGATGAATTTCAACTCGATCCCAGTCCGTCTTTCTCTCTCTCCTCCATATATCTACTCCCTTACCCTTCGTTCCCTCAAGCTATCTCTCGCGTCGTCCTTAATCCTGGCCAAGATTATCTTCTCTCCACCCCCCTTTTGGATCAGCTCGGCCTCTCTTTCCACACGGCCCTCAACATTTTCATCTGTATCGCCTGCAAAAAGTCTCTCACCGCTGCCATGGTCTCTGGTCACCGCAAGGCTCACCATAACCAATCCCTCGACAAAATTCAGCTCCAATCCCTCGACCAATTCGTCCTCCAATACAACGTCTATCGTCGCCAAGAAGAAGTTAACATCCCCGCTCACGCCGGCCCTCCCGTCCAGCTTATCGCCCCTCCCCGCCCAGGCTTCCTCTGCACTCAGTCCCTCGATTGCCATTACGCTGCTTGCACCATCACCACCATGATAAACCATGGAAGGCTCGTCCACAAAGCATCCTCCAATGCCATGACCTACGACCATGCTCTCGTTCAACAGCTCTTCGAGTCCGTCGGCCGCGTCTACTTCGTCGTCCTCCAGCCCCCCCCTTCTCACCAGCCCATCACCATCAGAGACGCCCTTTCCCATTCCTTCCTTCCTTCCCTCGATCTTCTCCTCGTCCCCTCCTCTCCCCTCCCTGACGAGGAGCGAAGGTCCCTCATTAAAGTCATGGCCTGGGATCGCTTCATGCCCGACGTCCGTTCAAACAGATCCGACGTCAAATTTTTGGACGCCCTCAAGGCTCGCCACACAGAAGATGAATTTCTTGGTTTTTTCGTCGCCTTGGACTCCCTCGTAAAAGCTTACTTCGCCATCGCTCCGGACCTCCTCGAAGGTAACCCCCACAGTTTCACCATCTGCAAACTCATCTTGCATGGCGACAACGTCACAAAGGATTCGTAAGTTCTTCCCTCCCCTCCTTTCTCCTCCTCTTTGTAATCCCCTCCCTCCAGAGATTACTGGCGTCCCGTCTCAAAGAAAAATACTCTATATAGCGATCTCCTCCTCCAGTTTTTGCGCGCCATCCTCAGGCTTTATCTCTCCCAACACAACCCTTCCAACTTCTCCTTCGGCCTCCACCCCAACCAGACACAGGCCCTCCACGCCTTCGCCTCCACCATAAATCGCCCTGACCCCCCTCCCGTCCCCTGACTTGGGCCCCGATGGCGATCCCATGAAGAAGTTGCATGAGTTTTTATGGTCTTTGATCGATGCCGCCAGCGTTCATCCAGAACAGACCTGGGCCAACGTCATCCAGCGCTTCATATGGTTCAAGGCTCTCCGCCGCGACGCCAATTTCTACGAGTCCACTGACCTTGCCCCGGACCTCGCAAAATTAAAGTACTTCGTCAACAACGCTTGCATCGTCCATGCTCTCTGGTACCAGAAGCACTCTCTCGTTCCTCAATTCGAGTCAGTCCTCTCCCTCTCCTCCTACCTCATCCTCTTCTCATCCCTCCTATTTTAGACGAGTCATAGCCGTTCACCGCGAGGTCTTGGCCCTCGGACGCCCCACCACCTTTAATATGCTTTTTGAGTTTCAGCAATACGCCTCCTCCTTGGCTTGGAACCAGCAACGCGAGCCCAGGGTCTTCTTCGACCCAGACTATCAGTGGATAATCGTCGGACGAGAGACCTTGTACCTCTCCAGATTTCGTCATGGCATTCAATCTCTCCTCGACCAGATCGAGGACAGGTACCTCCTCCTCACCCGCGGTCGCATCATGATGCATGGCCTCCCTGACCATGTCGCAGATGACATGACCAACTCCATCCGCGGCCATTCCTTCGTCAACGACGTCCAATTCGATCCCCTCAAGCTCCAGCTTTTCTTCCATCTCGTCGACATCCATCGCTTGGCCATGCTCGATCGGGACGGCCGTCTCGCCTGGGATATACCCGCAGTAAAAGACATCCTTCGCCGTACCGGCGACATATGGAAGCCCCTCTATCATCTTCTCTACATCACATCCCAGATATCCACCAGAGGCGTCCAATTTTTGCAACACCAAATCGCCAATGCCGACCGACACCGAAACATCTTCCTTCAGGGTCAGGAACTCATCATCTTGTCTGGCTACAGCAAGACCTCCCACATTTCCGACAGAGATTCTTGCACTCCTGCATTCGTCCATTCAAAATTGGCACGATGGATGGTCGAGTTCCTCGCAGGAGGCTTGAGGCATGCAGAATCTCTCCTCGCATACGTCGCATACGGCGCCACCGCCCATCATGAATACAATACGTACGTTTTCTTCTCGTCCTCTCGTCCCCCCTGCATTCTCACCTCATCCCAGCTTCCTCGTGATGGACGACGGTCGTAGAATAAACCCGGACCAATGGTATTCCATATTCTTGCAGGTAAACCGAGAGCAATTCCAGTGTGCCTGGGGCGTACGCGACTTCAGACATGGCGCCATAGCCATGGCTAGGGAATTCATCTCTCTCAACCATGCTTTCTCTCTCGCTGATGACCTGCTGGCCGAGAGCGCGGACCACTCCACCCAAATCGACCACATCCATTATGGCAACCTCCACGGAGCCATCCCTCAACTCACCAACAACGTCATGGAGAAGCATCGCTTGCTGTCCGAGGAATGGCAGCTCTTCTGCGGCCTCGGTCCTGGTGAGCCCCAGCAACCCATTCGACAGAGAAGGTTGAACAGGCCATCTGCATCATCCCCTAATCACGGTGGATCCTCTTCCCTCGACATATCCGCCATTTCTGAGGCCAGTCTCGACCAGCACCGCCGCAGCATTAAAGACTTACCTCCAGGATAACTTGGTCCCGCTCCTTCGTGATATCGTCGCCCAGGACGTCCTGCCTTCCATCCTCGATACCCTACGGAAAACGACTCAGAACTCTGCTCCTGCTCCCGCAATACAATTAGCCATCGGTACCGCGCTTCATGCGCCGGTCGAGCCCCAAGGTATGTGTCCGGCGATGTTCTCCCCTCCGAACCAGCATTAACTAAGTCTTCATCCGCGTAGGTCCTCCTCCCCAAGAAATTATAGCACCCCAATCCACCCCGCTCTCTTGCATCGAAACCGAGGACGCCGACATAAAGTGCATCGACATGGATGAGTTCTATGCCCAGCGTCCCGCCGTATTGCCCCCTCAGTCCTGCCCCATCCCTTATGCCGTTCCTGACCGTCAGAAAATCAGATTGCCCGCTCAGCCCTCATCTTCTGCTCGCCTCCATGAAAAAACAAAGTCGCCCGCTCAATCCTCCTTCTCGCCCTCCAGCCTTCCTGCTCCTCCCACCGTCGCGGTCCATCACAAACGTCCTCTTCACCCAGACTCATCGAGCCGCTCGAATCCCAGGGAGGAACTTGTTCGGTCCGCAAAACGCATTAGGCTAGCAACCTCTTACCCTGATGCCGCCGACTTGCGTATCAAAGAAGAAACCGATGAACGACCTGTCGTACTGGTGGCTTCCTCGTCGCAAGCAGAGGATCAATTGCTTGAGGACGATGAAGATGATGACCGCGCGGTCCCCCGGGAGGCTTCCTCTTCTCAACCTGATGATCTGATGAGTATGGATGAAGATGAAGAGATCGAGATCCTGCCGCACTTTTCCCCAGAGGAGGACGATAGATGGACGCAGAGGGTGCGAGACGCGTTTAGAACGTTGTTCAAGGACCCTGCTGCCAAAGAAAGGTCTCCTGCTCAATGCAAGGCTATCATAAACGTCATGACCGCTAAAAAGGACACCTTCATCACCCTTAAGACAGGAGGCGGCAAGAGCGCCCTGTGGATGACCGCGCCTCTTATCGATCCTGGCCAGCGGTGCATCGTCATCTGCCCATTTGTCGTCCTCCTGGAGGAGCAAGTAGAAAAATGCCTGCAATTGGGGCTCAGGGCGCACAACTTCACCAAAGATAAGAACGTTCCTGCCGACGTTCACATTCTTTTCGTGCAGGTAGAGAGCGCTTCTTCCAAGGCGTTCCAGGAGTAAGTGGTCGTCATGTGAATCACCTTCATCATGACCTCACAATTCCCTCTTGTATTCAGGTTCCTGGCATCTCCCCAAGGACGTTCCTTTACCAAAGTATTTATTGACGAACACCATGACTTCCTGGTGTGTCATCCCGAACGTAAAGAACAATGGACGCGTCTTGCTGCGCAATTTTCCAAGTGGCCGATGCAAATAAACCTCCTCTCAGCGACTTCCCCCCCATCCAGCACTTCTGCTTATCTTAAAGGCTTTTCCATCCAGCCCGAGGAGGCCCTCATCTATCGCACCTGCACGGATCGCCCAGAGATAGGATTTCACGTCTTGAACATTCTTCCGCACCATTTCAATGCATCCCTGAAGTCCCTCGTATGCGCGCTGCAGTTGAAGATGGCTGGATCGGATCGCATGCTGGTATTTTTCAACTCGAACAAAGAAGCAGATAATTTCAGTAGCGCCATGGGGTGTGCAGTCTTTCACAGCGACCTTCCCACCATCGGAGGAAACACGAAAACGCACAATCTCGCCAGGTGGGACCGCGGAGAGACCAATATCATGACTTGTACCACCGCCTTTGCCCAGGGAGTCGATCGAAGCTCCGTGCGATTCGTGGTGATCAGTGAGGTTGAGTACGGTCTTCTGGTCGTGAATCAGATGTCTGGACGTTCGGGACGCGATGGACGCGAGGCGCATACATTCTACCTCACTCAGAAAACAAGTCTGTCCGCGTTTCAGAGCGACCAAGACCACCACTGCATCAAAGGCCTGGACGACGTCCTGTTTAGCGATCACTGTCGCAGATACACCTCCATCAAGTGCATGGATGGCAAAGGTTTTGCCTACCGATGCAAGGACAGATCAGATGTTGTGCAGTGCGACGTCTGCGATCCTGCGAGCGATATGCAACGTATGGCCTTGCAAGCAATTAAGGAGTCCCCACAACTCCTCCGTCCTCAATCAACCCGTGCTCCGACATTTCCGGTCCCCAGTTCATCTCGACCCTCGCAAACGTCATCCTCCATACCATCTTCCTCGCTGGATGATGATGCATTGTTCGGAAAGTTTCCCAAAGTAACGCCTAAAATGGAGATCGCGCTCAACGCCATGGAGGCCACCCATGCACCGCTGGGTCATCGATTTCCCATGGAGCTTCCCAGCAAAGGTCAGGGCGCTCGCCTTGTGGTAATGTCGTTCCTTTATGTCCTTATGATAAATTACTGACCTAGCATGAAGTATTCCCAACCGCCAGCATCCAAGGCATCCAAGGCATCCAAGGCGCCAGCCCCTTCTTCATCACTGCCTGTCTCTTTGCCATCATCATCATCCAGGAGCGACAGGGTCATGGCAGGAATTCAAAGTCGATTGAATCGCACATCGCTCCTCGACAGGTTCATGAGGAAGTTACAGAATTGCTGCCCAGTCCATTTTGCCGTCCACTCCCAAGCTCATCCAGAGCATGGTCCATGCGCCTTGGGACGACAGGGCCATGACTCCACGTACTCCGAATTCAAGAACAGTTTCGTCTTCGAAAGGTATACTTACTGCTTCAATTGCGCCTTACCACAGAACTACAAACACAACAACGAGCAGCCATCATGCCACAGCGCAGTGTCTTACAGGACAGGAGGATCTTGTCCTTTTGCAGGTTTCATCTTTAAAGCCGTACACTGTCTTTGGAACTCAGGCGAAGCTATGGTGTTGGCGGGGACTTTGGGCATACACGGCGGCTGGAACAGCTTCCAGGAGTTCATATCTTGGGTGAACAAAGAAGAGAAGGAGCAAGGCAGGTACATCAACCTCCTGGAGATCTTCATCGCATTTTGTAACAAGTTGGAGAGTTCTCAGCCTAGGTTTTTCCTGTAGACCAAGTATCTTCCTCCACATTATTTACATGTCTGTATGGCAAAATCCAAGCTTCCAACGTGCCTCCACCACGCGTTCAAACTGAGTTTATACTTTTCTGGGTACATATATGGTTTCTAGCTTTGTATGCCCAAGGAGCAAGTGTCCTCAAAAAGCCCTCCGTCGTTTGAACATGTCTACTAACGTCCTTTTCAGGGCACAGTGGGTCTGGAGTCAAAAAATGCGGTGCTTCGTTATGGGCCTCTTGGCGACTTTTGTACAACCAGTCTTGCAGGGAGCGAACCTTCCATTCGTTCAGAATCGGCACCCGCTCCTCACCGGGCTGGGTATCGTGACGCACACCCACCAGCTGGCTATGTATCGGCGTACTTGGGAAATGGATGTATCACCATTGCAAACGACCACGGATGTCCAATATACAGTAATGATGAAATGCTTACAACGCCTGTAATGTTTTCGAAGGTTGACAGCTGGTACCATATTTATTCCTGTGCCATCAACTTATCATCGAAGAGTAACGCGTCTCGCAAAAGTAACTGCCTGTAACATGATGATAGCGATTGTAAGTGATTGTAATGATTTATGATGTGATCACGACTTTGTGATAATCCAAGATAATGTTATGGGGAATTTTCTGATGGCGGGTAGGCGGCGTCCACTGTGATGAACAATGCGATCGGACCGAACACGTGCGATCGCATGCAATTAGGGGTTATGGTACCAGATGTGTTCCTGTGTCATCGACTTATAATCAAAGAGCAATGGGGTGTCTTGCGAAAGCAACTGCCTATAACATGATTGTAATGCGATCGCGACTTTGTGATAATCCAAGATAATTCTATAGTGAATTTGCTGATGGCTGGTGGGTGGCACTGGAAATCCACTGTGACGAACGATGCGATCGGACCGAACATGTGTGATCGGAATTACCCGATCACGGTGCAGGGCCGCATAATAGCTGACCGCAACCAGCAATACCCTTCTTTTCCCTCCGTTCTTCCATTTTTTCACAACATGCCTGCTAAAAATAGGAACAGAAAATCTACAGTAGGTGGCAACGTGACAGGTTTATCTCGTGCAGGGCCAGGAACGGTCGACATTGGCACCATGGTGCCTCAGCATGGTACTGCTGCCAGGTCTTTCGACGTGGCCAGTGTCTCCCCCACTATCGTGTCGCCCAGCCTCGTCGGTACTAAGGCCAGATCCACCGATGCGTCCAACAAACACATCTCCCACCTATCCAGCACAACCTCATCTGACGACATACACGTCGGCAAGTACTGTCACTTTTGCTGCGACCAAATTCAAGCCCCATTCTACCACGAATGCGTCGAGTGCGGGGCGTTTATATGCCAACAGTACGTTCCTCGCAGCAGCGGCTGCATTTATTTCGGCACGGTGGAGGACGGGAAGGAGTTCCTCTGCCCGAATTGCTGCAGGACAGGAGCCAACAAGAACGCCCCCTTGCCATACGCTATATTTGGATTTTCGATGAGGAAGAAGGTGAAAATGACCTGGCCCATGGCTGTTGTGCACCTCAGCCTGGAGTCTACGATGAACGACTACATAGGCTTGACTGTCAAGCATGATCTCGACAGTCATTACAGGGATAATGGGAAGAACGTACGTCTAATCAATGCGTCTTCAACATTGTGCTGAACATGGTTTGCAGCTGCTCTTCCAAAGCTTGTACATGCGCCCGGGTGTGCATGAAGCTGGTGTGCATCAGTCAGAAGCCAGGAAACTTGTTCCAGGTGCAACCTTCATGCAACGCAACATCGAAGCCGGGTTTCCGCCCAACACTTTTGTCCTTGTCAACACTCATTCCGACAAGTACAGCGGAATGCTCCAACACCATGGGGCGCACGACGGGGGCACAGACACCACGATCGCCGAAATCACGGCTGCGTACCTTAGCGACTTCCTGAATAGCATGGTACACGCCTCCCATGCTGCCAGGAGCGACAAGACCGAGATCACCACCAAGAGAGGGAAGAAGCCCTGGACTGACCTTACCCCCAAGGTCAGAGGAGGACGGAGAGGCCTCATGCTTGTGAGCTGTGGCCCCGCGATCAGGGTTAGGCACCACTTCGATTCGATCGTAGAGTTGGTCCAAAAGTGCGTGGTATCGTTTCGCATATCAACCGCATACTCATCGTGCCTCAGAGACCAGTTCGATTTCGTGCTTGGGTTCGGTGGATCAGGGACTTTGCCGTCCACCGTATCATCCATCATACGGTCTGTTGTTGTCGAGTTTGGTGTGTTTGGACGCACAGATGTGTGGCCCTCGTTTTGTGACATCATGTCCTCGTATCAGAGCGTCCTGGACAACACCACTGCTGTGCTGGTGTACGCCCAGGTTGGAGTTGAAGGACAACGGCAAGTCGAATGTCGTCAGCTCGCGAAGAACGTCCCTGGACTGCGTGCCTTTGGGGCCGAATACAAGTCCTGTGGTACACCAGGATGTAATCCGGCACCGTCAGACATTCGCGTCTTTAATCAGGTGATAGGTACATGCAAGGACCTTAAACCTAAGGTGCGGTTCCTCGCTCGCAGTGCAGCTGAATATTTTAATCATGATGACCAGGTCAGGGTGCAGTGCTTGAAGTGTAATTGGAAATCCACGTGGGCGGTCACCGATCAAGACAACGAGCATTTCAAGAGGGTAAACCCAATCTCGGCGCCTCAAATCTTCTGGCATCGATTCCCACCTTCCGCAGCCCTACAAAACTTTTTCGTAGATCTCACCCTCAAGATGGAGCAAGTGTCGGCGAAGGAAAGCACAAGCCAGGGCAAAAAGCAATACCAGCGAGCCGGCGCCACCTCTGAGATAGACACGCTCATGGTGGACGCGGAGGGCTCTGGTGTTGACATAATGGACATCGACTAAGACTGATATATGCGTGCGTTACAAGTAGTGAATGGCCTTTATTGATAGCATGTAAAACATGATTACTGGAGTTTCTTGCCTCTCGCATGTCAGTTCGTTGCACAAGGAAAAGGCAGGAGATGGTCAACTGTTTCAATTAAGATTTAACATGTAGTACAAAGCATCATGGAGAACTCCACCGACACAGAAAATCTCTGCAAACGCAGTTAGGAGACAACACTTTAAGGTAGCTACCATTTAATGCCAGAGCGACAAGAACGACGAGGCTCCATAGTCTCAATTGTGTGATACTATCAAGCCTGCTAGCATAGAACTGTTGACTCCATTAGGAGCTAGTGACAGGTGAAACTCAGACATTCTACTACCCTACAGGACAGCTTCTAGGGTGGATTGTCTAAATCGATGTCCTCCCCCTAAGGCAATAGATTAACACAGTTGTCTGGACCGACGCACGAGCAGGGTTAGGGTTAGCAATTGCAACGGCAAGAAGCCAGCAGTAAGGCACTTATGATTTCCACTGCGCCAACTCAGTCCCTTTGTCAAACACTTGCCGTCTACGTGGTGATTTTATCGCATTCCCTCCATGTAGCAGATAGATCAGATTCTACAAGTGATCCGACCAAAGCAAACTCTTTTAAAAGGCCAAAATTATCGCGCGCTGCGCATTATTTTTCATACTTGTAATTAGTCTCGAGGCGACAGCGGCAGTAGTGGTCTGATCACAAGTCAGGACTTGTACAATTTGGCCTCAGGT